GTATCATTATCGCGGGCAAACGACGCCATAGATCGAACCGCAAATTCGTAACTACTCGGCGAAAGTCCACGCGCAAGCTCGGAGCTTGCGAGCCAGCTAGATGGGGCGCGTGAAAAAGCCCTCTTGATATTTATACACATTCGTGCGGAGCCATGTCACGCGCACACGCACCTACACATTTGCAGCCAAAAGGACTACTATAGTGCGAACCTGTATAGCATTTCAAAAGAGGGAATAAGGAGAGGGAGATTCCGTGGTCGGGACTGTGTGTGTAGGCGAGTTCGCGCGCGCGCGTCGATAGCAGATAGCACCGCAAAATTTAATCATCGCATTCACGACTCGTGTCATCTCTCTCTCTCTCTCTTGCTTTCTCTATGGAGTGCGCGTGAGAGAGAGAGAATACTCGAGTTCGGGCCGAATCAAAGCGGCAATTTTCGAAATTGAAATTTGCGCGTCTGCTCTCCCATTCTACGGATACTTAGAGACCAAAAGTTCCCCCCTCTCTTCTCTCGCGTCGATTGCTCGCGTTGGTTTACCGAAACGATAATAATTTTCATTAAATCAGAGAAAGCATTTCCGAATCCGCATAGAAGGACGATCGGGACGACATGTCGCTTGTCGTCGTCTCCTCTTTTTGCCAAAGCCCCATCATCGTCGTATACACTTGGCAGCGATATTGCGCCGTGCTCGTAGCAGCGATGTATCGCTTGTACATACACAACACAGCTTTGGCCATTATACCTGATGCCACCCCTCGCTGTGCTCCGGCAACACGATAACTATTCTCCGAAGCATAATTCCTCCTTCTTCCGTACTTTGTGTATCTTATGTATACGAGTACCGCTACTGCTGTTGCTGCTGGTCTCGCTCCATGGCTTCGGCCATGTGCTGCCGCGCTCGCTGCTCTGGAATTTCTCTCTCGCTCTCGATACACGGGGAAAACCTGCAGCGGCGATGCGGAGAGCGAGAGGGTCTGCGCTGCTGCGGGGATATTTTGCCGCAAACTTGGCACCATGAGCATTAAACGTATGAATGTACAGTAGCGGCGTGCTTGCTGCGCGCCCGCGTTTCTATCCTCTGTACCTATACCTAGCATGTGTACACACGGTCTGGCTGCTGCTGCTCGGGCTGCTCGACTATACTATTTGCCAGTGTGGCTTTCTAATAAACTCGAACGCTTCGTTTCTTGCAGCTAGCTCGTCCTCGCCGCATACAAGCACATACACGTATAGCCACGCACACGCGTATATACTCAATTACGGTTGATTAAAGCATATATGCATCGATACTCGCGTCTGTAATGGTTGTGTTTTCGCGTACACCCGCCGCTTTCCGTAATGTGCGCGTTTCCCTTTTTAGTACTTCTCCTCTGCTGCCAATTTATGCGGGACCACGACGATAATAAAAAAAAAATAATAATAAAACAAAAACGAGATAATTTCGAATTTTTTTATTGTCCAATCAGTGCCGAGCGCTCGAGTTCTCCGTATAATATAAACACTCAACAAGTAATATTAACTCGTCTAGTCGAGTGCAATCGTGAGCGTCGATTGAGCAGAGAGACAGACGAGGAATTCCAAAAGCTTCGAGTGCTTTTATGCTGATCAAATACACCGAGTGTTATTAAATTGGCTGCGTGGATGTTGATTAATTTGTCGGCTATATAGTGGCTTACCTTCCGCCTCGGCTTTGATTTCACTTGCGCTTTGCCTTTGCACGCGCTATTGTTACACGGAATAATTGTTACGAATAAAATTTACTAAACTAAAATATTCTCTCCTCCGCGGGGAATTTTAATTGCGAGCCCAGACCCAATCGCGCTTGGCAATCGCAGCCAAGAGAGCATGAAATTTCGGTTTCCTGGCACGTATACTCGTGACCTCAAAGATGACTATTTCACCGAGAAAGACATTCGATCTAGAGAGATTTCGGATTTTGGCACGTTACCTCGTGCCTTGCTCGATATCAATTAGCCTATATCAATGCCTCGATCCTAATGGTTTTCGGAAATTGAAAGCGCGGAAAACGATGAAAAATATGAGACATCGGATTGAAACAACGAGCGTATAACGAATTTTTTTCTCCAAAGAGAGAGAGAGAGGTAAAAAAAGCAACAGATATAACTCTGTCCTACTGCTTTCAATGAGGTTTTAACGCTTGAAGCACGCGAGCGTGCCCCGCGGCCGCTCCAAAAGCAAACCTATCCTATATCGTTTCACGTATGTACGTGCCACGGCTGTATAACGAACGAACGTCTGAAAAACTCGATTAGAAATCGGATTAACATGAGGGAGCAATTGGAAGCCCGCGCTAAAATGGAGATCCCGAGCGCGGCACGGCGCGGTGTAGTGAGACACAAAAATGGACAAATGAAAACCACCAAAACAAAACGAACGACGGGAAAAATTGCCAAAGCTGGAATGAAAGATAGAACGAACGAGAGTACTGCATTCATTTTTGTTATTATATTCGTGTTTATTATTTATGCTATTCACAAAATGAAACTATACATTCTCATTTTTATTTCAAGATGATACATTTTTTTTATCTCTCTCTTTCTGTCGGTCTCTTTCACTGCGCTTTATACAACTTTCAAAGCTGTAATATATACCGTCTATAAATCGTTTTTTCGAGATATACACATACTCTTGGGAATGAGTAGAAGACTCTTCAATTTTTTCACTCTCACATATCATCAGTTATTTTGAATCCACAAATATCAGCAAAATCGAATTCGAAAGCAATGAACATGCCAATGTTGAAGAAAAAACAGCCTGTTTTATGTGCGTTAAAGGTTACGGAATATTTTAATTCCATCTTTAAAGTAAAGTAAATAATATGTATTTTACCTTACTTAAATCCGAAAACGATCGCTAGATAAGTACAGATCGTATCTAAAAACTAACATTTGTTATTAAACTTCAGTAGTGAACAAAACTCACACAGCTAGCTTACTTTTAGTAGCAATGTTTCATCTACATCGAACAAATCATTTATGGAAGTTTCAGAGGAAGCATTCATCGAATATTGCAGTAGTTTGGATAGCTGAAATGTTTACAATCACTATTATTAAAAGATCATATTTAATTAAAACATAATATTTGGTTTCACGTGATACTGAGTGAATGTATTATTATACCTGATTGTTGATATCTTTATTATGTACATTCACCATTATAATTTCACTTAAAATTTCACTTGTTTTTTGACTCTGTGTATTATATGAATTGAAATTATGTGTCCTTTAAGCTTCTTAAGAATAAAAAGTAAATTGTTAATTAATAGTTACCTCACTAATGACGCTAGAAGTCGCTTTTGTCATAATTATCAAACAAACGACATTGAAAATCATCAGAAAACAAAAGTATACTTGGTGGTTATAATCAAGTTCACATGTTCTAGAAATGCACTGAGTTAGTGGAAAAATTGACTGAACCAATTGTAAAAAGTAATGCAGTACTATTATTAATAATGGGATGGAAAAAAATTCTACCGTTAAATCAATTAATTTCTTTGAAGCTGCATACAATTCTGTTAGTTGAATTGTCAATGCTAAGATGTTAATTTCTTTGGTCTCTGTTTCGAAGCGGTTTGAAACTTTAGATTCGCTAAAAGCGGAATGAACTTCGAAAACTCGAAGATGTTCTTTTTTTTGCAAATTAAATAGACTAGAATTGACGATTTTTATAGCATTGCGAGCAACATTTATCAAAGTTGTGTATTGCAGATACATTGCTATAAAGACTATCTTAGATGTCATGATATAAAAAAGTAGTCCATCTACCTTAACACTAATTTTGAATGTCATTTGAAGTGCCACAGGAAGGAGAAAAATAAAATTGAGAACGAATGACATTGTAATATTTCTCGATAGTTCTACATTTTTAATGTTTAAGTTCTGAACCTTGGTGGTCAAATTTTTTATGCTGTTTATAGTTTTAGTTATGTTTTCAAGTAAACTTTTTTTCTTGTAAAAATAAAAAGTAAACATGATGAAAAGAAAAGTGAACAAAAATATAGAAAATTGAAAAAAAAAGTAATAGAATCTATTATTCAGTTCTAAAAGTTTTGAAGCTTGCCATCCCAATGCTGTAAACCCAAAAATCAAAGTAATACTATATAATACATCACGATAGATTGAATTTTTTACTTGATACTTGACATAACTTAAACCAGTTTCTTGATAAATACCAATTGTACACATAATTCCACACAATTTGAAAAAGTAAAAAATGCTTCTTTCACCGAGATGAGACATATCTTTTTATTTTAAACTACTCAGCGTGTGATTATATTTGAAATAATTTTAAAGTTGAATTAAAGTATTTGTGTCTTGAAAATACATTCAAAAGTAATAATATAAAAATAAATATACAGTGGAGTTTGTTATTCCACATCTTGATCCTAAATAAATATGTTTAATTTTCTACGTGTTCAAAGAGCTTGTAACATGAATAATTGAGCAATTATTTGCTTCTAACCGAGTGAACATTTTCCGATACTTCAGGGTTTTATCTTGAAATTATATTTAATATTTTATCATTTTTCGCTATATGATTTAATACAAAATGAATAATTTCGAATTTATTGAACATGTGAATATTTTAATTCAATGCTCTCTTTATATAGAAAATTGATTCATAGGTTGACATAACTGATAGACTACCTATATTTGTGTTTGTGATGAGGCTTTTACATTATTGAAAAAGGGCTTACAACCGATTAAAATATTTTAAAATTTTTTACGTATAATTTTGCCCAAAGGAATTAAATGAGTTGCAGCATTAACATTTCACATGATTGATCGAAAATGTTTGTGAACTCGTATCGTGAAAATATTCCTAACATGTTTAATACATTTTCAACAATAGCATTGAACCACGTAAAATACGAAATCAACCATGATTTAACGCATATTATAGTGAATATTTTCATTATTAATATTTCCGGTATAAATATTCAATTGATCTGTATATCTAAAGAAAATTTTACAATTATAGGCTGCAATCGAACACTCAGAAATTCCGTTGGATGGATTCGATGGACTGGCCGAATGGGAAAATGTATCGTCAGATTACGAGCACCTTTGAAAGACCCACAGGTGAGTTATAAAAATAGATTAAATCTCGTTTGCATATTTTTTGTTACAATAAAAACTATACATTTGGAGTGGGACTTTCGATAAAGTGAAAAATATTTATGAGTTATCGTAAACAATAGGTTATAGAAATGCGAATAAGGAGAATGCAAGTTGGAGTTTTGAAAAATTCACGATGCGAGGGGGCGCACGTACAGTTTTCCGATGAACAAGAGGATCTTGACGAAAATGCCGGCCGTTACTGTGGTCACGTAACTGGAAATACGACCAGGTATACTTTATTTTAATTATCATCCCTACAAAAGCTCGTTGCGCACATATTATATGCCTTTATCATAAAGAATATAAAAATCTTTTATACCATGAGCTTAAAATACCTAGGATAAATTTTAATAATGAGGTCGTTTTTTATCTTTATCATGTACATTTTATTGTTTTGGCAAAGCTAGAGTTTAATTTCAATTACATGTTTGATTACACAAAAATTATTCAGATTTTTTCGTTACTTTAAACTGTAACACAATCACCAAATAAGTAACTATCGTCCCCACGAACTGTCAAAAATCAATTTTATTTAAAACGTGAAGATATTGAAATGTAAATATTATTTAGAAAATTAGCTTACGGGTAATATTAATGTATCATCGATACTAAATAATTTGAATACTTCAAATTTTATTCTGTTGCACATGACATAATTCAAAAAGTTCGCTAACTGTAAATTAATGGACACTTATTATTCCAAGTTTATTTTTACAAAAACAGAATGATAACTTACTTCTTCGTTAATATGTGGCTCATAATTGTTCAGCATTATAATTTCACTTAAAATTTTTCTGGCTTTATCACTCTATAATTATCAACTTGTGTTATTCAAATTAAATATTCAACAATTGTTATTCAAATTAAATATTACCTCCTGTTTTACATTTGAAGCAGTTTTGGTCAACATTATGAGAGAAGTGGAATAGAAAACAATACTATAAATCGCACCTAATTGCTCATAAATAGTCATCGTACAACTCATAGAGGTTATACATTTCAATATGAAAAAAGAATTATAGGTAATAATAATAAAGTAATAGAAAATACAGAAGAACATGGGAATTGAAAAAAATTGGGACAAATCGTTAGATAATATCTTTAAAGCACGGTATAAATCTCGTGATTTTAATAACTGAATGCAGATACCATCATAATGACATACAATTTTATCATCTGTTTTACTAGCGATATTAACGAGGGGAATATTCTGTATGATATCATTTAGTACTTGTTGATTTTTATGTTTGAATGGAATCTCAAAATTTCTGTTGACATTTCTAAATGCTCTTAAAACAAAGTTAATCATTATTGAGTATTGCAATACAAAAGAGAACATCATTACAGGATTTATCAATAGCCCAATACTGGTAATGTTCCATCGTTTTTCTACAAATATGTAAAGACTTGTGCGAATAATTATCAAAAATAAGAGAAGAAACATTGTAAAGGGAAAAATTTTTTCCGAATTACCAAACCTCTCTTTTTGGTGAGTCGTATCAGTTGAGGGAACAGCAGTTGATTTTTTCACAAAATTTATGTAATAAAGAATACGGGTTATGGATTTTTTTCTTATGAATAGAAATATAGAAAAACTGATAAAATTTATGTAAAATAAGACATCCAAAAATAGTAAAAAAATACTACGAAAGTGCAAATTAACCGAATAGATTACATAAGTTTGTAAATAATCAGTTTTACAATAACTCATTAAAAAAATAAAAAAAATATTATAGGAAAATATGATCTTCGAACTACTATTACAGTCGTAACGTACATGTTGACCATTCACTAATTTTAAATCAATATTTGTAGCTAAGCCCAGTATTTTGAAGTAATATAAAACAAAATAATATTTTGCCAAATTTATTGCATCCATTGTGATTAACTAGTTTTTAACAGACATTTATACAAATAAGAATCATTTTAAGCAGTTTACAGACCGCCAGTAGGGAAACTATTTGCTTGTACTTGAAAACATGCTAGTAAAGCATGTTATTTTTTAATTTTACAGCGCTGCAATTTGTATTGACTTTTTCACCGTATGAATATTAATCTTTTGACTTGAAAGCGCGTGTTATTTTGAATGCAAAAGTTCATTTTCGGCCTTCATTTTGTTTTGCTGTTTCTGCTCCACCCTTATATACATTCAAGCCAAAAATTAATTTTTTCTTTTCAAATATGAAACATGAAATGGATTTAATCTATAACAGGAGAAAACTCGAGCAGAGTTTCAAAAAAGGCAGTAACGCATGATTATTTCAAGGGTTGCTCACAAAAGATGTATTCGATTGTACACAGGTTATTTTTGCGCCGAGGTCCTGACCTGTCCGTAATTTTGGATTCCGAAACACGTTTCGCTGCCGAGAACCCGGTGATCTTCTCGGCACAATACTCAATCCTTCCGGCTCGATTGGCTAACGAGCGCCACCACATACAGCGCAATATAGCGTCTTTGCCGTTGGCCACCACCTTGAGCGGCGACTGCCCCTTGGAATGTACACAGCGCAACGACCGTAAAATGTGCCGACTCGTCTCGCCCGGCTATCCTGGAATATACCCAAGAAACATACGATGCAGGGTGGAGCTCGAGTCGAGCGCCGGACGCTTTCGAATAGGCGGCGGACACGAGGACGTTTACAACTTGATGAATCACACGAGCCAGGAGGCCTGCAGCACCGAGTTCTGCGAGCAGGAGCACGTGGAGCTCGGCTCGATGGCCATGCCCAGCGCCGACCAGCCCGAGGAGGAGCGTATCAACCTGAACAGGCCCAAAACTGGTACAGGGAAAATTACATTGTCCACCCTCGAGAATCGGTGAACATTTTTTGCTGACGAATCAATTTCCTTCGACAGATCTGGACGAGCTAGACGAGATAATAATCGGGCAAGAAAAGCCGAGCGAGGAAGAGGAAAACTCGCGCCAGCAGCAGCAGCAGCCAAAGAAGCGACGGAGGTCAAAGGGCAAGCAGCATCAGCAGCAGCTGCAACAAGCTCGGCACTCCGAGGACTTGGACGCGTTGCCAGATGACGATAAGGAGGATACGGATCATTCTAGCAACAGACCAACGGACGGCTCCAGCGAGTCGGAGCCATTTATCAATGAGCTGCTCCGACCGAAAAATAGGAAGCAGCATCGAGATAAGCAACTTTTTTGGCCGAAGCACAGGTACTTGCGACTAGACCCGTCAAATTTTCTTTGAGACCTCTCCATCTTTGTGCTATTATGAAAACTTTTCAGTAAATTGAATTGCAAATATTTTGACGAACGGCTGCATTTTTTGTACGAAAGTAGTTTCGTTGCGTGGAAGTAAAAGTTGAAAAATGTTGCAGGAGAGAATCAGAGAGCGAATCGCACGATAGATCAAGCTCGCACCGTCAGCGTCGGACCGGAGGTCAGCAGCACCGGCACTTGCGCAAGGGCCGACGACCGCACGACAGTCTGGTCGAGCAGGCGCACTTGGGCAGCGGCAGCTGCGTCGGCGACTATCTCGCCCTCATGGAGAACTTCAACGGTCGCCTGCTGGAGATCGGCAAGTTCTGCGGCGAGGGTCACTTCCCGCAGATCCTGACGCGCGGTCGCAACCTCGTGGTGGAGTTTCGTGCCGAGCGCGACGGCACCGTGATGCACGACGGCTTCCATCTGAGCATACAGGAGAGCGAGGCACCGGCCGCGGCTCTCGCTGCGGCGGCCGATCTGTCGCTGGCTCTGCCGGCCCAGGCCGATCGCCACAAGCCGCCCAGCTGCGACTTTACCTTACGGAGCAACGACAAGGCCAAGGACAGCGTCAAGTCCTTGCGTAGCTGGTACCCGCCGGAGACGCTGTGCAATTATCGATTCGTCGGCAAAGTCAATGAGAGGGTGTCGGTTCTTTTGAAAATCGTGCGCGAAGAGACGGAGAACGGAGACGAAAAATCGGCTAAGAAGAACGCGACGAGCGCCTCGGACCACTGCACGGGCAACGAGATTGCGGTGTACAACGGCACCGAACCCCAAGGGGCTTTTCTCCTCTGGTCCTTTTGCGACGCTACTCATACGGACATTAATAACATTCAGGTTACTATTATATCTTAATGATATTCATACTTTCTTTCAATTTCTCCATTTATAACGTAATCGTGCTAAATAAAAATGATGGATTTTTCAGGTACCGATAATGTCAACGAATAACTTGCTGCTGATTCAATTCTACAGCGCAACTGGTTCGTACGATGGCCAAGACTTCACGTATTCCATAACGTATAAATTCGTGAGAAAGGCAGCGTCAGCAACGTCTGGGAACGCGACGAAACGGCCGCGTCAGGGAGGCTCGTCGCCCCCCTCGTCCTCCCTACCTCTGCTGGAGGAGAACGAGTCGCGGCTCATATCGCTCAAGCCGGTGAACCTGTCGAGTCTGAATCTGGACGAGGCCGAGGGCTGCAATTGCAACTTCGCCGATCGCATCGGCAGCTTCAAGTCTTGGTTCGTCGTGCTCGTGGTCCTCGGCGTCATATCGTTCGCCGGGGCCTTGGCCACCGTCATCGCCCTCATCTGCAAGTGCGTGAGGAATCGCAGAGCCGAGAAGAAGCTCATCCAGCGGACCCCCAAACGGTCCTCGTTTTATTACAAGGGCCCGACCGACTGACACAGCGCCCACATTTATTACGCGCCCGAGTGACAAGCCCAAATACAACTGAGTTACCAATAATTTTTTAAGACTTTTAACGTGCGGCCTCTCGTGCTTGCCAAAGAGAGAAGACTGATCGGAGAGACTGTGAGTGCATAAATTTAAAATAAAAGACGGACATAGCGAAAAACAAATGAGAGCGAAAGAGAAACTGTGAATTGTTCGTCGTGAAAATAAATGTAATATACTATATTATACCATATTAGCTAACTAATGTAAAATTATTTTATATGCGCATGGCCGTAACGCTACGCTCAAAAAACCTAACAGTGATTCGTTTGTACGTAATTATACGATAATAGACTATAAGTGTAAAGAGTCAGTTTTTAATTTTATTGATTGTTAGTTTCGACAAATACCATACGATCGACAAATATTTATATCCCATTTTATAAATATATATTATATCTATATCGCAAATGATCATTTCTCCTTTGTCCTATAATATGAAAAATTTACCCTAAGCTTTATACGAAATTAAAATATTCTTTTATTAATTATCATCGAAAAATAATTAATACGGGACCAATCTAAATTATTTCAAGAAATCTACTTTATCGTCCAGGGTAAGCCGAATTTTGGCATGCTAAATTTTGATAAACTGCCACGCAATCGTGATAAAGTCAACGTGAAGTGAATAATTCATTTGTTCATTTAGTTAAAGTAAAAATTCTAGTAAAATGTCAAATAAAGATACATTACCATTTTCGTTAAATAAAAAAAACGGTTGATCAGAAAAATAGCTGCAGAAACGTTGCGACAAAAGTAGACTCAAGATTATTCCGATGATTCAGCGGGAAACTTAAACAAAACACGGCTGATTAATTTTTTGCTTTGTTCGTTGATAATTGGTGCGAAACGTCATAAAAGGATGTGACGTAATCTATAGCCAGTCAATGTTGGTAAGGTGGAGACGAGCAAGCACTAACTATGTGAGTTGTGACCAAGCGTATCGTAGCTTCTGTCGCTGCTGCAGTTTTCTCAATTTACAAGCGCAATTCAGCTCGTTACGCACAAAGTTATATATACACATTAGCTCGACTGCCGGTGCTTATAAACTATACATAGGTTATAGCAATATAGGCAGTGTCGAGTATTGGCTTGTCTCCGTATGCTGTATAGATGTAGTAGGCATCCATATATAGTGGCCGGGTCCAGTTTATGCTGATCGGTCGGTGTTATTGCGATTTGAAAGAGACAGAGAGAGACGATTATAGGCAAGGAGCGGCGGCCGCGGCAGTGCTGCCGTAGCATACAACACGACCAAAGGAATCACTACAGAGCAGTTCTGCAGCTGTGGCCTGTGTCTCGTTGCTGATCATCGTCCTGCACTGCGCACTGCGAACCCTTGCCTGACCCGCACACCCGACGACGAGGCTCTTTTAATCCGATCATTAACCTAGCCCGAGTGAGTGCTTAAAAGGGATACTGCGGAAAATGGCGCGAGTCGTGGCTATCAAGGAGACCTTGGACAAAATGCTCCAAGACGAGAACAAGCCCTGGTCCAAGTACTTGGCCTTCGCCGAGCAGAAAACCGGCGTGGACAGACTGTACATTTTTGTCGGTGAGTTTATACCATGGCCTTAGGCACTCTCTTTCTCTATTATAAGCGGCTCGCGCGCCTTTTTTTCCGCCCACTTTCGCAGCCAACTATGAGGTTAGACGCGGGTCGATCCCGAGTATTTATTTTTCCTCGCATATCTGGATTTTTGCATTTACGTAACCTCGATTGGCTTTGTTAATTGACGCGAAATTAATCGCTGTCTCGTGACTCGATGATTTCGCTCGCACATCTTTACGAGTGCTCGGGGCCGATGACACGGGAAAATGTAAAATATCTCGTCTGACCGCAGGGGGTTGTCCATCGGGCGGGTGAAAAGACTCTCGCGTAAACTTGGTTTTGTCGTAATGTCATAAACTTATCAACTCATCGCAATGTATCTATATAAGCAATGTTGCAAGTCATGGAGTTGAACTGCGTTTAAACCCGTTTTTGTATTATCGTAATTATTGATGAATAAATTACTTGGCATTGAAGAAAAGACATATGATACAAATCTTGAATGTCTCATTGTATCAGAGCACTGATTTGACTCATTTTTCATGCTTAAATCATTTCTAATTACTCAGAAAGCAATTTCTTATTATTTAAACTATCACTTCTAATTATTTTTCAAATCAAATTTAATATTATTAAAGATTTTTTTTCTTATACTTTGCCAATTTATGATTATTTTAATTTCTCATTGTATTACTTGAAACTATTAAAATAATTTTCCTAGAAATAATCGTGTTGGCAACAAATAATTAATATCTAAATTCTGTTTTTAGCATCTGTCTTATTCTTGGCACTCTACCTAGTTGTTGGAATAGGGCAGCAACTACTCTCAAATGTAATTGGCTTCACATATCCAGCCTACTGCTCTATAAAAGCCATTGAAACAAAACAGAAGGATGATGACACAAAATGGTTGACCTACTGGGTAGTTTTTGCTATTTTTACTATTGTGGAATATTTTTCCGATTGCATAGTGGGCTGGTTCCCAGTATACTGGCTAGCTAAGGTATGAATTCTATTTCTATATTACTAGTCATGAACACATGAATTATAAATATACTCCTTCTTTTCAGTGCTTATTCTACGTATGGCTTATGGTTCCTACTGAATACAATGGATCTCTTATCTTGTACCGAAGAATTATTCGTCCAAAATTCCTTCAATATCAACCAGACATTGACAATATGTTATCTGAGGCTAGGAAAAGTGGTTAGTTATTTTACCAATGAAAATTTTGATTGTTCGCTAAAATTTAAACCTTACTAATTTATTACTACTGTTACAGCCATGAAAGCAACTGGAACTCTATTGAACACCAACAAGACAGATTAATTTAAAATATTAGAGTGTCTACTTTCCAAATATTAGCAATTTTTATATTAAGTTCTTCTTACCCATTCCTAAATAATACAATACAATTATTGAAAAATTAGAGCTCATCTTTTTTTTACAATTTCAAACTTTTTTATGGTCTCTAAGGTACATTTTTGTTAATTTGTTTTTATTCATCTTTGTGTTTTTTTTGGTACATTGAAAAATTCGAAAATTTTAATGATAAGAATTTAGTATAAAATTCAAGTGCCTTGAGCTAAATTAAATCTGATAAGAATGTTTGAAAATGTAAATTTGTAAGAAAAATTAATGTGCCATTTTTCAATTCCTCAAAATACATGTCTATATGTAATTGGATGTTAAACAGTTTTATGGAGAATCATCTTTTTGTTTGAAAATTTTCATCAATTGTGCTTCACTTCAGAGTATTTTCTTAAGATTATCAAAAGTGCTGCCAAATTCAGCTGATATTTTTTTCTGTAAACTAACTCAACTTATATCTTTTCCATCATAAGTATATAAAATATACATATAAAAGTATTGAATGTATTTTAATTAATGAATGGTGAATATTTAGTTTAAAAAAAGTTATCAATATCTGGTTCAGATAATAATTTGGTAAAATTTATTTGTAAGTTGTTCAACTTAGTTTTGGTAAGGCGATTTTGATATTACTATTGTTTGTGTAAATAAACATGGCATAGAGTTACCAATAGTTGGTATCTCATGAAGTTGACTAAGCACAAAATACAATTTCTGTAAAGTAAAAGTGTCTTTATGATTTCCGTTCTTTACTCCTGTATCTGATTGACTTTATTTCAAATAATCCGTGTCCGCCAGAGTGTTACTATGAAAAACAGAAGAAATGTTAAATAATAATGAAATTATTAATGCGATGTTTACGAAAAAGGCAAAAACTATAGTACATTTCTTTGTAATGGAATTTTTCTGCTGTAAGGGCAAGTTTACGAATGTGTCGAATCGTCGTTGCCGCTGCGATTTGAACCTCGGCGTCTTCCGATCCTACCAATCGTAGCACGTGCTGGAAAATTTTATCTATCAGATTGCTTCTCGAGCAAAAGAAAAACGAATGAATTTGTTCTGTAAAAGTACCTTGACGACGCCGCAGGTATGCATAGTCACGCAATTGGATGGCTCTTTGCTGAGATGATAGAAAGCAATACAAACCCCTTTGAGAACTTCCTTATTAGTGCTCGTCAAGTAATTAACCAAAGGTGCTACAGCTTTCAGACGTCCAAATTCGTAATTGTTTTGTCCCCACTCGCTGCAGTAGGCAATAGCGAGCGTCAAATTTGCCCGCAGATTTTCATCCTCCTAAAAAACGCAATTGCGATAAAACCTGTTGGAAAAATATGCCAGCCAATAGAATCTCACCGTGTGCACGAGGCCAGCGAGTTTTTCAACGACCCCGTGATCGGTGATGATGCCGAGGTTCTCCATGTCCATGGCGATCTCGGCGATGGTGGCGCAAACGGCCGCCTGAACCTGCGTGTCTTTGCTCTCGAGCAGACTGACGACGAGCTCGAGGCCACCGACGAAGGCCCGCACCATCTCCGCCGAGTTCTTGGCGTGCTTGACGCAGTGGACCAGAGCGAGGCAGGCGTTGGTCTTGACGGCGTCGCTCTGGTGCTTGAGCAGCGACCAAACGAGGCGCACCCCGTCGTTGCGGTGCTCCTCGTCGTTGATCTCGTCCATGCACCACTGGTTCTGGGCCAGTTCGCCGATCACCAGGGGAATGTTCACCAGCAGCGGCTCGTAGGTCGCGTTCAGTAGCTTGATCTGCGATCAGTCGACGACGATTTAGTCGAGTCGAGAAAACGCGGGGTGATACGCACCAATTTGGGAATGCCACCGGCATTCTTCAGGGCGTCCCTGTTGGCATCGTCTTTGCAGCACTCAGCCAGAGCCCCGACGACGTTGGCCAGCACGTCCTCGTCCTCGTTCTCGTCCAGCAAGTTGACCAAGGACTGCACCAGGCGATTCTGGTTGAATCGGTAGACGTTCTCCGGGCTCTTGGCGCACTTCCACACTGCCCCGGTCACGGCCGCCAGCAGCTTCTTGTTCTCGTAGACTTTGGGGTCGACGACGAGCTTGCAGAGCGGGTCAAGGCCCCCGGCCTCGCGCACCATGTCGCGCGATATCTTGTTGACGGCGCACTTGAAGATGGCCAGGGCGCAGTTCTCCTTGAGCTTCAGGTCCTCGTTGTCGAGGTGGCGCACGATCTCCCCGATTATGTCCATCTTCTCGTAGGCCAGCCTGTAAACTTTCTGCCTGGCGTTAAATTCTGTCGAATCGAAATCGCGAAGCGTGGTAACTTACGACGTCGGAGCAGAGCTGCACAGCGCCCATGGTCGGTATGACGAGGTCCGTCGTCGAGGACTTGAGGTATCGCGCGATCAGGAAGATGGCGCCGTGTTTGCGAAGCTCCTCTTTGATCTTCGGGCTCGTGCAGATGGAGTTGAGGACTTTGGCGCAGCCGATGGCCACCGTCAGCATCTCCTTCTCGTTGTCGTCGAGCTCCTCCGGCGAGCGCCACACGATCGACTCGGGCACGTCCATTATGTCCAGCTTGATCGACGCAAATCGTTCGAGTTACCGATCGCGTCGCCTAACGAGATTGTAACTTTGCTTACGATCAATGGAATTCCCCCGCGCAGTCGAAGCTGCTTGCGAGCTTTTTTCGTCATCGTGATGTTGGCCATCGTCTCGACCGTCAAGCGTTGAATGTCACGCGCCGGGTGCTTCAGCAGTTCGATCAAGGGCGTCACGACGCCCAGATCGACCAGGTGGTGTCTGGTGTCGCGCGCGGCCGACAGCTCCAGCATGACGGCCAACGAGCCCTGCTGGCACTTGATCTCGCGCGTCTCCAGCAGATTCACCAGGATCTCCAGGCCACCCATCTCGAAGATGATTTTGTGTATAACCTGTGGGCAACGAAAAGTCCGCTTAGCCGAGCTCCAAATGCTGGGGGTAGTGGCTGCTTACTCTGTTCGACAGGTCGAAATCCTTGAGCAGGCACAGCGCCACGGTGGTGGCCGTCTGATTTCCAGCCTTCATGTACTTGATGAGCTTCTGCATGTGCCAGAACTCGGTGGGCACCTCCGAGCCGCCCGAGTCGTCTTTGCGGAATCTGGCGTCGACGTCGCTCTCGGAGCTCGGCTCGTCGTCCGAGCTCTCGAGCTCGCGCTGCTCGCTGATCTGCTTGACCCGGGGTCCGAACGGCTCGCCCGTGACCAGCGAGACCGGCATCTGCGTCGTCGAGCCCCCGACATCGTGAGTGCGCTCGTCGCCCTGCTCGCTCGAGACGCTTCTGGGACAACAAGCATCGAGATTACACACCTTGATAGCCGCCCATTGGCTCGACCGCCGAGCTCTCACTTACTCGGGAATGGGACCGATTTCGATTTTAGGCACGGATTTTTTCTTATCTTTACCCATGTTTTTTTTCTAGCGTCGTGATACCTGCACGGACTTGAAGTTGACTGTTCGATGCAGCACGAGGATTTGCTCGCGCGAGTGGTCGCTTCGATACTGGCTCTCAGGCGTATCGATCAAACGTCGCACATGAGCCATTAACCAAGCAAAATCTGGGATTCGTGGAAATCAGAGAGACGAGTTTTTTGAAGTTTATTAATAATTTATTATAATCTTAACATTGCTACAGTGTTACATATCGTAAACAGAGTTGCTGCGACAAGTGTAACTCCATTTTATTTTGAGCGCTCACGCACATTTATACGTTATACAGTTTTGGATGCGCCTTTTCCAGGAAAATTGATGCAATTTTTTTTTTGTAGAAGAGATGTGTGTGTTTGATCTGAATATATAAGCAATACACGATCAAAATATAATGCGTATTTACACATGTGTGCAAAATTTCATTAACTTGATAGGCTTTTATTCGAGTTCACGCATGCACGAGTTTGTGTGCGCGAGAAAAATTCCATACGTTAAAATTTATAAACATTATTTGCAAATTTTTTTTCTCCACGCAATAAATAACTTCTTCAATTTTCTCTAGTTTTCGCTTTTTACTTCCTTTGTTCATCTTCTTTCTCGCTCTCACTCGTTCTATTTTCGTATCAATTCGTTTAGGAACTTTTTTGCCAAAGGCCGACACGCCGCCTATTTTTGCTCGCAGGTACTCTTGTTTCAAATCGCCATTCATCCCTTAATTTCGTATTATTTATTTAATAATTTTTTTTTGCTCTTTTTTAGATAATTTTTTGTTCAAATTTCTTTTTAAGACGTGTCGCACTCCACGGCTATTTTGTATTATTTAAAATTTTATCGATAATTTATTACAATCGCAACGATTAATATAATTAATACCGATCATCAATTATATATCTAAATGTTTAGACCGTGTACAATCGAAGCCGTTATTCTTATACATGTAATGACAATGGATAATAATAATGAAAACTCAACTTCACCGGTATCAATTCATCCAGCTGGTTTCAAAATAATAATAATTAAAAACTGGCCAAAGTCATAGTCAATATGTGAATGTGGCAATACACAAAATATCATATATTTTTTAAAGAAACAAAAATAATAATAATAAATCGTAATTTTACATCAGCGAGCCCCACAATATTTCATATCGTTACTGATCCACGCCACGAGCTCGTCGATGTCACCAAAAATAATTGTATATAAAAAATTTTATCGATATCTGCTGCCATGCGCAGAAAATTATCATCATCACAATTAATGGATACAAATACTTTTTCTTTCCTTAAATAAAATACTTTGTAATCGTTGATTCATCGTTAATATGCTAAAGCATCTCATTTGTGCTTCCGTCAATATATTGCTCGATTCTTTTACAGGTCTTCGGACTTATAGACTATAACTTTTTCTTTGCAATAATACTTCACGTACCTTTTTCATTTTTTTTTCAAATAGTAATAATTGGCCATTACTTAAAACACGGACCGTGCCACGGTCATCGGTTAGTTACACGCTATACTAATAATTTCTTTCACTTTAGCAACCTTAGGCCACGGGCCAAGACTTTTCCTTAATTTAATCCTAAAAACTATATTGATATAGCCCTCGATTGCGTCGATACCAAAAATCGTGTCCTGCAGTATCAACGAGTTATACAATTTCATCGTTAACGCCAAAATTCTTTCTTACTTTTGTACCATAAAATTTGTTGCTCACAACGACGATTGTTGCAATAGCTTATATGAGCATTATTTGACACGGACAATTTGCACTTTCTTGACAATTTTTATTCAAACCCACACACAAATGATCAATCTTACTTACGAGCGGTGATAAAGCGCTCGAGTCATCATAGTTGCAAACCATTAAATTAGATGTTATTAAAAGCTAAATTAATATTTTTGTTTTGTTTTTTTGATAAATTCTGTTTTCAGACATGTTTTTCAAACATTCAAACATTCAAACATTAGTGTGGTCACACATTAACTTATGTAAATAGCAAAGAAAACATTAAATCATCTTATAAATTATATAACATTAATCGAGTGAAGAAGAAGTTTTTTCTAGTATTTGGCCCAATTTGGGTCCAGCCAATGCCACAATTTTAACATACTTTCACGCGTAAATGTGATCGGCACTCGTCACATTTGTCTCGTGAGAAAAAATTTATGTGAGTTATAAATAGTTTCATTTTTCCAGTAATAGGCCCGTAGAGCACATTTGTTTTTTGTATTCCTTTGTTCTATTATCACAATTATTATTTGCATTTGAAGTACGACTCAACTATCCAGTTAAAATATCTTTTTCATGGCACAGAGAGTTCATTCTAATTTCATTACCTTGATTAGAAAAAATAATTTACATCGTAAAACGAGCACATCCACTGTATCTCTTATTTTTGTCTCAAAGCAAATCTTGCATATCATGAACTTGTTTGTTTCTTTTTTGTTTTTTTTTTTTTTTTTTCATTGAGAAGACTTTTTTATCACAAGACAAAAAACGTATAGTATAGGCCTTTTAAAACAGCAGATTTAAAAAGCATCAATAGCCTTCTTAGATTTGCACTTTTGTGAAATTTGCCCTCGCAGTGTTTTCAATTTTATGCGTGAAAGACTAAATCGTATTGCAGAAAACGATAAGATTCGATGACGGCAAACTCATTTTTATCACATTATGCACAAAAGTGCAAAGATCTAGAACGTAAGAGTTTATCTTGAGGAAGGTAACTGTTTATAAAGCGAGAAATTGCGTTATTGATATAGACTACTTTAGGATCGATTAACGAAGCAACGATTTTCATTTTTTATCGATATTAATAAAAACACTGGTAAGTATTATGCGAGAATTTTATACGTTTAACATATGGTAACTTTTGTGACTAGCTTGTAACAATATTTAGAATAAACATTATATCGTTATCGAGGAGGGTTTCGGATTAATATATCGGATTCGGATTAAAATCTTACGTTTGATTTTGTCACGCAATTTGAAAATTAATCTATTATTCTTATGCACCTCGTTGCGAATGTTTGTCCTCATACTTGCAGCTGTCACGGCGCAGAAACGACAAACATTCGCAAAAAATCATACTTGTCAATTGCATTCGTAATATATGCGTTATAGAAACAACGTTTTAACGTAAAAGCTTGGCATTCTTCTTCTCAGTCTTAAGTAACAGTCTTACTTGATAATGAAAATGAAAACAGACACATTATATCGACACAAAGAAGAGAAAATATTTTGCGAAAGATTACATCTCTCTGGGAAAATCATTTGTTTTACACTTAAGTTATAATCACAGACTCGACAAAATGAATCAACTCAACGACGGAGAAAACTAGCGATTGGATTGATTCCGCAAATTTTATTTACGCTTGTTTCAAAATGGAGATCTTACAATTTAATTAACTGAACTAATGCAACAGTTTTATAAAGACAACGTGAATAGAAAACATTTTTCATAACATAAAGTTCAGTTAATAGCCAGCTTTTTCGTTGGAATTAATTTTACAAATCAACGTTGTTAATTGATCGGATATAAATTTTCGGCGCTTTGACGATACAAGATAAAAATTAATTTTACAGTCCGAGAAAACTTGTCTAGGTAAAAACGTATAGCAAATAATACATTACGGTAAGTTTCTTAGTTAAAAAGAACTTTAGTCGTTGTTTTTTTTGATTTTAAAGCAAAAATTAAAGCTAAATTTTTTGATGGCCTTAGTCTCGGCTACTTCATGATTCGATTGGATGATTTGATCAATAAGTACTTAACTCGAATCATGCTTTAGACGATGTCTGAATAAATCTTTTACACGTATACACATACTTACATAGTAATAGATTAAAATCTAAAATGATAATAATAATAATGTTAATTGTTTTTCGTCAACTATATAATATTATAAGCATGGAAAGAATACGCTACTTTCTTGTTGCTTACGTCAATACCTCCTTTCCTTACACACGAATAAAATTTTATTTTCTTAATAAAAATTTAAAAATCATATCTCCCGTCGTTGTTTTCCGAGTACGGACAATTCATTGGTTTTTAAAAATCAGTTTCACAATCAGTTTCATAAAGTTTTCTTTTTTTCAGGAAACCACGTTTTGCAAGACGTAGATTCGTCTCGGCAAAAAAATTTATAATCGATGCGTCGAAATACTGATGCTGGAAAAAGATGACGCTCGATTTCGTACATTTTTTTTTTTTTGTCATCTTCTGTGTAAAAGTCCGTCGCCCGACCATCTCTCATATATACGCAATTTACATTTAAATTAGATATAATAATATATCTCTACAATTTGTTCATCGTCAAGTTCCGCACGCGATCATTTTTCTTGTCGGGGGGAAACAATATAATATTAGGGTTTCTCTGAACGCGGAAGGTCAACCTCGAATAAAACTATGCTCTTCAGAAGAGTTGATAAAAGCCTAGAAACAAACGTGTGTTGTTAGGCTAAAATGACTGATGCGGGCAACGACGCTTAGATGATCATGACCCGATTGTTGCCAAAGTCGACGACAGCGATGCGGCCGTCCGGGGTGAGGCAGATACCCGAGGGTCTGTCCATCTCGTCCAAGCCGCGGCCGTGGCTGCCGAACTTCCATCGCTGCGTGCCGTTGGCGTCGAAGATCTGCACGCGATGATTGCGCGAGTCCGCGACGATGATGTTGCCCTCGTCGTCGACGATGATGCCCTGGGGCCGCTGGAACTGCTTGGTGCTGCCGTTCGACTCGCAGGGCAGAACCCGGGCGGTACTGAACTCATGGTCGATCACGAGGATGCGGTGGTTGTTGAAGTCCGTGACGAGGACGCAGCCGTCGGGATTGAAGGCGACGCCGCGCGGCGAGTCGAAGTGCTTCCAGTAGTTGGGCGAGGACTCGAAGCCGTACTTGCGCAGGAATATGCCCTCGGGCGAGAACAGCTGGACGCGATGGTTGCGCGTGTCCGAGACGACGATCTGGCAGTCCGAGTTGACGGCCACGTCCCACGGATAGTTGAACTGGCCCATGTTGCTGCCCTTCTCGCCGAAGCTCAGCAGGTAGAGGCCCTCCATCGTGAGTATCTGGATGCGGTGGTTGTCCTTGTCGGCGACGATGATGCGGCGGCGGCCGTCGACGGCGACCCCGGCGGGCCGGTCGAACTGGCCGGGTCCGGTGCCCTGGGTGCCGAAGCGCCTCACCAAACTGCCGTCCTGCCTGTAGATCTGTATGCGGTTGTTGGAGCGGTCCGCCACGACGAGGTGGCCGTCCTGGTCGCAGGCGATGCCCCACGGCCGGCAGAGGTTGTCCGCCTCCGAGTCGCTGCTCGTGCCGATCACCTGGACGCCGCCCATGTTGGGGTAGCTCGGGTTGAGGCCCGAGCGCACGACGACGCTGTAGCTGCTGCCGGGGATGGGTCGGCCCTTGGACATGGCGGCCCCGTGGATGGGCAGGCTCGTTGCCGAGCGCTCGAACTGCAAGTAGTCGGCGGTAGTAGTGCGTTTGTGCTGGCTGGCCAATTGGCGCTTGCACAGGTCGGGCGCGGCTTTCATGGACGCAGCTTGCTCGAACTCGTCGAGGATGGATCTGACATCGATGAGGTCGCTGGATGTTAATTTGTTGTTGTTGCTCACCTGGGGCGAGGACTTGCCGATGGGCCGGCCGCGCACCGTGCGCCGATCGCCGATGGGCCCGGGGTTGTCGGTGACCACCGAGCCGAGATTGCCTATCGCCTGGAGCACGCCGTTCTCCGAGCTGGTGAACGCGATCCAGGACTCCTCGGGCGGCTGCATGTTCTGGCGCGACTGGTGGATCTGGAAGACCTCGGACGCGGCCATGTCTTTGGTCACGAGCAGATCGAACGGGTTGCCCGCGGCACTCGACACCTCCATCGAGTCACTGAGCTTCTCCGCGGCCGACTTGAGCCGCATGATGCCGTTGCTGAGGCCCTCGCCTCGCAAGCTCAGTGCCTTGCGCTTCCTCTGTCGGGATTCCTCGATCCTACCGATGAGTTCCTTCTGGCGCTTCTCCAGAGCCTCGGCGGCCCGTTGGATGCACTGCTCCACCTCGTTGGTAGCCTCGTGCGCCCTCATATCCAGTCTCTCGACCGACATCTGCCAGGGGAGAGCGCGAGAGCCAAAATTAAATGGATGCTACTCGGAAATTGTTAGAGCTGACCTACCTCGACCGCCTTGAGGTCTTCGGTGAGCGCGGCGATGCCGATGCGCGCGTCGTTGAGCACCTGACTGGCCTGGATGCCGGCCCGCTCGAACGCCTCGGCCAGCTGCACGGTCACGTGGCCCTGGTGCTGGTTCCGGTCGCACTCCAGGCAGTAGGGCTTGCCGCAGGTCTGGCAATAGAAGCGCTGCCCGTCCCGGTGGTACTCGCAGTAGATGGACGACGACGAGGACGACATGCTCGAGACGCCCGACAGCGACGTCGTCGTGCTGCCGCTGCTGCCCAGGTGCTTCTGGACCGGCCTGATCGGGGACGGCTGTCGGATCTGCGCCTGATAATTCATTACATACATCGTTAATAATTACACGACTCGATCGAATCGACGAATACGTTGTGGAATTGTACTGACGAGCATCGCCGTGGCGCACTGATAGCAGGGCATGTCGGTGCAGTTGCGGCAGCTGCTGGTGAGGCTGCTCGCGTCGCCGCTGTTCGTCAGGGCCCCGCTGTCGCACGTCAGCGGGCTCTCGTAGCTCTCGTAGCCGTCGTTGCTCGTGTGGTAGTTGAGCAGCAGATTGTTGATGTATCGGCTGACGTGGCTGTCGAGGGGGTCGAGCAGATCGTGATGGCTGTTGGGCGAGCGCCTCGACGCCAGACTGTCGTCCGACGAGCCGGTGTTGGTCGGACTCATCGATGCTATACTGGACGTGAGTAAGTGACTACTGCTGTGACCGGTGCCTTTGCCCGCCGAGGGCCACACCGAGTCTCCGATGCCGTACTGCATCAACGGAGGCGACGTGTGGTTCAGCTGGCCGGACGTGGACGAGCAGGGCGACGACGACGAGGTCGACGAGTTCTCCATCGTTTTTTGATAAGCCGACGAGTAGGCGCTGATGGACACGTTGGCGTTGCTGATGTTGCTGTTGTTGTTGTTTTTGTTGCTACTGCTGTTGTTGTTGTTGTTGCTGCTGCTGCTGAACTGGCCCCTTAGAGCGTTCAGCAGATGTGTCGTCGATGCATTCGTCTTCATCTGCGGGGGTGGCCCAATCGATCAGAGAGTCGATCTTTCGAACTTTTCGGGTAAAATATATAAGCGCTCGATGCGTCGAAATACTCACGTTGTTGTAATAGTTGTTGCTATTCATTGCGAGGCCGGATTGGAACGAGGTAATTTTGTACGGGTCTACCTCTTCAAAGTTATTCCGCTATCTTTGGCTGCAAAAAAAAACAAAATTTTTCATTCAACGATTTGGAGAAAAATTTGAGGAATCGACACGAAAGAAATGGGATTCTCATTTGCGATCGTAAAAGTACGTAATCGATCGATCGTAAAACTTTACCCGAGCGAGCATCGAAAGGGAAAGTGACGGCTGAATTCGAAGGCAAATTATGTTGCGTCGATTACTATACCCACTGGCGACGAAAACGGTCTCGGTCAACAGTTAGTGGCTATTGTTTGATGTGTGTCAAGAACGTGTTTGTGTGTATACACACATGGCTGCTACGTATATAGGTATACTATATGCACAAGGACACATTGTGTGAGTGGCGCCCCAGCGAATGACTCTTGTTATGGTCTGAAAAGCAGCTCTGAAAAGCCCCAACGAATATCAAACTTGTACTCGTAAGTCGTGTACGAGCGATACAGGTTTGGAAAGCGAAAAACTGGAACGCGACCGAGAGTAAAAGTGTTACCGAGGGGGGTAAGTAAGGAAGAAAGAAGATTAGCTTCGCACTCATTATTCTCCCATGGGCCGAGTATATGGCTGCCTTGTACTTATTACGTATGTATTCAGGTCATAGGCTTTTAAAGTGCACCTACGCATCTCGCGTACAGACCGTGAGATGGGACTTTTACGATTTATAGATATTTTTTCAGGTAGTCATGGATCGTCGATAAAATTTCACGAGAAGTTAAAAAATTTGTCGAACGACAAAGGCGGAAATTCCCAGGCTCCGGCGAACTCGTAACCGGCGCTTCTCGTCGCTAAAAACTAGTAACTATACGAACGAGACGAGATTCGCCAGGAAATCCGGAACTATCCGAGACAGAACTAGAAAATCTCGCGCATCGCGTCTAGGCCGCGTTTATTCGTCGCTACCGAGAGCCGCAACTAACCAGAATTTCGACTGCGGGCAAGGGAGGCGCGGGGCTGCTGTGCTTAGGCGGTCCATGCGATTCCATTCCAAGACGGCTACGTATATTACCTTATAATATACGTGACGCACAGCTTGGCAGGGAGAGGCGAGAAATAATCGATAACATTTAGTTAGCGCAAGAAAAAGGGTCCACCGAACCTATAATACAGATGTTTCTTCGCTCTCTCTCTCTTTCTATACGCGCGTACATTTTTACCCCTCTCGTAATATGTTGGCTCGCAGGGATCGATTCACTGGTTCTCCGTGTGTACTTACGCACACGACCCCCTCTTTGATCTTTTTTTTTCGCTACCCCTATCGCTGAATGTCGATTTTGCCTAGCATAGACCAAACGTCCATAGGATTGTTTTCTATTGCGAATACAGAGTCGAGGTTTATATTTATTCAGTTGATCGTTTACCGAAAGTTGACACATAGATAAGTCGAGGATAATTTATTTTTACCACCAGACAGTGGCTTTAAAAAATACAATTTCGATCGAACTCACGTACGATTTGCTCAATTGTATCGATAAAAAAACATTTTTAATTGCTTTTCGCAGGAATTTCTCGCGCAATGCTCCTTTTTACCACATGCCGTATAAATACGCGCACACATACAACTGAGCATTAAGCCATATTCGTACATTTTTACGATACGCTCCAATGGCACATTTGTATGAATAGTCGCGGTGAATCGTAGAAACGCGCGAAACGTCGTGACAAAAGGACACGGATTCCGGGAAAATATACCGAAAACGTCAATGGGCCTCATAATAGGCAGCAGCAGCTCGGTCCCGCAAAAGAGTACGGCCCGGTCGAGATGGTTTCGTTTGTTCCAATACTCGAGGGCGCGAATCATCGTAAATATGTGCGAGGAAAAAATGAGTTTATTTCAAGCTTTCTGGTAAGTAACGATTGGGAGGAACGTAAAAATTTATAAATTGTAAGCGGCGAGTGTGACAATCGACACGCTCATTAAAATTGAGCGATTCATAGTAAGAAACGGATGTTTTGGCGGTTCGTACAGTGTATAAAACGTGTAATATAAGACGTCTCGCGTCTTTCCATGACAATGTACAGACATATGCTGGGTCATTTGCATGCGTCAATAAAGCGAGAGCACGCGAGCTACTTATGCAAATTGCCAATTATTCCTTTTTTTAATTCGACAATCCATGGCGTAGCGCAAAGGCAAGTTCGTTGACCTCGATCCGGGCTATAGTCTATTCCAAGGGCAAAAAGTACAGGACGCACGTGGGCCAGCTCGCAGAAGGCAGGTACAAGGGGCAACGATGAATTCACGGATAATGTATGTAACAAAAGCTCGGCCGAGCACAAAGCCAAGCAGAGACTTTATGAAGAGTCCGAAGTGCGGGAGAGAAAACAAAATGTGTCCATGTGCTGTGTGTGAGTATCTATATAATATGGATGTGCGCCTATGTATGTATGGGGATTTCGCTCGTTTTCCGGAACGATCGCTCTCGCCTATATATTCGTATATAGGCTGCTTTTGCTCTCCAACCTACCCCTAAAACGTCGTGTGGAGAAGGCACATATACACAGGAGAGAGAAAGAGATGCCGAGCAGCAGATAATGCGACGACGAGAGGCAAGCTTTTTCCTGGAATCATCGATTCTTCAGCAAGGGGAAGAGACTCGAGGCGTGGGCTGCCCTTACAACCACTGGGGGGATTATGCTCGGCGTTTTCTTAAGAAATGAGAAAAAGAGAGAGAGACACACCGAGTGAACGCGAGATGAGAAAAAATGAAAAAATCAAACGGATGGTCCGGTACACGCATTACTACGTACAATGGCGTTTCACGCATAGCAGCTTGCGCATATTACAAAGCCACGGGCGAACTAAATTTTTCCATACCTTATTTTTTTCGCACGCCACGACATCGGTCTATGTTTTCGGACGCGTAGAGGTATACGTATATAGAGTCGTTGCCGAGAGTAGGTCGGCGAAATTTCGACCAATCGTTGTCGATGGTCATTCTCCCAACCCCTCCCGAACAACCTCTAATCTCGTATCTTATCGACTGGACGTCGACAATGTACATTATTATTTCGTCGGGCGTACGCATTGATTCGTGGGATATAAAGAATTTCCAAAGAGAGAGAGAAGGAGAGTTCAAAAAAACAACTCACGAAAGCCGATATTAACGAGGGCTCGATGGAGAAAGAGAGAAAAGGACACGAGCGGCTAACCAAAAGGGTGACTCGGCCTCGAGGCCTACGAGTAAGGGTGTGGGGCACTTTTTTCCCCTTTCCTCTCTCTCTCTCTCTCTCTCTTTCTCTCTCTTTTTCGCGTGCCTATACGTGTGCGCAGCGATTGTGTGGGCCCACATGCTTGCCTTGCCTCTGAACTCGCATTCGAATATTATAATATTTCGATGGGACTTGGTCAATCGGTGGGTCGATATTTCAGCATTTCGTTCAAAAACCAAAAGCTGGCCGTAATTACGTTTTGACGAGGTGATCATTGCGATCGTCGGATCGAAAGTTTGTTTGCTATTCGCCCTTTTTCGTTGTCCTCGTTTTCGTTTCTCCCAATGGTAGTCTTTTCGCCACGAGTCGGGGCGCGATGAGTCATTCTTGCGACACGATTGTGGCGCGGCTATTAAAGCGCGCCCACCGCCGTATTGACAGATGGCGAGTAGGCACGCGACCCAATGATTCCGCGATGTATCATGCATTATCGTCTCTTAATACTGGAGCAACAAAATTCGAGCCCAATTATTAGACGACTGTAATTTTACGCGCAACGAGGATCCATCGGAAACGTCCGCAAACGTTTGCCGTAGAGTAGCGAGAAAGTGAAAGTGGATCATCTCCGCAGCGACTCCCGCGCACAGGAAGTTCGATGGCCTAGGAACAATATAACATCGATGCATCCGAAAAGCTGGCATCAATTTTTAGAGAGGGAGAGAAAGAGCAGAATGCCTTTTACTCGACAACGCATCGAAATTGTGCGTTGGAAAAAGATAAAAGGCGAATCACCGCGAAGCAGGTTTCTCTCTCACTCGAGCACGCGGGGAAAAACGAGCTTCCCACCGACCTGCATGGGTATTTTGAAACTCGAGCGAAATTTCTGTAGGGTACGTATGAGAGCAAAAGAGACCCTTTGCACAAAAAAAAGTTTCATTCCGTGGATTATTTTCAAGATTACGCGAGGCTGAGCAGACTTTAAAGTGGCTAAAAGTTATTTTGCATATATCCTGCATGGGTGAGAGAGAGAGAGAGGAAATGTCTGTCCTTTGAATTGAAAAAAGGGAAAAAATCGAGCAAACCCAAGTTTGTGACGTATGCGCCTGGTAAAATGGAGGCGGTGAGCAGAAAAATCAAGCGTAAGAGAAAGTGACTGTAGGGGCTGGCTGAGTTTCTCTGTCATTGCAATCAATACGAGTATGCTTGTTCAGCCCCTCTGCTTGGTTTTCTCTCTCTTTTTTTGTTTTCAGGGCGAAACGTCGAAATTCGCCAGTAGGCAGTTTTAATTAGTCGTCGTTCTGGCATTTGGATATATACAGCGAGGGTTACGAAGCTGTTGTTATTTGCCACTGATGTATTGGGCCAAATATCATGAAATTGTATAAATGAACGAAACAACGAGGTAAGTACAGGCCCTCAAACCAGTTAATATTTTTTCGTTGTCTCGATGGCCAACGTCGCTTACACATCCGAACGGACAGACGACGCGTCGATTTTCTCAACAGTAAGCAGCTCGACTCAATAAGTGCGATACGCGAACAGACGAATCGAGTACACAGACACATCGAGCGAGCGACGATGAGACGCTCCGATCGGGATCCGAAGAAAAACAAATAGAATCGGAGCAGCGATAGGGAGTTTAAAGGCCCGCGTGCGTCATCCCCACTCATCAGGCCCGCTATAGCCGAGGAAATAAAGACTTTCACTTGCATCAGAGAAAAGCTGCGACTGACCAGTCCGATGGTCGCACACGCCTATACCAGCTAGGAGAAGGTTGTAAAATTTGCCGCTTTATCTTCGCTATTATATCGGGCGACGCTTGCACACGAGAGATCGATAAACATACGGCGATGGTCGATCGATGGGACCAGCGTTGAAATTCGAATTTATACGCAGCGGTTATGGGAATGTCACGAGCCTGTACCGTACACGGGGCACTTGTTTGTCTCAATCGGAGCCGGTCGAGCTTGTTTTCGTCCAACACGAAATGTCACCCTGCGTCAAATTCAAAATAGACCAATGTTCGTTTATGAAAAAAGCCAATTGCCGATTTTCCGATTTACCAGGAGAGCCTAGAAAAATGCCGTATTCGATCTGGCCGACGAGAAAAACTGTTACGAAGATTACAAGCCAACAACAAAATAAATAGTTGGAGCGCGTGAAGCGTACGGCAGTGTGTGTACGTACGACAACAAGCCCGCGCTCTCGATTTCTCTCTCTCTCTCGAGTGAGTCAAAACATTGAAAATAGCGAAACGCGTGTGCGCGCGTGTGTGTACCGGCCGTTCTCGAGCAGGCGTTTTTATTTTTATTTTGTATTTTTATTTATACGTGCAAAGGCAGCTGCTGTCGATTGGCGTCTCGGCAAGAGAGATCGGGAGGCGCTTCTGCTCGATCGTGTACGAGTCGCGGCTGCACTCTCGACTTTTCACTTCGTGTCTCATATAGAAGCTGCATCCGGTCTCTCTCGCGCGCGACGAAAATCACAGCTATAATAACGGGCACAAAGGTCGTGGACTTACTTGTCGTGATGGAAGCCGGCTGCGGATGGTGCTTGGCTCAACGAGAGTCGCTCATAACCAGTCCGCGATCGGTGCTTGGCGAGGCAAAAAAAGCTCGTAGCTCCGTTGACTTTATTCCTCTCTCTGTCTGTCTGGTGCGCGGCTGTGTCTGTGTTTTTCTCCCTCTCTTGCTCTCTTGCTCTCTCTTGCTCTCTTACTATCTGTTGGACGCTATCACACTGACAAACATTCACTAGACGAGTGTCCGAGCGATACGCGCGTTACGACCTCCCGGGAAAAACTGGGTGAGAGGGTGCGAGGCGTCTCGCGCTCGAGAGACCGACACCGCGCACTCGCTGTTGTTGTTGTGTGTCTGTGTTGGCGCTCTGCGGCCACCGGCTTGGCACTAGCGCTGCCTGTTAATCGCGATTCCGATTAATATACATACACAGATATGTATATCTATATACGTGGAGATTGTTATACGTTGTGTACAATTGTACTAATTGTACGAGCGAGCAGACGAGTAAACGACGTCGACCAGACACGACGACGCCGAGGAAGAATTTTATTATATATACCGAGTGAGAGACAGCGAGAGTGAGAGAGGAGAGTCGATGCCTGTGTCTCTCGGCGGTGAGCGAGACGGAACACGACTGAGCGGCCGCGAGTGCCGGCAACACGCCTAATGTACCTATCGGCGCGCGCGCTCTCGACGTACGTCTGCTTCGCTGGTGGCGGCGGTGCCTGCAACGTCAAACTTTCGCTCTCCCTTTCGCCGCTCCGCAGCAGCTATTTCATTCAAGGGAGACTCGTACTATGCTCGCGCGCGCCCCTCCTCTCTCTCTCTCTCTATCAACCCCTACGCGCCGCCGCCGCTGCCACCACCACCGGGTGACGCCCACGGATTTCACCTCTCGCTGCGGGGGCTGCTGCTGCTGCTACTTACACAGTCGCACACACACGCGACGCTGGACCATTCAAATTTCCCTCGGAATATCGATCGGTTTTTTGCGCGACTTTGCCGCTGCCCCTGCACACACACGCAGGACTGCGTAATTCGCGCCCCGACCGTGTTTTTCGCCTCTCGTTACAATATCGCGAGTGCGTCAGAGCGACGTGACGACAAGTGAGCAAACACACAATACCGTTCGGAGGATCTTACGCGCGCGCCAACGTATTTTCCTAGCTCGTTTATACTCGCGTACCTATATGCTCGGCTAATTCGGAGCGGCTAGAGTTAGCTGCTCCGTTACGCGCGTGACGCAAATTTTCGTAAGCCACGCGCGCTTCCGACAACAACCTGTCCTCAAATTTGCACACGTGTGCCGATGTACAAACAAGCCATAGATTGTGTCGAGCGGAAAGCTTCACGATCGAAATTCGAGCAGCTTTTTTTGTACTTTTCGTTTATTTGATCCGACGACTCACCTCTCTCGAAGAAAGAGAAAGTACTCGGCTGTCTTATCGCTTGCATGGAAAAGTGCACAATAATTCTTTCCTTATTTTTCATTGTATCGCCGCGATATTCGACAAAACGATAACATATTACGATGTGCAAAGCAATTACATTCGCTTATCGGCGTTGAGTAAGAAAAAACAAAACATATCCGGAGGCTGAGTTTACGATGCGCAGCTTACAACAGCAGCTATATACGAAAATACTTTCGTCGATCGCGACGACGACGACGTCTTTTCTTGGCATTAACATGCAAAGCGAGTCCCCCGCGCTCGCGCCTGGCCCTCCACATAACTAGACACCCCCTCGACATATCTGCCCTTATTTCATTCTCTTTCTTTCTCGTCTCTTCCCAGTTTCTCCCTTTCGTGCGTACACATACACGAACACGCATACACACGACGCATAGGCGCACTTACTTAGGGTCTTTCGATGGATAGCTCAAAGTACCTCTCATTTTTTATTCTTCCTTTTTATCCTTTTTGTGTTTTGCCGACATGTGCGAGAGATGTCTTGCTCTCAACGACACATATAAATATTCAATTTGTGCTCGTTACATCGTAAAAAGCAGCAGGTACGCTCTTCTCTCGACCTTGTTCGCATTAAGAGCAGTTCCAATCGGTCGGATTCCCGCACAAATCGGAGCTGGAAGGAAAATATTATTTTTAAAATTGTCGATAGAGCTAGCGAGAGGAATCGCGAGGATTCACCGGCCGGTACCGCGACAGTTACGCTCAGCCGACTCGTGCGCCTGCGCCGACTCTGACGAAAATCTATGAATGAATTTACCCTCTCCGATCCTCCTCTCGCGGCAGTCCTCGCGCTCGGCCAGGTGCTGCAACGTGAAACGAGCGAGCCATATACGAGCGTGTATGCAGTAGACTGCGTTCGTATAGGTGAGAGCCGGAGCACGAGTGGATGAGCGTCGTACACGTAAGCTACGACCTCAATGGCTAAATTTAAACGGCCAATTGCCCTCTCCACTCTTATAACGATGTATGCTTCACCCGGATCGCGGACCACGATGAATGGAAGCTCTGCGAGCTAAGCTCGAGGCGTGTAATATGTTGCACGTTTGCATCGATTCGCGACATAATATATTATAAGCTCAGGAATGGAAAGCAGACTTTTCTAGTAGTTCGTGCCTCGCATCGAGCTTAATTTTGATATACCTACGCTTTCTCGTATTTTAGCACCGGGGTAGGCGAGAGGTTGGGATACCTATAAATTATTTCTGCTGTCCCGATGCGGTTGAGTTTCCCACTCGTGTAGGCAGTTAATGTAACCACATCATTCCACATTTACAATGTCACAATAAAGTACAATTGTAAATTAAATTTCATCTAATTGAAAATTGTCAAGCTGTAGACTTATAAAATTTGGAAAGCGTCTGAGATTAGTGGTACGTTGTTGAAATCTTGACGATTCGGGACAAACCGAATGTCGATTCAAAACGTGAAAAAGTTAGTTTTCTTTTTGAGCTTGCCATCGAGTTGGTCCCGAAAGTAGTGCACTCGAGCCGCGTCCCTAGAGTTTCGCAGCAAATTCTTGCGTCAATCAGGAGATGAAATTGCGTCATTATAAAGGGATCTTGTTACTCTCTTATATCTTTGGTCACTGCCATCCACAAGGCGTCGAATAGCGTCGGTTCATTATCCTCCGGGAAAAATAGCTCTCGTCATTGGGAAAAGTCGCAAAATTACGTACGGGCAAAAATAGTCGAGCCAAGCGGACGATAAAAATATATAAGCAAGAAATAAAAGCAGAAAAAAAGTCCACGAACGATGTCGAGAGGAAAGAGGAGCGAGCCACCGCGCGCACGTATTTCTCTCGTGTACATTTTATACATCTATACTATATAGCTATGCAGATATATATAATGCACGTTATATATCGCACGTGCCCTCCAGGCGAGGCAATGTCAGGGTCTCTGGCCGTGGCGTACGCGCCGCTAGAGAGGCGAGCTTGCGCCACGGTCGAACGGAGCTTGCGCGTACCCTTGAACCCCCTAGTTGCGCGCCCTCAGCTATAAAGCGAGCGAGAGAGAGCCGATCGATACGTATACGCGGCGAGTTCGCGCTACGAGCCATACTGTCTATGTATTTTACAGCCATCTGCGATCCGTTTCCCAGCTTCCAATGAGCTTTTATCTTTCTTTGCATTTGTCTTTCGAACAACGATTGGACGAATTTCGCAATTTTTTCCTCTCGCTCGCCTATACAATCTCCGGAAATTTTTAATAAAATCGAAAGCATCATACAAAAGCATTATTTTGAACAAATCGTGTCCATATATAGGAAAATAAAATAGTTATAGTAAGAAAGGTAAAATTATTACAATAAATGTTCTTCGAATAGCAGTGATTTTCCGCCGGGCGTCCCGTACATCATTCTCGAACGAGTTATAAGCAGTCTAGAGCGGAACAGCTTTTATGAATGAAAGTTTGGCCGCCCTCGGGCTTGACCGACGTCATACTCCGCGTGGGTAGTGCAGAATTGATAGATTATAAGTATAGTTATAGCTCGGCCGATGCAAGTGCCGATCCCTACCACCCCTATTACCAGTGGCTACACGTCTCCTAGATAGACACGTATATGTGCGGCGCGCGAATCTACTTGCAGCGCGACTAGGAGGAGGGAGATTACCTGCACCCGTATCACCTTGACTTTCTCTCGCTCTCACCCCTACCCCCCGAGAGAGAGACTCGATCGTGCGTTATAGCGTGTACGTGTAAGAGCCTTATCTGCGTCATTCCGCTGGTATAGACGTGCAGCGCGTCGAAGCTCGAATCGCTCCGCGTATAGGTGCTGCGGCAATTTTCATTCAGCTTTTTCGACGCTTTTTGCTCGACTGCAATTGTATCGATGCCTCCTTTCAAGTAGACTTGTCATCAATCCCATTTTCCTGCTTTACTTCGTAGAACTTTATTGGATTATGCTACCCTTTAAATGGCGAGTAAACATGAAAGCTCAGATGGTACAGCTTAAAACTGGCCGAGCCTCCGCTCGGCATATTATGTCACAACGAATATACAACATCAATTAATTGAAAGATATAAGCTCTAGAATCTTCCAGAACTCGAACAAAGCTAATAATAAAAAAATTTCACATCGGACTCGATCAAACGATAAAAAATTGCCCATCGAAGAAGTCGATAGGAGCTACTGGCTTCGTTATTGCTGTTTCTGGGCAATTATCTACTCGGTTGACGCGCTTGCAAGCTTGAATCAAGGCCGCAATCGTTGCGGAGTCGGGAAGAGCCACCACCCAGTGGGTGTGGGGAAAAAGCCGGGTCGAGTCGTCGTTTGCCGGGTGCACACACGCGCCACTCTCTCTGCGGGTCCTTTGCGCGACCGGACTCTGACGTCATATTCCACGCAAAACGTCGCCCATTTCTGACTCTGTGTGTGTGTGTGTTTTTGCGCGCCAGCGAGTTTCATTCATGCTTTTTCAAGGATACTACGCGCGCGTTTGTTTGCCTCTTGATGCTATTTTAAACTCGCTCGATTCTCATGGAAAAGTATACAAGCCCTGCGTTTCGCGAGGATGAGTAATCGCTGCGACAGATGATGCAAAACAATGGCTTGTTTTGATACATGCACTTTTTTATTTTTATTTTATTCAAGACTGATTTCAGATGAAAAAAGAAAATTCATAATTAGGCTACTCCATTAACTCATATCCATTACTTGTCGGGCTCTCTGTGTCGACGTTACCAAACCCGAAATAAAAAGGAACGCGTGTCAGGTAATTCTATACTTTATATAGCACATATAATAGGGTCCGGCAGGCGTTCTCGGAAATAACAAACGATAATCGAAGTTTTCGGGAGCTATTTCGGTATGTAGCTCGGCCGCGCGAGATACCCGAGTATCCGACGCGAGTCATCCCTCTGGGCTCAGGACGCCTGCTGGCGAATATATATCCCGGGCTTTACTCTCTTCAAATGCGTGGGTATAATAGCTTTCTGTCTCTCTCTTTCTCTCTCGCTCGGCTCATCGTTCAAGGTCAAAACTACGCCCGTCTATAATGTAGCCTGGGCTCGGCCGACGCGCGCGTCTGTCTCTCGCGTCGCCCACGCGTTTCTGCTGCTTTTGCGTGGGCGAATATCAACCCTGCGAGCAATAGCTTCTATTTTATATAGATATGTAATACCGTGTCAGTGGGAGCTTACGCTTGACTTTAATGCGGTTAAATGTCTGAATCGCGAGGCTCGACAATAGATATATACATTGGCTTACGGCTGTTTCGATATCGAATCTTTGAATAAAAAAATAACTCTAAGAAAAAATTGAACCTTCGTAAAGATAGTTAAAACTTCAAATCTCTGTGGCTCCAAGTTTTTGTAATTAATGATATGATTCTTATCATATCAACGGTTTGTTATCGGTTTTTATCAAAATTTTTTTCACTTAAGCTCATTTACGACTATCTATTGATCAACAAGATGAGATATTTAAAACTCATAACCACCCTCCAACTAGTTTTGTCTATAATTAATTCTAAGAAATATTTATGGGTATCAAAAATACATACATTTTTATATGACATAGACCTTTATTAATATCAAATTGCCAAGAACTTTCCAGATATTGAAGCTCATCATTACAAACCTAGAGGACGGGCGGAGCATCTATCGATCGTTCAAGCTCAAGCTCGCGCAGTTTCCCACCGCGAGTAAGTTGGTTTCCGCTTTAATTCGTTGATGATGAATAACCGACAGCATTCCTATTTATCCCAACGTTTACAAAATACTACTTTTTATGACTTTATATACCATATTAAATAAAAAACTATCTACTGGCACATATTTAAAGCATATTTTTTCTAAATTTTCATTTTGATGTAATAACTTCGCGATATTTTTTAAAGAATACCCGACTGCTGAGGTGTTTTATCAAATTGTCGATTCATAATTAACTTATTTTTTGCCAAACGCCATGAAATTTTTCGAAATTTATCGAAATTATTCAAGGTTCTAAAGAAAATGTGAAATCTCATAAGTCGACGAGTCATGAAAATGAGATTCGAACTTGGCGCGCTCGCGTCTGCGCGGTAAAAGTGTTGCGCGCGACTCTCCATGCGTCGTCCGCGTGCGCGCTGGCACTACTGGCAGCTGACCACGTACCGAATTGCTTGGCTTTGCATCTTCTGCAAGATCTGATTCTCGTAAAATAGTTTACGAAATAAACAATAACCATGGCTGCCCGACGATCTCTTAAGGCTATCAACTGGGCTGGTTTGATCGAGCGCATCCCCGAGGCCGAGAAAAACTCTTTGGCCGCCTTCAAAGCCAAATCTGACCAGTATTTCAGAAAGTGAGTTATTCGTGATATTCGCCCTCTGTTATGTAATGTGAATATAACCTTTGGCAACTCTATTCGTATTTTTTGACGTGCCAATTGTGATAATTAATCATTCAATTCTCATGGTTTTGTTTTACTCAATAGGGTCCAAGATTTCCCAGAACAACCACCAAAAATTGACTGGACTTTCTACAAGAACCGTGTTGCTGTACCTGGTTTAGTCGATAAGTTTCAAAAAGAATACGAATCTTTGAAAATTGACTACCCAGCAGATAAGTACACATCCCAAGTTGAAGCTCAAGAGAAAGAAAGCGTAAGTTTTATTTCAAAATTTTAACCCAATTAGAGATGTATAATATTTGGTATACCAATACATTGTTATGATAGAGTTGACATTGAATGCCTAACACTGAATTAGACTCAAACTTGTGTATGAACATTCTTCATAATAACTTATATTTTTACAGATTGCTGCTGTTCATAAATTCATAGAAGAGTCCAATCAGAGAATTCAAAAATATTCAGCTGAAATTGAAAAACTGCAGGGTCTTCTTAAATACAGTGAGATGACAATGGAAGATTTTGCTCATGCTCACCCAGATATTGCTCTCGACCCCATCAATAGACCAACTATCTACCCACACACACCAGATGTTCAACCTGGTGCAGATGATGAAGCTAAACCAGCTCATCACTAGAAGTAAATCAAGCAAATTGTTATGTTTTTTGTAGTGAACAAAAGCTCTACTGTTTCTGTTAAAAAAAATTACAGAAACATTAATTGAACTGGAAGAATAAATTTATCATTTTAATCGATACAGAAGGTTTGTAATTGATTCAATATTAATTCCAACTTTTGATCATTCTTCTTTCAAATAAAAAGTATTCAAAGAAAAAACTCTAGGTACTTAGTTGTTACATTAAACAAACAATCAATTTGAAAAATGATTGATTCAAAAATATGTGTGCATCGCTCTTACAATAAATCAGTAAATTTCTGTTGAAAAGTACATTTGTTGCATTGTATGTGATATTTGATTGTAAATAAACTTGATTCAAGCTCAGCTAGTATCATGAATATAATACAGTGAATTCCTACTGCATTCACAAAAAATTCTTTACAATTTCAAATATGAGAGGAATGTCAGTATTGAAGTAATAAAGGGAGGGGATCGTCACAGGGCTTACTCACGACGACTTGTACCGCGCCCAACTGCAAATTCAATCATTTATATTTATATATTCGTTGTCACAGTGACGGAGTTGAATTATTCTCGGACCCTGCGGAAAGAGTCGAAAAAACTTGTCGAAAAAGACTGAATTGTTTTCCAAAACAATTGATAGCTAAACTTACTTTCAAAACTATAGTGAATTTTTAAAAAGCTTCGCAACAAGCTCGAGAAAAATATGGATGGAAAAGTACGCAAGCAGGCAAGCTTTCGCTCGCAAAGTGTCAAATGTCAGAGACGAGTCGGCCGAATCCGCGCCCGATTTCATCGACAAGCGAGTAAGTAAACAGCCGAAGAAAAACCTCCGGGACGAGTGTGTGAGGTATTACGCGCAAAGAAAAGTTGGGGGCGGCGCCGAACTCGATCCCGTGAGTAAGTAAATACGCGTCATGGAAGCTCGCTCGAGCAAAATAGAAAAGTCTAGAGGGTAGAGAGAATCCGACGAAGTCGGGCGTTATCCGCGAGTGAATGTCCGAAGTGCCGCCGCTGGGATTAGAATTCATATGCGCGCAGCTCAGCGCAGCAAGTAGCTATTGCCGAGTGCACACCCGAGTGTAGGGCACCTATCGATCGTTACGGCCCTATATATACATATAGCAATAAAGCAGCAGCAGCAGAGGTAAAGCAGTGGCAGGCAGCAGCACTCAGCAGTCGTCGCAGACTGCAGACTGCAGAGTCGGTGGCGATTGGCGCTCGAGCGCCTCTGTGTGTACACACACTACATGACTGCACGTAAATATACGTAGGTACATATAGGTATACCCTAGAACGTCCTACATATAGACATAAAGCGGGCCGCATATACATGTATACAAAATCGCCGCTCCATTCCGCGAATATACGCCAGGTCGCGCCGATAGCCTATCGTGGCGGAGCGTATTGCAAGCGCTGCCAAGTGCAATCCAGAAAGTGCAGGGGAGCAGACCGCAGCAGCCCGTATCCCGTGGAAGAGCCCCGAGAAGGCCGATCGGTCTCGCACGCCTTTCGCATCTCGCACCGGTTATACATAGATCAGCGTGACAGAATTCGTGGCGCCGCCACTACCTCGCCTGCAGTGCCTCCTCTGCGATCCACAGTCCAATCTCCTCCTCGCTCGGTCGCGTTAAAGGAGCAGCTCTACTCGTTGCGCGCCTTTAATATCTCGTGTAGGTGTGTAACCAATTACGGCACTTTGTAAATTCTCCGCGCGCTACGAATACGTTACACATAGCGTGAGCGTGTACGCGCCTCTTTTTACCTTTCTCTCTTTTCTCTCCATCCTTCTTAGTTCGTAGGCCTGACTCCGTGAGTAGGTATGCGTGTGTTGGTGCGCGGCGCAGTGCTACACAGCATCAAGCGTGTATTATAGTGTACAGTAGTTGTGTGTCGCCGCTGCTCTATATCTCGCTCTTTTACCCATACTGCATACAGCAAGCTATTTGTCTGCTCGTTCCATCGTTCTCTGCGAGTCTCTCTGTATCTCCGGCAGTGCTGCAGGGCCGCTCTCTGCTCTGCAATCCCTGTGACGTACGCACACTCGACTCGACGAGGATCGGGCGCTGATGCGGTCGACGAGCTGCAGTTAGCCGGGACTTCATAGTAGTAGTCGTAGTAGCGGAGGCGTCAAGAGTCCAATCCCAAAAGCCAAGCCAATTGCGTCGTGTGCGTGTCACGAGTGTTTACCGTGAGAGAAATCGAGGATCAGAGTTCCATCGGGTCATCGTGAGACGTGACGCAGACATCGCAGTCGCCCCCGATATCTCCTTTATTCTCGACACTCGCTCGATACTTGGCTCATCTCTTGGTCGAATTCCGCCCTGTGTATATAAACGACTCGTCACATTGCTCGCATGACATCCGGCAAGGAACCAACCATGGGGTACGTATTATTTATTATATCCTCTACTAGTTACGCTTGCAATGATACTAAATTTTACTCCAATAAGATCCAAGCTTTTACAAATATCTAATCTAATTGCAAAGCTCGAGGCGGTGTAAGGCGCGAGCTTGCAAGTACATCGTACATATATTTATGTATATCTATACGTATGAGTGTACGCACGAAGGGTCGTCGCGCCGCGCGTGTTCCATTTTTGCTTAGATTGATCCGGCGTTGATTAGATAAATTTTACTTGCTTGCATATCTAGTTGCACTCTTGCCTGTGCCTAAACATCTCGCGACCCGGCAGATTGATGACTCGCTGTTCGCAAATTTAATTCTTACGTAGGTTTATCGGGCATTTTTAAAAAATCAACATGTTTTTGCGATTCGTCCGTACAGTATAGCCGATTGATTTCCCGCACAGGCTCTGCTTTCATTGATTGATTGATTGCTCTTAATGCATCACGTCGTTGTTTGCCTCGGCGCTACAGATCTCGCATAGCTTTGTACATTATCTTTTTGTTCTCGAGAATCTTTAAATAACTAAAGAATATCCATGAGCTTTTACAATTTTTCTTTAATAACTGCGTTTTTATCGATTCTTTCGTTATTCGTGCTATACTTTGTCTCCTATACTTCCAAGGACGATCGAATCCGATTATAGATTTATAGTTTACTTTTTATGGATAATACGCAAAAAACTTATACATTTTTTTTGCATTGCAGGGAGCAGCCGATTTTTACGTGCAAAGCACATGTTTTTCATATTGATCCTAAAACGAAACGTTCGTGGGTTTCTGCATCTACGGCTGCAGTGTCTGTGTCATTCTTTTATGACTCAACGCGTAGCCTCTACAGAATAATATCTGTTGAAGGCAGCAAGGTCATTATACATTTCTTTGACTTATTTATTCTTTACGTTTATCTTTTATTTAACCGAAACATTATAATTTGTAGGCCGTTATCAACAGTACCATTACTCCTCATATGACATTCACCAAAACATCACAGAAATTTGGACAATGGTCTGATGTCAGAGCAAACACAGTATATGGGTTGGGTTTTTCATCTGAAAGTGAATTGGGAAAAGTAAGTTATAAATCATTTTTTAATAATCAGCAAAATCAATGTGTTTAATCGATCAAATAAATCAATGGTATATTTTCTTTTAGTTCATTGAAAAATTCAATGAAGTCAAAGAAGCTACTAAACAAGCTGGTAATAAAATACAAACCAACAGTTCATCTGTCACACCTGCTACCAGTGCAAATGTGAGTCCAATCACATCAAGATCTGGTATGCCATCAGTTGAGCAAGATGTCATCGATCCTCCAAACTCTTCAATGATAAATTCAAATATATCAGCATCAAATAATCCCAATCCAAATGCCAATATGATTTCTGCTCAAAACAGCATTTCATCTGTTAGCAGTAGCCCTCTACCAGGTTCTATGGGACAATCAAAAGAAGATGATTATAAAACAATCACGCATTCAAGATCACAGAGCATATCGCAACAACAAAGTACAATCGATAGTCCTCAACATCAAGGAAAAGGGCAACAACTAAATGCCAATGTAAACAGCGGAGGTCAAACAACAGAAATGCAACTCAAATATGAAAATGATCGACTAAAATTAGCTTTAGCACAAAGTTCAGCTAATGCTAAAAAATGGGAGGCAAGTTGATACATTAATTATTTTTTATTAAATGAACCAATTATTTCTTACAAGTCATTTAAAATTTTCAGATTGAATTATCAACTTTGAAAACAAATAATGCTCGATTAACAAGTGCACTTCAAGAATCAACAGCAAACGTTGATGAATGGAAGAGACAACTTCAACTTTATAAAGAAGAAAATGCAAGAGTCAAAGCAAGATATGCTGAGTTGGAGGCTAGTAAAATTTCAGAAGGAAACACTGATGCCTTGCGATTGAGGGTAGAAGCTTTGGAAAATGAGTTACGTACAAGAAATGAAGATCTGAAAGCCCTCACTATGGCAACAAAGAATAAAGATTATGCGGTGAGAATTTGTTTCAATTTCGTCTCGAATATGACAACAATAATATATGTAATAATTCTCTTACTTTTTGTAGTGTTTACAAAAGGAAAATGCAGATTTACGCGAGATGTTAAATGTTGTTCACGAGCAGTTAGAAATTACCATGAGTGCTAATAAAGTACAGAAACAAAATGTGGAGACTTTGAACAATCGACTAGCCAGCTACATTCAAGATTTAGTTGGTGTTCATCGAGATATTGCCAACACATTGCAAACATAAAGCAGCCTTAGGTAACTTTTTACTACGTATACAACTTACGAATGAACTGTGCAGCTATTTCATACATTTTGTAGTGTGTGAGACAAATAATGTTTTGATGCAATTTTTTTTACATTTGACCCTCAATGAGTGTTATGCATTCATTTTTCTTTCATAAGTTTTTTACTATCACGTAATGTAAATAATATCAATAATTAGACGTAAATTCTGATAGTACTCTCTTTCTAATGAGACAATTGGTGAACTTTAATCATGACAAAATGAGAGATGATTTTTTAATTTTTTTTATATTACAACATATCATGTTCATTATTTGATATAAACATTTTATGTGAGAACATTTTTAGGAAATCTTTAAAAAAATTTGTTTTCAGCAAAAAATTTATCAAAGTTATAATTTAGAAAGTTTTATGATTATTATTTTTTATTTTATTTTTTTATTCTAATTCATGTTTACAAATTGTTTTTTTTTGTAATTGTGTATTGACAAAAGTTCTTATAATAATATCTTACGTCATTTGTCTCGCACAAGTTGGAAATTACAAGCAACGATCGACTCGATTGCATTAACGCAGCCATTTACTAATGCCAACGTCAAAGCCAAATGTAGGCATTTTCAGAACTGCTATTGGTTTTTCATAAAAATATTCACAGCTAATAAGCAGACTGAAATTTTTATTTGATTTTTCATTGATGTTTTGAATCCAAACTAAAAAACCCTAAACGAATAATGAATGTTATGAATTCACATGCACCTAGATTATCAAGACTGCTAGGTGATACCAAAATGCTAAACATTTATGATACTTTGACTGGAAGGAGAAAACATTTTAAATGCCATATATAGAGTATGTTAAAAATAATTTTTTATTGCATCTTTTTTCTTCTCGTAGAAGTACAAAATTAACGTAGAGTGCAACAATTTAATTAATGTTGCTTAGACTGAAATACTAAAAAAATTGAGTTGATTGTTATATGAGTAATGATGCCACTTGTTTGATAATAAATTATAATGATAAAATGTTAAAAACTTTAAAAGGTCTTCACGACGTTTACTTGTCATAATAACGAGGGCAGAACAACTAAACGCGAAATGTTTAAATAGGTTATTATATTATAAAATTATTGATAAATATTAGAATGCTTATTAATTGATTTTGATTCACCACTGAAATCATTATCATTTTTAGCATGAACACATTCAAATGTTGCAATAATAATAAAACATTTTTCAATAATATATTTGAATTATTGTTTTTTAAGTATTATCGAATCGTGTCCAATTGTAATACGAAAAAAGTAGCATAAGTTTTATAATTAGTAGAAAAATGATAAAAAAAGAGGAATCAGTACAAGACTCGAACAAACAAGATGCTGATCTGCATCCATTTATGGACCAAACTAAACAATATTTGTCCATTATTTACCATGACATTTTCTTCCTTTTTTCTGATATCAGTTTCTGAGCTCAAAAGACAATAAATTTTGTTCTGAACAACTGCTTTCTCATCTAGCTATTATTTAACTATATTGAATTCTGAAGTTGTTACAAGTAATTTATGAATTTTATTGTTTATGTTATTTGTCAAAAAAGTCTTATAAGATGATAATTATTTCGTACAATTCTAATAAAAATCAAAGAAAGAGCCAATCAAGGGTCAAATTGTACAACTTAGAAAAATGTACTGAATGTGAATGCAATGAAATTCAATAGCTGCTATCAAAGCCATGAACTTTATTATTGTAATTTATTGTTAATGTTCAAATTTTGTCATTAATGATTATACGTTTTTTGTATATTGTTTGTGACGTCGAAATAAAATACTTATGTAATTACATTTTGTTTGAAAAGTACTTGCGCTAAATTGATCGGTTTTTTGTGATAAGTGTCTAGATCTGCTCAATTGGGTTTCTCGAGTGCAACACGAGTTATTAGCCAATAGAAAAAAAAACACGCGGCTAAAAACGATCGTTGATGCGGAAATGGATGGAATTAACGGCGGCAAAAGTACAGGATTTATAATTGCTCGCTAATGGTAGGTCGTTGCACGCTCATGCCGCGCCCTCGTTCGGATCTTGAAAACGCATCGGATCGTAAATTTTCAACGAAATATACGCGTTACGAGCTAATTCCAGACGGTGCAAAACTCGATTGTATTGAAACATCTTTACAGCGAGTAGCATTGGCCAATTGTTAATCTTCCGAGATGAATGAAAGCGACGAGTTAAATATAGCGCGAATAATCGCCGTACAATAGCCCTTTGATACACTCCGGAGAGTCATTGCGCGCACTTATACATGTTTGTATATGTCCCGTAAATTGCTCGGTCGATGTGACTTCTTTCTGTTTCTTTTTACATGAAGAATAACGATGTACGCCATTGATATCTGCGTAAGAGAGCTGCTGCTCTGTATGCGTGCAAAAGTTCCTTCGAGCGATAAAGCTGATCAATTTCAATAAAATACTCGTGGCAATCGATGTAATCTTCTCAACGTGGGTCTCATACGGGCGTAATCCGATCCAAAGTAGTACCCTCGGCAAGATCCAAGTATTCCAATTTGTGTCTACTTTGACTGACTTACGTTCAACTTTTATTTACACCGAAGATGTCTACGTCGCGAAGATTTGCTCGTCGCTTGAGATTGTTGTCGAGGCTAATTTTTTATGTATATTGGTGAGAACACCAAGTAATTTTCGAAAAAGAAATACAATCGTCTTCTCAAACGAGTACACGTCGCGTTGGCTTAAAATGAAAATTCGCAGCCAGCCAACTGCAGTTTGTGGTTTATTTTTTATTTTTCATTCGTAGGAAGCCACTCGAGAATAGTATACGTATATACGTTTCAGATTAATTGGGCGCACTTGTCAGTATGACTCGAGTCTCGGGTTAAAAAAAGAGCTTTTTGCACCTGGTGTCACCTTTCGAGTATCAAGGCACTTGCTCCTTGCAAAACAAGCACACTCAAGTAAGCTGAAAAAAAAAACAGAAAAAAAAGGGAATATAAAAAAATGTGACGACAAAAACAGTAGATCTGTATAGACGATACAGGTGGAGCCAAGTGCACCCAATTCTATGGAGGGCAAGAGGCACGACTCTATACATTCGCGCGGTTGCGAGTTTATTTATAAAACGACTCTTGACTGTCAGCCTAGAATATTTCGTGTAACGTGTTGTATTGTTGAATACGTCGTTACTTTTGGATGTGCGACTTTTTGATGTCTTATAAAAACATGGTCAATCTGAATTATAAAATAAATAAATGAATCAGTTTTTTTTTGTGGAATTCACGAGACGCAAGAGTTTGCGAATCTGTGTAATGGCACTGAACGAATCGATGAAATTTGAATTCTCGCCTCTCATTGTCAGAAGAGCGAAAAACGATTATGTATTCATGCGCTCACGAGTATGTTTAGAAAAAATGACGATGAATGTTTATCGTACCCAGTGATTCGTACTACTTACATGAATATATATATCGTTACGTCTAACGATTTCTGGGGATTAGGAAAAAATATTAAAAAAGCGTGTGAAAGATTCATGTTGTGCATATTATAACACCATTTTGGCAAAGGATGATACGTACAGCTCAACAACTTATATATAACATGGAGTGTTGATTATATTCGATAATGAAAATATAAAAATTTAAAATTATAAATTATTATGTCATGTTATGTCATGATCGATGAAAATAAAAAGTTGGATTATCAGAAGCACTGTGGATTTATTTTATTTATATTGCTTTGGCGAATGATTAATGCAGTTCGACAGGCGAGCCTTTTGTAGCTCATCTCCCATCAATTCTCCATTTGAGAAGGAAATAGTTGCGATGACTCGATCGTCGCGATGCAGCTTGCCCATTGACTGTCTCATTCGGACTTTCAATCACGATCGCCCTCGTTATAACGGCAAAGTGCTAGGTACATCTGCGTTACTATTCTGCTCTCATTTTTTTTTATGTTTAATTACTTATACCCAAAATTATATTTATCTCAGTCACACGTTGAAAAATTACATTAGCTCTTGCACACTCTCTCACTCGTCACCTATTATAACAATCTCATTATAAAAAAGGGCTGAAGCTCGCGCGCGTAAGCTCGCTCGAGTTTCAACTGGATGCCACGACCATGACGATCAGCGTCAATGTCGCAAACTTTGAGTAGAGACGTGCCGTCGAGTTGACGTATTCCGAGGATCTCTGCGAGTCCGACGTCGCTTGGACGGCTGCTGAAAGAGAAACGCATCGATAATCTTACAGCGACAGCAAAAAAGATAGAAGAAGGTAAAAAATCGGCCTACAGCTCTTGCGGCAGGCTTCGATATATCGACTAGTTTTATTTAGTTTTTGTTCTCTCTCTCTCTTTCTCACTCTGTCTCTCGGGACTCGCATGCACATAGGCGCGCAGTATTTATAGAGCGATGGTAGCGTATACACGATAAGATCGCACACGCGCGCGTGTATGCATGAAATCGAACGTTTACGGTGAGTGCATAACTATAACTGCTACACACACACAGGCTGTGCGGCGTCGATGGCTGTGCGTAGGTCGCGCGAAGGAAGTAGGCCAGGCGCGCCTGCACCCTCGTGGAAATTGCGCCATCTCGGAACGCGACGACTGTAAAAAACGATTTCACCGCCACGGCCAAGAAAAATGTCGAATTGTCGATGCGTATATACCTATACTCGTATCTATACGTACGAAGCCGCGCGAGTACAAAAGGTAAGGCGGTGCGTGCCGCGACGCGTGTTTCGCGAGAAAAATCGACGAGAGCAAAGGCGAGCATACAAGAGTCGTCGTCGTCGTCGTTGTCGTCGTCTCAGTCGTCGACTTTTTCTGCGACGGAATAAAATATCGCTACTTGTATTGAAAAAATGTACGTAAAATCCATCTGTCGAACGTGCTGGAATATTATTCCATGTATGAAAGTCCGACTTTTTATGCTCGTGCTCTTTTTTTTCCTCTCGATTTTCCTTATTCTTTTTGTTCGACGCTCCTATGCATGTACGTGAAAAAGATAAATTTTTAGTCCCGCGCCGCTCGTAGAAGAAATATCTGTTTAAAAAAAAAAAGAAGAAAAGAAAACGAGACACAAATCCATCACTGCAGCACGTATGTACCAACTATTTTCCGAATATATGTATATATTTGGACGGAAATAAAAAGGCCGAGAATTTGCCGTGCGAGCTAGGCAAAAAATGTTCTCCCTCCGTGTGCTGCTGCCGCTATCTGCCGTTGTTGCAGCCCGGCCAGTAGTACATGCCTTTATATTAGAATTTCAAGAGAGAAAAGAGAGAGAGAGAGAGATGTATGAAAAAAACTTGCCTGAAGGTATGTTATCGTGGCCATCTACGTCGATTTTGTAATCCTCATCTTCTATCGCTGGATTTCAGATGAGGGACAGTGCAAATCGATAGTGCAGCGTAGCAAGGCGCAGTAGTCATCCCCGTTGTCGTCACACGCGGGTCCAATCGTTATTCGGTCATTAAAAGTCAAGGGATTTGCATATGAGAGATATATCAGCCGCAGCACCGCCACGAAATTGCGGCGCGCTCTAAAGAAAAAAGATGAAAAAAAAATAAATAAAACGAAAGTAGCTTACCGGTCGTCGACAGGTCGGTGGTGAATCTGACCACTTTGGACGGGCTGCTCCAGCCGAATCGATTGCGAACCAGCACCAAAGCCTCGTACTGACTAGACGGCTGGAGGCCCGTCAAATTGAAGGATCTCGCGTAGAGTGGCCCGTCGGAGGCGGCCTCGTTGCTGCTCGGTATGAAGAGCCTGCGCCAGTCCTCCCGACTGTCCAGCGACCTTTGGCCCACGTAGACGTGCTCGGCCGACGAGTCACCCTCGCCGGTGCCTTTATACTGCAACGCGATCAACAAGTAAAACAACATTAAAACGAATAGCTGCTTCATTGATTAGAAAATATAGCGTAATGGCGCCAGTGCCAAGAGTTCCGTACGAATGAAACAATCGCTCTTCCGGGCCAGAGAACGTGCAGAATTTAACAATTCGCGCAGGATAGAGATTGGGCGGTCAAATTTCGGTGGCACTGAAATAGTCATTGCGTATCCGGGCGAGCCGGAGCTTTTTGAATCGGTCGACTCGATCCTTTTGCTCGTCTCGCTCTCTCTCTCTCGGAAGGCCCAACAGTGCTCGCAAGCTCTCGACGAGCTATATCGTGACCGCGATGAAATATGCAGCGGTACATCAGCATCAAGTAGGTGTACGCGAGTGCGAGTGCGGTGCCAAAGCATCGAATTAATTATACAGCCGTTGAATATATTGACGAGCACGAGGTGCAGTAGGCGCGGCCTGTATACGAACTGGTCCATTATTAAGTCGCTTTCCTCGCTATTGAATATTATAGCGATCGTCTGTCTGTCCGCCGCCTCTTGAAGCTCGGATATCGCGCCCTACTCTATACGTATCGCGTCTATCCGTCCGTGTGATGAAGCACTCACACGCGCGTATATCCCGAGTCTTATAATAATGCAATAACGTGTCGGAGTTATTCGCTTCGACCCTGTAAATTTGATCGAGTCGCGCCAATTAGCCTAGTTTTCTTTTGCGCCTAGAAGCTCGATTGCCCCGGCGTTATAAGTATACTTTTATTTTATTATTTCATTTTCGATGCATGAAATATGTAGCTCGACTGTTGGCTTCCTATGCTAGTGCTTGCGAGTAGTACATCGCTTAATGAAATAATCAATAATGCATGATATATCAGAGACATTAGTCAGACGATCGCCAGCTCGCACACGCGTGCATGTGCAAGGCCGTAGCCAGCGGGGGGGTTTGGGTGTCAGAACCCCCCCCGAAATTTGGGATTTTACCTTCTGTTAATGGTAACCCAAGCTACATAAGTAACCCGGGTAAACCCCCCCGAAAAAATTTTCTGGCTACGGCCCTGTGCATTAGGGTGGTTCGCTTTTGCAAAAATGTTCAAAATCGCGTATACGTCATGGCTATTCTGAAAGTTCAAGTCTTTACGAAAAGAAAGCCGGGTTCAGAACCTAAAAAAAGTGTCGGGAACCGGTGTCGATCGATTTTTGAAGTTTAAAAACGTGGTCCAAAATAGGAGCAAAATCGGTCAACCATTCAATTTATTTCAAACTGTGTTTCGAGAGTAAAAATAATATCGACAATACATTTTCTTACGTATTTTTGTCTGTAGAATCGAATGCCGTAGTCAGTTTTGCTCTACGACTTCGTTTTCATCGATAAAAATGTACTTTTTTGATTTTTTTTTCGCTTAAAAATCCAAAAATCGACTTTGCAACGTTTAAAAATGAATAGAAAAAATCTTCGAAAATTTTTGACACTACCAAAATTTAGGATTTTTTGTGGCGAATCCAACCGTATAAATTACTTGTAACCGGGAATGACTCGAATATGAGCTGGCTAGCTCGAGCAAAACGTTATCCGACTTACATAAATACGTGCTCGTCGAGTTATTGTCTCGACGAGCTGAGTTCGTCCAGCGGTCGCCCCGGTGTGTCGTGGCTCGATGAGTCTCTTACTCGTCGAGTGGCTGAAATTATTAATGCGAGGGATCGTTGCGTAGCAAATGAATAGTGACTCGCGTTGATTAAGTTAAAATTAGCAAATATACTAGGTATTTATTCATCAAATATTAAATTTAATAAGTTACAACAATAGTGGGGCCGCTCGCTCGCAATTTACAATGTGTAGTGTGTGTGTTAACTTACTCGTCGGTGACCGGTGACCGCAGCGAGGACTCGTGCACAAGTCCAAGTTGCGGAGGATCGAGTCGGGGTCGTCTACGGGTACAAGTCTGTAGGCCAGGTGAGGGTACTCGAATACGGGGTCGTCGGAGCTCGTTCGCTATCACACGGCACTCACGGGCTATCGCTCTTAGTAACACACACTCGGAAAGTCAAAGCAAGGCGGAAGGTCGTTGCGACTGTTCGCGCGCGTACATGGACCAGAAGTGTCGCGTCTCGCTCGCATCGATTATCGGTTCTCAGTCGGCCGCGTGTACCTTGCTGTCGTCTGCTCGTCGTGCCTCTCGCACGGCGAGCCTCGCGCTGCGGCTTTCCGTCGTTTTCGCGCTCGCGGCTTAACGCCGAGTTTATTCTGGCATTACATAGTATATACTTTTGTAGTATATGTTTTCGAAAAAAAATCGTTTTTTTCTAAAACGATGTTTTAGGACCAAAATCACAACGTCATTCAATTTTACAGTAAAAAATACAAAAAAAATGTTGCAGCGGGATTTTTGAAGAGCACTTTCTCTCAAAAAAGGCGCGTTTTCGAGATTTTTCGTCAAATTCAGCCAAAAAAAATCGAAAATTTGCATTTTTATGAATGAAAATAATTTTAAAGTATATACTAATTTATACCGTTTGATTTGTCACAAAAAATCCTAAATTTTGGTAGTGTCAAAAATTTTCGAAGATTTTTTCTGTTCATTTTTAAACGTTGTAAAGTCGATTTTTGAATTTTTAAGCGAAAAAAAAAATCAAAAAAGTACATTTTTATCGATGAAAACGAAGTCGTAGAGCAAAACTGACTACGGCATTCGATTCTACAGACAAAAATACGTAAGAAAATGTATTGTCGATATTATTTTTACTCTCGAAACACAGTTTGAAATAAATTGAATGGTTGACCGATTTTGCTCCTATTTTGGACCACGTTTTTAAACTTCAAAAATCGATCGACACCGGTTCCCGACACTTTTTTTAGGTTCTGAACCCGGCTTTTTTTTCGTAAAGACTTGAACTTTCAGAATCGCCATGACGTATACGCGATTTTGAACATTTTTGCAAAAGCGAACCACCCTACTGTGCATGTGTATAAACGCATTGAAATATCTGCTCGCAAGCGTAAATATTCCAAGCGACTCGTTCATCCGACGCTTTTATATGAATATATAGTCTCGATTCCGATGAGCTTTAAACGGCGACGAGTCGCGATTTGCTCGCTCTATACCCAAGACCTACACAGAAAGTAATTAATCGACGATTGGCAAATTCAAAGGTGTATCTCCAAGACTCGATAATAAATTGCTGAAGAGGAGGAGGAGGAGGATGAGGAGGAGGTATTTCTTTGTCCAAGTTGCAGTGGCAGCGCTAATACACACTTGGGCTCTCTCTCTGAGTAGAAGCTAGCTAGCTAAGGCGCTGTATGCCAGTGTTGATACTCTCTCTTACGACTTGCTCGCGCTGCGGCCGTCGAAGTTGAAAGGTCTGGCTAAAGCCGATCCGATAAATCAATACGCCGCAACACAAAGCGGCTGCGGAGTAGCGAGAGAGAGAGAGAGAGAGAGAAAACTATAGGTGTATAACGTCGTCGTACGTACGAACTATAACGCGTTAGGCTGCACAAGAGATCGCGATAAGCTCCGACGAAACTGCACTGTCTTATCTCTCCAGCTGCATAGCTCGGTTAACCCGCGTGGCACTGGCGCTATACCTTACCGGCTAATCTCGCGCCCCAACTAGGCCCGGAGAAAAAAAAGGTTCGTTATATACGCGCCAAGTTTTCGAGGAGAATTAGGAAGTCTGGATGAGCAAGTGCAGCAGCGTGTACCAACCTGCCTGAACCAGAACTGGTACTCGACTATGGGACTGTAGCTGTCGACCTCCCAGATGAAGTTGACGCTGTTCGCGGAGGAGGCGCGCAGCTCGCGCTTCAGCAGCGGCGGCTTGGCCAGGCCCGAGAGCTCGCTCGTCGCCTCGGCCGCGCCCAGCTCGTTGGTCGCCCGACACGTGTAGGTGCCCAGGTCCTGCGCCCGTACGCTCCTGATGACCAGCGAGTGGATCTGCGAGTTGTCCTCCTGGGCCGCCTCCTGCTTGTAGCGCAGCAGACGCTGCGAGCGCGCCAATGGCTCGCCGTCGAGCAGCCAGTCGAGACGCGCCTCCGGCCACGAGGTCACCCGGCAGTCCAGCTGGGCCCGGATGCCCGGCGCCGTGTGCAGCCACGCCGACTTCGACCTCACCTCCGGCTTGTCTGTGTGTGTATGCGTGCGCAAGCACAAACAAAAAGCCCCCGTCCAGATTTTACATCAACAGAAATTTGCATTATTAATTTTAATTGTTTGCCTCGCGATTGTTCGAGACGTCTATTGTGTCTTACAATCGGTACAATTCTCTAGGAGAGTTAATTTCGCTATATGCACTGATGTTGCATGATAAATGATCTTTTTGCAGTCGCGATACAGTCGTGTTCCGAGAAGGAGAATCGAGAGCCGAGATTTGACCACCCGCAAATCATAAGCGTTATTAATTCTTTGTCCCTTTTTATTATTCGCTTCCTGTCCACGCGCGCTTATGTACGTACTCGTACGCCGACCAACGTTATAATCGATATAAATTACGAGTCTTTTTAATTCTCCTTTAACAAATTGTAATTTCTTGTATATCTCGAGCATTCCAGTCAATGTTTTGACTCGAGAGGGAGAGAGAAAGAGAGAGAGAGAGAGAGCGAGAAAGACGTTGGAAGAGAGAATAAAAAAAACTTTGAAATTATCAAGTTTCGCGCTGGAGGACGTCTCATCGGCAACAAAAAAAAATCGCACGTTAATGAAGTCCTGTTACTTGGAAAATCAGCTCGAAGCGCTCTTATCGATTTCTTTCGTTTGAGATTAATTTTCATTTTTCTTTCCGATAGTAAATTCGCCCAAGAAAAATATAGGTCGCTCTCGTCGTTGCTCATATATAATAAACGTAATAAACGTTGTGCTCGCCGGAGCCGCGCGTGTGCAAATTAATTTCAATCCACACGGTCGAAGGTATACTATACGAAAGAAAAAAGGAAGGAAGGAAGGAAGGAAGCAAGAAAGAAAGAAAGAGAGAAAGAAAAAAGGGATGGTGCCGACTCACGCTTTATCCTGAGCTCGATGTTGGCCGCGGCGGGCTCGCCGATGCCGTTGCTCGCCTCGCACGTGTAAAGGCCGGCCAAGCTGCGATTGGTCGCGTGAATCTTGAGCTTCTGGCCGGACGTCAAGACGGGCAACTCCTCGCCCTGGAATTTCCAGGCGAGGCTGGGCTTGGGCACCCCGTGGGTCTCGCACTCGAGGACGGCCTCCTCGCCCAGCGAAACCTCGACCTGGCCGCTCTCGGGCACGGGTTTACTGCTGGCCGGATCTGCAATTGCGACCTCGTTTATTGTTGTATAGTAATAATTTCGTATGTACATAGACTCAAGGAGCGGAGCATGTCGTGAAAATGCAATTAAGAGCGTAGCACACAGACGACGGCTAATAGAGTTGGCGCGCTGACTCAAGGAGCGCAGCAGCAGCGTCGGAGTGCAGTGATAGCGTACATAACATCGAGCTCGTGTTGGTCGTGACAGCAGGGAGGGCACGCGCCACCTTTCAAACGCGCGCTTCACAGTGCTCGTTCCGCACGATGTGCGTGTGCGCGCGCTACGTATATACGACGTGGGTGGCTGTATATACGAGCCAAGGGTCAGAGGGTCGTCCCGCGCGCGCTAACAGGCTGCTGCTCGCCTGTGTCCTGCATATCGATATATGGGCTATTATTGCAAATATATGGGACGCGCGGGTATATAGCTGCCTGCAATAACGCGTACACTTCGCGCATAAGTGAGCTACTTACGTACACCGTGATTGCAGTAGTTTACAGAGTCGTACGAGAGCTATACACGTGTATCGTAACGTTCTTACGCGTCCAACTGCAGCTGGTATGCATTTATTTTTCTTTTTTTCTTTTTTTCTTCTTTGAGCTCTGTATAAGCGCTACGTGCAATATGACGCGCGAACTCGATGAAAAGATGTCCGTACGTTCAATGGAGCTATATCGTATTATATATCTAACGATTAGCCGGGCCGTGCACGGCTCTTTCATCGGAGAGTATTAATTTCACATCCAGAGATCCCCTCTAGCTGCTGCTGCTGCGACGATGATACCTGCGAGCAAAATCTAATATGCCGGCTCTATTTTCAATGAGCGAAAGCTCTGCTACTCCATGTAATAAACTGCTTTTAAACTTGGCGACTTGATATAATAACGAGATGAAAAATCCTTGCTGGCGTACTTACGTAGTGTACGGGGCTAAGCGCAGGGGGCCTATAGGTATATGTACACTTGCGTAAAGCACACACAAAGTGCTGCACTATACAAATATATATGTCTGTACACTTTCCAGCGCACGACTAAAGTCTCGCTGCACAAATGCAAATCTTTTAGCGCAAGCTAATAGCGTGCACATACGCAGCGCAGAAATAATATTTTTCCAGCGACTTTGAAACTCCCCGTCTATATAGTTCTCAGCTGAGAGAAAATGCTCGGCACACAAAAGTTTCGCCTGTATAAAGCTCTTACACGTATATATAACTCGGAGTCGAGTCGAGTCGCTGGCGCTGCTTTGGTGCGTCTCGATCGTGGCACATATAGACATGGGCACGGGCACGATCGAGTATCTGCAGGATGCTGGATAGCTATGTGTAGTCTATATATTTTGTATGCACATGCCACATATTGCGTAGAGCTTGGCGAACGAGCCGAGGGTTCTCGAGTCCCGGCTGAAATCATAGCGGTGCGTGCCTCCCCCTCCTCCTCCTCCTCCTCCTATGTACAGTACACACACCAACTTGTATATCGTCGTACATAACTACGTGACTAATTTGTCTGTGTGCACATACGCGCGCCAGGTACAGGTTCTCGAAGGCACGAGTCAATACGCGCGCTTCGGAGCAGCAGCAGCAGCAACACGAGTTCCCTTTACCAAATACTGGCCACGCGCATGTAGCAGCACTTGCATAAAGCACACATATGCATCCATGCTCGAATAACTCGCTCGAAATATGCAAATATCGCCTTGTACAGCCTTCCTCCTATACGCACCTGATACATATTTCGACCTCTGCCCGAGTCTTATTGCGCCGAGCGATTGAAAGAAAAAATAAAACAAGAGGAAAAAGTCTTGGCGTGTTTCGGCTGGGGTGGCGCTGCAATTACGCGCGCTCGGCATTCAATGAGCCTGATTGACAATTACCGACCGATTCTTAGACGGGGATTGCTTCATTAGTCCGTGATTGTCCGAAGGCAGCTGCAGCAGCGCAAGCTCGCAGTACATAGCAAACACTGCACATTGCGTTGCAGCTCTTGATGCACGGAATTGGCGCGTCGATCTTTCTGTGCGAACCAACGATTATTTTTTTCATATTATAGCCAAGCTGGCTGTTGGTTGGAGCCGAGAGAGTTAGAGCGCAGTTATTTTTTGGTCGCGCAAAGACTTCTTTACGACTTGACGCGCAATCCCCTATTTATTATATTACATGGTGCTAACACGACCAACAACCTCGAATCAAAAACCGCGCGCAAAAAATTCATTCGCGTATTTTCGCGCGGAAAAGCATCTCGGCTTGGTCGGAATTAAACGCGCGGCAGCTGCACTGACTCGTTTCTCACCTAATGAGGATTCTCCACTTGTTCCGCATCTTTCTCTCTCTCGAGCGTCGGAGAGATGCTGCAGCACCGACGCTACTGCCACTGCATTTACACTCGCGACTCTCTCACTCGCCCACTCGCTCTCTTACACCGTCTTCTCGAGTACCAACAAAACGACGTGTTTTTCTTACTTTTCTACGACTCAGAGAAACACAGAAGGAAAAGCTCGCGCGCGACATATATTACGACACGAGAGGAAGGAAAAGAGACAGAAGTTGGCGTACACAGCGACGTACACACACGTACTCACACATGACCTGGATCTGGTGGACTTGTGTGACGTGGCCCCAGGGCTCGGGGCGCGAGGCTTGACACACGTACTCGCCGCTGTCCTCGGGCCTCACCTGGACGATCTCGAGGCTGCGATTTCCCCACATCTTGACTCGAGACGAGGACTCGGACGCGTTGGCGCTACCGCCCGGCTCCTCCTCGCTGTCGGCCAGCAGCACTCCGCCCCGATACCAGCGCACTCGGGTCTGCAGGCCTGTTGAATTTCAACCTCTCGTCATTTTCCTGTTGCTTTTTTTTCATATTTATTTTTGAAATTTCACGAATCTCGCTGTAAAGTATGAAAAAGTGTACGCGTGTACGCGTGCTTTTCTTTTTTCCTCGTCGCTGCTGCAGTGCGAGTTTCAGGAGTAATGTTTTTTCAAAAAAGTACATTTCAGCTGTAATTACAGTGGCTGGGAAATTTTAATGAGAGCAGACGCACACAGTGCACTGGCTTAGCGTGTAAATAGCGAGCGAACTCGACCGATCAGTGGCGCGTATTTTCTCAATTGCCTTTTTTCGTTCGGGCCGGCAAAAGCCAGCAGCAGCAGCGAGACTCGACGTACTCGAATTAGCGCGCATAATGAACTCGCACGCACTTTTGATAATACAGTTGCGAAAATGCGCTCTCGATCTTTAGTCGCACTCGGAGTGTGCCGCATTACAGATTGCGCGCCGCGGGAAGAATTATTACGTAGCGAGCTTTGTTGGCCCAATTACATGCCTCGGAGCCATAACTGCGGATTATCGAGCTCCGTATAGACACGCGTGTGCTGCCGCACTTACTGCACAACTCGCTACTACTGCTGCGGAGGTTGTTAATGAGGCTCGAGAGTTGCGCCGCGCTCGACTATCAAGATTCTGCATGTACATTAGGGAAGCTGCGCGCGGGATTACACATAATTCCTCGGCGCGCGATCGGTATAGTGCAGCGATTCGAGAGCACACGAGCCGCGAAGATTCATGCAGTGGCACGCGATGTCGAATTCGCTCAATCTCAGCGGTGAATATTTTCCTCGAACGACCGTCGGCCCGAGTGCGAGTGTGACGAGTACACGACCGAAACGAGAGTGACCGAGGTGCAGTGGTAATTCGATCTAGGTAGGCACTGCCGCCCATGCTACATAGTTATACTCGTCTGTAGATTCGCATTTTCGATCCGACCAGTGTAACTCGATTGAAATTCCATAGCAGTGTGAAACGTCGCGATACGTGACGCGCACTCCACCTTTATATATCACTGCGTACACGAAGCTTGTACACGTACGTTGTATATTATTATACGCAGTGAGAGAGAGAGAGAGATGATGCTGCTGCTAGTTGACATTCGGTGCAATCATCGATCAGTGCGGCAGCGGGCGTTGCACCTATATATCGTAAGCGTGTTGTTTCAGGCCTCGCTTTCATCTCCCTCTTTTGCTCTTTGTCCGTCACTCGCGATTTTCCCGAAACGCATACAGGTACACACGACGATGCGTATAATATTCGAAAACAAGCGAGTGCGCCGTGAATGTGTGCAGCGGAGTTACACGATACGCAGCCGCGGGCGAGAAGAGCGAAACAAGCCGAACAAAAAAAATGGAGCGAGCAAAAAGAGAGAGAGAGAGAGCGAGAGAAAATTCTGCGGTTTCACCGCAACCACAAGCAGGTGCAGCAGCTTCGTCGTAAAAACTCGTTTAAATGAGTATGAAAAAAAATGCACATCAACATATCTATGTAGACGCGGTACGCGTGCAAAGCCCTTTTTTGTGCTCTTTTCGAGTTATCGCGCGTGTTACACAGCTCGGTCGAAATTTCGTCGGGCATAAAGCTAGGTAAGCGCAAGTAGATTAGAGCTGAAAAAAAGTGGCTAGAGTAGACGAGCGATAGCCGCAGCTGCGCGAGGGGCAACGAGGGGCAACGGCTCGGTATGGCTGGCCGGAGGGGCGAACTACTGACCGAGATCCTCGACGTGGCAGGGCAGCAGCACCGTGTCGTTCTCGTAGCTCTTGACCAGGGCGACGCTGTGCTCGTTTATGGCGCTGCCCCGGCTCAACCTCGGGCCCGTCGAGCCGAGCAACAGCAGCAGCGTCCTCAGAGCCCGATACAGTCTCATGGCTTGGGTGTCACTACTATAATTATCTTCTCTCGATGTATGGCTACGTATAGCTGTCTATCTTATGCAGCCGGTACAACTGCTCATGGTCGCGCGCGAGTGTCCAACTGTCTTGACCGTCGTCGCATCGAACGGCAGCAGCACCTTATACGAGAGAGCATTCGTCTTCTTCTCTCGCTATACGTATATTAGTAGTCGGAGCGGGGGCCCTATTCATCCGTCGATTGATGACACACACGCGCTCGTTCTTTCTTTTTCCCTCTTTCTTTTTGCTCTCTCTCTCTCTTTCTTTCTCGCTATATAGTGATTCACGCCCGAGTGCGCGGCCGCCTAGAGGCGACAGATCTTGCAAGCCCTTAGCGTCCTACATTAGCGTTGCACTGCCGAGGCTGATTCAGAGGCTGCCTGTTGACGTTTCTACGACTTACTCATCCCACCGATTCACTGATTCCCCCCTCTCTATCTATCTTTCTCTAGCTCCGATGTGCTCGACTCGTATGCAAAGCATCTCGTTACATGTCTTACACGCTTTGCATGTAAGCAATTTTCAAAGCGTTATTTCGATAACGTACATACGAGTGAGATGCAGGTGAAAAGGGCGCTTCCCTCGTGGCCCCGCTCGCCCTTTCAGACGAATGTGCCAGTGAGCTACGCGCGACTACGGCTGTAACTCAGCTACAAAAAGTACACTTAAACACACATACTTACTTGCCAGTAACCCGCGTGCCAATGAAATCTGTACATGCGGAGCATGCGAGAGATAGATAGACTTTCTCTCTCTCTCTCTCTCTCTCTCTCTCGAGTGGCGCAACTAAAGCAAAAGATAAAAATAAACCCTCGAAACTTTTGCTCATATATATATGTACATTATACGTTATATACTGTATACGAGAGGCTGAAAAGGAGATAATACGGGTGTGTGCTTTACACTCGGAGCTACTATGTGCTGGCTGCACGACCGGTGCTGATGTATTACCTATTCAACAAGCTTCTGAAAACGTACTCTCCGCCTGCTACATATTTATTTATTGTGTTGCTACTGCTCTCTTTCACTCTGCCTCTCTTTTTCTCTCTCTTTCTCTCTCTCTCTTTTCCAGTGCGAACAAACATTTTCGGAGCGCGCGTCGATCCACTTAGGCGCATCGTTATTTTTTATTGCCCCGAGCGCATAAATAGCGCGTGCCCGTGCTTTCGTGCTATATTATATTATATTCCATTATATACAGAGCCGAGAGTCTCGTGGTGCTATGTCGCTGCTGTACATTCTTCGGCTCGAGTTAGCAACGCTCTCGGGTCCACACCTCCGTATATCTGAGATTCATCAGTCAGGTGGCGGTGTGCAGGTGGCGGTGGTGGCTACGCCGCTGGTGGCGACCCGAAAGGAAAGAAAAGGGAGAGAGAGAAAACTTTGTCCGCATAGCCAATAAAATAATTTCACGGCAGGGCCGGGATGATGTATGGTCTCGCGAAAACTTAATTCATACTCCATTCCTGTTGCTCTCGCGTCGGAACCCAAGACCGGTCATGATATCGTATAGCGTATACACTTACACATACATATATAGCAAAGCTGACTGGCGGAAAAGGCCACTACTAGAATATTATAGAATGTTATACACGCGACCCGGTGTACACGGTGACGACGGTGTATTCAGGCTGTTATGTGCTGCCACTATGCTCGTCGACAACAGTATGAGCACACACGTACGTATACACAGGCAGAATAGGGTAGTTTGCTTTTTCGAGCGCGGGAGCAGAGGCCTTTGAGGGAAAGGCACCCGAGCACTGAAAGATTAAAGAGTCGGCCGCGAGAGAAGAGGCCTTTTATTCATCGACGACGATCGAGCATGTGAAAGGTCCTCGTCGTCGCAACTCGGCCGGCGATACACCTATACTCTCGCACGCGAGCTCGGGTGCAACTTTTATAAGGCGTTGATCACGCCCGGGCCTAAATTCTCTTCATCGTGCTATTATGCAGCACATTTCGAAGCTCGTCGCTGTTGCTCGGGGCTATTTGCTCGGGCCGAACAATGTTTTTCGCGGCAGCGAGAGACAGAGACAGAACAACCAGACACACACACGTACATTCACTAACTCGTTCCTACAAAGTTCCTTCAATGACCTGGTTTCTCTCTTGCTCGCTATCTCTCTCTCTCTCTCTCTCTCTTTCAACCCCAAGACTAGCTTCTCTTTCTAGCTCTTGTACATCGAGAGATATATACGACTGCGTTTTAGAGATACGTACCACAGAGCTACATACTGACTTTATGTATATACGACATCGGATAATTCCTACATGGCCTCTGGAGTGAGAAGAGGAGAGAGAGACAGAGAGAGAGAGAGAGAGATCCTTGTAAGGAGCTACTGGCTCTTGTCGCGCTCATTAATGTAAGCGACGGCACGAGAGGAGAGCCAAGAGGCCTCGACTCGATCATCCTGCCAGCTTTTTCTGCCCGTCGCCACTGGTGCCGCTGTTTTTATGCGCGCGATAAAGAAACGAGATCTGCCGCTGATTAGGCACGCTGACAATGAAGTTCGCCAACTTCTTGACTTATCGCGCGGCGTACTTTGATCGCTCGCTCGCCTAGCTATATCTTACCTTTGTCTCGGGCTTCTAATTAGTTTATAACGTCAAAGGACTTTTGTCCTGGCAACAGCAGTAGCTTCCATAGAAACGGTACGCTTGTAGCTAGCTTGGCAAAGCGAAAATTGATTTTTCCTTTTCCTTTGGAGATTGACACGAAGATGAGCATCGTTTAGTTGCCCCGCGACTCGCTCTATACAAATACATCGCGCCACAAAGACTGCTCCCGCGCCGAGCTCGCTTTTATACTCTACACGCGAATTTCCATCTTATTTACGGAGCTTCTACGGCTGAAGCTTTTAAATGAAATAATCATGGGCGGCCGCACAGCCAAAGGGTCAGACTGTCGCGCGCTCCCAAGCATTCGCAGCCACCTTACAGTACCTATACACGCGCGCATCCGCCGCATGTAACCCCCGAGTGAAAACGAGATTTATAAAGGCTGCCCGCGTTAATCAGTGCACGTATGCGCGTAGCTCGCCGCATTTATAATTCAGCGCCTCGCTAGCTGGCTGCGAGCTCGCCTCTGCACGTGCATGCCTGCACAGCTCCGGAATGAAGTCGCGTACGCGCAGCACTACTAACCCCGGAACTGCCCGCTTTTTTTTTGCTTCTGCCCCGTGTAATATGTAATTCTATATATATAGTTCGCGCGCGCGCCAGTCTTTGCTTCGTGTCTATTAATTATGCACGAGGCTTTTAGCATATCGCGCAACTGTTAAGCTCGGCATCATGCATGTATATAGAGATATACGTACATAATACTCATATGCGCTTTACCGAGATAATCCTAATCAGCTGCAAAAGATCTCAAGCCGAGGATAATAATTCGCTGTGCCTTTGCTCAGCCCGCCATATAATCATTTCGTTAGAGCTTTTAAGCTCCTTAGCCGAGGCGAACGTATGCTTCATTCGGTATTATTTATCGCTATTGATTCAGGGTCGAGCTCGGATAGAGTTACTCCCCCCAATAAATACACATGTTTGTATGTATCTCTGTATGTGTGTGTGTGCGTGTGTGTGTGTGTGTGTGTGTATGTGTGTGAGAGAGAGAGAGAGAGAGAGAGAGTATTGACTTACGCACATAGAGTTGAACTAGTAATTTCATAATTCAATCATTCGTATCGTCATCGATTTTTCTGGCGTATCGATGGCTCGCAAGCTGCCAGAGCTACTTTGTGTTGCACTTTGCAGTCGAAATTTCCATGCACACCTACACACTTGTCCCAAAAGCTTCGCACAGTCGCATTTCCCAAGTACTTACTCCTCTCTACGCGCGATTTATATAAAATATAACGGATACTCTGCTCTTTCTCTCTCTTTCTCTCTCTTTCTCTCTCTTTCTCTTCCCCATACCTTTTGTTTGACCTACATTCGAATGATGAATGACTTTTGTAATCATATTTTCAAACTTGCTCCTTTTCTAGCTACCTGGATCTGCACACAACCCTGCTATTGCCATACTGTTGTTGTAGCTACAAGTGTTTATTGTATATATAGTTTTAACGCCAAAGGGCTCGAATTGTTATTGCGAACTTTATATGCCAACAGCCGCACATATACGAGTATCGCATTACAGATAAGAGCTATTAATGGAATTTCGTACTCCCGTCATGGTTTGAGCTAAAATTTTTCTTCTCTTTTTGAGCTTCGTACTGAACAAATGACTCCAAGACGCAAAGAAAGAGCTTTCTCGTGAACGGGCATGCACGCTTGCACACGAGGGCGTAGCCTTTTGCGTTCCGCATTGACCACGGGCGAGCTCGAGCGTTTTTATCCACGCAAAATAGCGCTTTTTTATGCGCCTCGCTACCGCAGGGCTTTGCCAGCGATAATAAAACGTAAACGCGAGCCCGGCATAAAAAATTTATCGAGTTGACATGTGGCACATGTGTATACGCGAAGCGGCGCGCGGCTCAATTTCTCCCGTTTATTACAAATGAAAAGTCAATTCAACGCTCTTCGATATATACAGTATGGCGCTTGCTGCACTTTGTCTCTCTTTCTCTCTGTATACGTACTCGAACTTTTAGCGCTAATAGTTATTGACTCTGTGTGTATGTACATGATCGATCCTTAAATGGAAAGTGCGAGGCTCTTTTGTATGCGTGCGTGCGAGCGTAAACGGGTCAAGTATTTTTTATCTCTCGCGAAAAAAAAGATAGATGGAGAAAGAGAGGAAGTGAAAAGTTAAACAAACCAAAGAAACGCTTGAGCTTCGATGTACGCTTCATAAAAAGTCGATATTATTTGTAGTTTTTCGTTTGGTCGAGCACGAGAGATCGAGCTCGCTCATTGAAATTTCAGATTACATCTGCTGAATGAACGAGAAGATAAAATCCACGCTCACCTTGTTTTTTGAATGCTCCTATTTTCAAAGTAGTTTAAGCAGCAAAATGAAAAGAATCGCAGCCGAGAGCGGTGGCAGTCGGGGGGGAATCTTGACGACGCATCGCTCGAGTCATAAAATAGTGATCTAAGACTTACCAAACTTGTGGCTTGGCCTGCGCGCACATAAAGCTGAGTGCGCAAGACTTTTCTTAACGTTTGTGGCTTTTCGATGAGTTTGCGATTTTTTAAAAAGGCCAATTTTTTCACTAGCTTTTTCCTTCGATAATACTCTCGCTTCGTGTGGTTTTGTCAAATGTTAACTTTGCTCGAGACTTTGAATGATATTCATTTGTGGTACAAACGTCTTTCTTACTTGGAAAATGACAAAGACGGAGTAAAGTGCTTTTCCTTTTTTATTTTCTCTTTTTTCTTACAAACGCGAACTTTTCTGATCGTTAGTCTTTATCGAAGTAATCTCGAACCATATTTTTCTATAATAAAAAACAATCTTATTCCAGGAGGCTGTAAGTTTTACGAAAATTACTTTGTTTCCTGAAACATTGAAAAATCGGCAGTCTTCGGCGCTATCGCGTGAGTTACTAAAAGTTTGATTGACCGATCCAAGTTGGAACGTACTTTGTGGCTTATTATTACTTTTATGCTGGATTGTAGTAAATTGAAACTCGAATGTGCATACAGTTTACAAAACTCGCAATAATAAACGATACGTTTTTAAAAATATTGACCTTTCATGTTTTTTTTAGCACGAATCAACATCAGGGCGGGCAATAATTTTCAGGGCATAATTGTCCAGACATTGAAAAGGTTGCTAGTTGATACCATAAACAAGAGCGATGAAAAATGTCGGAACAATTATATTTAATATTCTCTTCTATATTATTGTAATAAATTTGTCGACCTGTGCTGGTGAAAAATCAGCATTTTGAAAAAATTCTAGAGTATACAGAAAAGAACGAGTTGTTGAAGCTCGAGAAATTTTTTCGTATTATTTTTTGTACGTCCAACTTTTTGACCATTGTATAAGCCGCGGCAGAGAAAAAATACGTTACTCTAATGAACCGCGTCGCGCGGCGTTCTCGAGACATGTGCAAATTCAACGTGGAGCGAAAAAAAAAGATCGTGTAAGTGTACAATATGTATATGAATTTTTTTCTCGTCGTCGTCGTTGTCGCATTGAAAAGTAAAAAGTTTCGGCGGATTGTGTCATCTCTCATTCTCGGGCCGTGTAGGAGGCTAGGTTATTATATATACGTGCACATGTACACGCGATATCTGGATGGATGGTAGCGAGCGAGAGAGCGAGAGAGAGAGAGAAGCGAGCGCGCGTGGAAGACCGCGGAAAACAAATAACGTAGCCGAGAGGGGTTGAAAGGCGCAGTGAAAGCGAGAGCTTACAGGCTGTTTTAGTCAGTAATAGAGAGAGAGCGAGTGAGAGAGAAGAAGTTGCGCGGGGGTGGGTGGAGGGGCAAAAGTTCTTCGCAGCTGCGCAGCAGCGGTGCACAGAGAGGTACCAGTGGAAATTCAATCTATATGTATATACGTATAGAGAGACTTGGTGAGAGTTCACGCGAGCGCGGGATAGAGCGAGAGCGACGTACAGCACGTACAGAGATACAAGTGTACTACTCTAGAAGTCGTGGAACGCGCGCCGTCGTGCCGAGCACAGCGATATATAGAATATACGCGCGCCTCGTCACTACAACAGTCAGTCAGTCGGTCGCGCGCAGCCCGTCGGACAGGAGCGTCAACGCGTCGCGAGTTCCAAGTTCGAAGCCAGTCGTCGTCTGCCCAGCGCTAGTAGAGAGTGCGTCCAGTTCGCGTCATACTGTGTGCTCGTGTGCGACAAGTGCGACGACGCGTAACAGGTTCGGAAAAATGCGCCAACAGCAGCAGCAGCAGCAGCAGCAACAGTTGGAGCAGGTCAGCGATCGGGTTCTTCCCCTGCAGGACGCCAGCAAAGACAGTCATCAGGCCGAAGCGTCCGGTGAACCAGTCGCGAGAAAGTGAGGCAGGCGCGAGAGCTGCAAGCAACAGCAGCAGCTGCAAGCTCAACAACAACAACAACAACAACAACAACAACAACAGCAACCTGCACAGCAACAATCGGCGTCCGAGCATGCGACGGGCCTCGGCAGCTGGAGCTCGTCGAGGCGATGCAGCCAACAGCACTCGCGCAGGAGGCGAACGATGACTGACAGCCAAGCCTCCCAGTCAGGACGACAATGTCCCGACGAAGCTGCCATCGCCGCGGTGTGTATCCTTCTCGTGTGCCTGAGCCAATACAGCCCCGACATCGACAACAAACAGCAACAAAAAAGCTCGTGTTTTTCGGCACGTGCCGCGGTTCGCGTACGTGCAGCAGCAACATTTAAAGCGAGCTTTTGAAAGCTTGCGCGCGCGAGAACGTGCTTCTCTCTTTTTCCCGCGCTCTCTCAGTCGTGATGTTGCCACCGCCTCCTCCCCCCACTTTTAGCTAGCCCACATATGGGACGACGGCATTGCCGAGCTTAATAAGCTCCCGTACGTGTGTGTGCGTCTGTGCTGCAAGGTTACTATCTCGATCGCCCCGCTCCAGACCGCGAAAAGCTTCCCCAGCTGTTCTTTTGTGGCTTGTAATCTAATGCACTTTGATGCGCGTCTAGCTGCGGCACGCACATCGACAAATAGCATGACCTTACACGTATCAAGCCTGAAACTCGAGTCTTCAACCTAATATCCTTAGCGAAGCTTTTAGAGAGCCCGACAGGCTCCAGGGCGCTCCTTTCCTTCTTTGACACTTGAAAAAATGAAATTTGTCTTTTAGCTGCCTGATGCGCCTCCTTTCCCTTCTACCTTTTTTTTATTCTCCTTTAACCTCGTTACCTTTTCCTCCTTACTTTATGTATTTTAAAATTCCCCAGTAAAAGTTGTTTACCCATCTCAAACTGCTCGCTGTAAAAGAAAAAAGAACAACTTTCCAAAGATGCTCAAAGATAATAAAAAGAGCTCTCTTGTTGATTCGTGTTCATGTTTTCATCGGAAAATGCACAATTAGAAAATATAACTCGATACTCGCTTTTCCTTATCGTTAAAATTGCGAATCGCATTTACCAAATAATGTTTTATTTCTCTGCACGCGAGTACCCGAGACTCGATGGTATGTACAGTCGTATAAATGCCGTACCAACGCGCGCAGATCGAGAGCAATCAATCTCAGTAAAACTATAATACAATACGCGGATAAAATCGTATTATTCTGCGAAAATATCGCAACGGAAATCTTGAAAACAAATCAAATTCATATCTCGATGCCGAAGTTATTATTTAAATGGAATTCAAAGCTCCTGCGAGAGCAGCGTCGCGAGATCGGGACGGATTTATTCGAATTTTTTTAAATTTAACGCGCAGTATTACATTTCCGAAACCTATTACTTACAAGCTGAAATGACGTTAAAAGGGTGCTTGACAAAGTCATTATTACATAATTAGAGTATGAAAAATGCAGGGGCAATTTGTATTATTCATTTCGTCATGAGTAAAGGAACATGAGAGTTTGTAAGCCCAGGTTATCAATTATGCAGGTCTACATCCTAAAGTATAGATATATATTTATGAGTGTGTCGATATTATTCGTTGAATATTGCAGTGTAAGCTAATTAATCTTCTCCGGACGCTCGTTGTTTTTAGGATTTTTCCCCCTCCTCCCCCATTCCCGTTCGAGAGGAAATTTTAACGAGTGTAATTGAACAATCTTCGGTTTGTCAGCGAGAAACTTCCCCCGAATTCCGCCGAGCAAAGGAAGACACAAAAGTTTTTAATTAAGAACGCGAAGCTTTGTTTGGGCCAATACGCACCTCACTTGAAACCAAAAACAAACGAGCTGCAGCGAGCAGTCAATGTAAATAGCATTAGACAAGCGGAGAGTGAGAGAGACAAAATGAGACCGATAGACGGAGAGAGAGAGAGAGAGAGAGAGAGAGAGAGAGAGAGAGAGAGAGAGAGAGAGAGAGAGAGAAAGAATGGGATAAAGGGAGAAAAAATAATTCGAATAAAGAGATGAAGTGACTTGACGCGCGTTTGTACGAAGCTGCCTATTATGCGAAACGCGAAAAAGAGACGCAGAGAAATAAAGGAAAAGTAAAAAAGTCATTTGGTGACTGTGCGATGCGCGCTGCAACTTTGGCCGAGATAACCGAATGAAAAAAAGAAGAAGAAGAAAAAGGAGAAAATAAATAAAAAAATAAAGAAAGCACCCCGCGCGTGCAAACTGAGAACTTTCGTATTATTTAGACGGGAGGAGAGCATAAACATTATGTGCGGAAGGAGCACGAGGAAAAAAAACTAACGCGAGTAGTTATAAAGGCAATGCGGAGAGTAACCTCGTACGCTCCAGTTAATTCGAGTTCACGTGTCTCTTGCTGCTGCAGCTGCTGTTGCTCGTCGTCGCCGCGGCGAGAGAGATTCAAACGCATCAACGCAGAAAACAATACATATGTTTACGCAATTCTTTATCGTTTGTGTTGCAGAAAATTCACGAGATCAACAGTCAGATAGCGCAATTCCGGGACCAGCTGCTGACCATCGGTCAGTCGCGGGACTGCCCGGAATTGCGCGAGAAGATCCGCAAGACGCGGCGCGACTGCGTCAACGCCTGCAAAAAAGCCTCCGAAATGGTCCTGCCGCAAATGAGGAGGTAAACTTTTTTTCGCATATGCATAACGACGTTAAAAGTACATAACGCATTGCTGCACTTTTTCTCTCTTTCTCTCTCGCCTTTGTCAGCTGGAATTTTTTGTAAATTTTCATGCGAGCTGCGCGCGTCATATGCGTAATATATAGACACAGACATGATGTACGTGTACAAACGTGCTGAGGGCAAATGGCTGCAGATTTTCGTGAATTTATGCATGCATGCACCCGAGAGGAAGGGAGAGAGAGAGAGAGAGAAAGAGAGGGAGCTTTTCTGTCCCCGATGGAAATGTAAACGATAAGCGCGGCTGGCTCCGCGTGCAAAATTCCTCAGGATTGTTCGGTGTGCTTCGAGCTTCTTTTTCTCTCTCATCCAATCTCTCGTCTCGCTGGGAAAAATAACTTTGGCCTGGAATTTTCCGCTATATTATATGCGCGCGCGAGCTCAAGATCTTTAAAATCTTCCGGCTCTATAATAATGTATAAACTGCGCGGCGCATTCCCAACTGAATATTTACACGCCATGCACTCGGTCTTGTTCGGGGAGGACGCCACATTCAATTTACTCGATTTATATTTATATGCACGAAAAAGTAATTTCTTACAAAAAACGTTTAGCTGTATTATATATCGCGTGAAAAATTCCGCGTGACAGCCGCTCCTTCTCCAAGTATTATTATAATAATCGCGTCACGAGTTTTTTTTGCTTGCGGCTATGTACATGGGCTTATTCATCCAATTATTGCCTTGTCGAGAGTTGCGGAAAGAGAGAGACTAGATGACTTTTCAACTGATCGCGCGACAGAGGCATTTAATAGTTGAAAAGCTTTTTACGCCCCTATCGTATAATGCACGTGCATATATATAAAAGCTGAACAAAAACAAAGCTCGTAAAGCTGCCGGGGCTTTATGAACGATAATAGATGTAAAAAGATAAAGAGAAAAATCACAATGACGATAAAACGCAAACACTTTGAATCAATTGGCTGTGTCATTTTTGAGCGAAAGAGAAAAATGAAAATTTTTGAACAATTTTCGTATGCGTATACTTAGGAAATAATAGTCGATGCGTCTTCTTTGGGTGGACCATAAGTTGATTTAACCGGACTTTAGCCAATTTGGCCCGCAAAGCCACGTTCAATTTAAGGGATGATACATTATACTTTGCGGGAAAATGCAGAAAAGAACAGTAGCCGCAGGGTCGAGCGCGCGAACGAGAGAGAAAAAGAGAGAGTGAAAGAGAGAGAGAGAGAGAGAAAGAGTAGAGATATATAGCTCCGGCTAGAGCAGAAATTTATTCGCGCATTTCGATTCCCCGTGGAATAAATTGATTTATATGCATTTCGCGCGCGATAGCTGCGTGTGTATATACGGCAGGAGAGTGAGCAGGAGAGAAAAAAGCAGCTTGCGACTCGCAGCTTTCTCTCTCTCTCTCTCTCTCTCTCTCTGATTCAATATACGGCTCGGCGGCGCAATCCGATCATCCAAAGCGTATAACGCGACAAGCGGGATCGCTCCGACGCTATCTCATATATATATACGCAGAGCCACAAGTAGACATACGTGTGATGGAGAAGCGTAAAAATAGCGCGTACCTATAACTCTGCATGTTTGTTTGTTTGTCTGTTTGTTGGTTTCGTGGGACTTGCTGTAGCGCCATGGAGTCGGGCATACCAGCGGACAGCCCGAACCTCGTGCTGCTCTTCTTCCTCGCTCAACTATTTTTGCGGGAGCTGCACAAGAGCAAGAACCTCGTGCGCGTCGTGCCCATGGACATGACGGGTTACTTTGGTGAGTATATAATACGTATCTCAAGCCTCCCTAATCCTCCTCTCTGTTTCCGGAAATCTTACGTATAGCTCGAGTGTCGAGAGCCGAGGGGATCAAAATCCTCTCACGATTCTCTGCACTGTCGTCTCGTTTTGAGTGAGTTTAGTCAGGGGGCAAAGTTCTCAACCACACAGCGTGTAGCTGTCGTGAAAAAAAAATCCATAAAAATTCTTCCCGACGATCGACATTTCATTATTTATATAATATATATCAAGACTCGAAGGGTTAACCACCATCCCAACAGCAGACTCTTTGACGGTAAAACGAAAAGAGCCAGCCTTGTGGTATTTACCGGAAGTATCAAATTTATTAATTGTTTTTTCCGCTGCGTTATTGACAATCGATATAGGTCAAATCTTATCCCATATTAAACGTATTCGTCACGTTTCTTTGAAGCATGCACAGGACGAAAGTTGCCCCGAAAAAATGTTCTCTCTCTCTCTCCCTCTCTCTTTAAACGACACCAAATTGGATAGCGTTGCTCGAATGTAAGCCGATTAACTTCATCATTATTCCTCCGGCGAATAGCTTCTCAATGTAGAAGTTCGCCGATTTATCGATATAATATTAAACTGCTCTCTCTCGTCTAGTTATCATTTGCAAGAAACATATTGCAAGCACGAATTCACGAATTGAAATTTTCAAGCTCCTGAATATATACTCGATATAAAAAGTAAGTGAACTCGACATCCTGAACTCTTCATGCTCTTCCACTGGCTGTGTGTATATCTGCGCCTTTTTTTCCTTTACTTTTTTTTTTATCGCTACAGAAACTGACGTGCGCGCTTTGATTCAACGTAATAGACTTGATGCTTTATAAATATGTATCTTTTGTGTGTAGCTCTGACGGGGTCAGCCTAGGGCTCGAGTAGTCAACAGTTGAGATCTCTAAAGAGAACCGTTCGAGAGAGGAGCGTTGCGAGTCATTTCTTTCGTGTCACTAGCTTTTCAGCGACTCCCTAAGCCATTGACATTTTCACCATTATCTATCGTTTCTCGAACTGCACCTTCCTTTTTTATTTGCTGAGAGTATAGCGTGGCGTTTCTATATGAAAAAAAAAACAAGTGGTGTCCCGTTTATAAAATCGAAAACAATCAGTTTGCAAGTTAGCTTTTTGCACGGCTCGCCTCCCTCTCTGCTCGACTTCGCCACGGATATTAAACGCACGGAGCTCGCTCGTTGTATGTACGCGCCTTTCCGTTCGCACATAGCGAAAAAAATCAGAAAACACACACGGAAACGGATGTCAGCGTGATTAAAAAGTTTTTCGCGTGCACGTGAATCGCGATGGCGATGTGGCTCGGCGCGCAGCTGTTTTGGAATTTAAATGGAATAAATATGTCGGGAGCCCGCCGTTCACTCGGCGAAAAAGTATAAGTAATTTTTTTCTCTCTCGTTATCTAGGCGACGAGAAAAACACACGACTTGGTCGTTAAATACTCGGGGCGTTTGACAGCCGCAAAAAAGCCCTCCGTTCGCTCGCTCAAAAGTCTCCAAGAGTAAGGGCAAAAATCAATTTTCGAGGATGATGTGCCTCTCTCTCTCTCTCTCTCTCTCACTTTTTCTCTGTATTGGTACGAAACAAAAAAAAGAGGTCAAATAGCGTCATCGCGATAAGCGTGCAGTGTGTGTGTGTGTGTGTGTGTGTGTCGTAGAAAGAGAAAGAGGGTGTTGTGTAGTCGTTGAACTTTTCAATAAGTCGATCGATTGTATATAGGGAAAAAGTGCATATACGCATGTATTCAGGTGGCGAACTTGCGGCTCAACGGCACGGGCGTAAATTACTTATGCCAACAAGGTGTGTGCGTGTGTGTATGTGCGCGCACCACCTCGTAGCTTTCAAATTGCTCATAATCGCCATAAGAGAAAGAAGAAAAAGGGGGGCAGCTAATTCATGCGAGCAGCAGCAGCAGCAGCAAGACTAGCTACGATGCTATTATTACCCTCGTATCGAAGGTCCTTTACACGATACGTTACACAGCTCGTAATTATATCGGTTAGTTTGATCGATAAAAATTCAGAGGCTCATCGCTCATGCCGAACGCATCATTAATTACCGTTGCTGCTGCGAGCGCGCCTCCCCCTGTCTGGCACGCAGTCGCTGCGCATCGCATCGGTTTCGCTCCCGATATATATTATTCCATTAAAATACGTGCTCTCGGACTCGAGATTAATCTCGGGGCGAAAGTTGACGTGGCCTCGGTACATTGTGCACATACACGTTTACCTCATTAGCGATATGAAAATTGTCAATTGTTTCGAATGGCTCTCGGATCGGAGAGATAGAGGGGAAACGGAGAGGAGATTTAAATTTTTTGGCACTGATATCTCTCACTGCACGGGGCTTTATTCTGGCTTCGACAAAAGAGTCATTATCGTTATTATGATACGCGTCGACATGTATACGGGTATTGTATGTTAACAGAGAGCAAGTCGGGCCCGTCGAACATCAGCAACGTGATCACGCAGATACTGCTGTGTCGGCAAATCACGCCGGACTTCAACGAGGAGGAAATCAACAGCATACAGAAGGACTCGGAGGACATAAGCGACCTCGTTGCCGAGCTCCAGGAGTTCATGCCGCAATCCGAGGCCGACACAGGTACGCAGGCACACGCCCAAGTACACGCATACACCTTGTGTGTGTGTGTGTACACGCCTGAAATATTTATCCGAATCACTGCAACTGCTCCAGCTTTCTTGCTACCTTCCATTGCCTTAATAAGCTCGATGCAGCTAGGCTGCAGTTTGAATAATGTACAACAGCTCGCAGCAACTCGAGACGGAGGAATTTTTTTTTTTCGCTGTTTAACTTTTAACGCGAGCGCGTGGCAAGTTCCCCGTACGCGAGTAAAATTTGAATAATAAACGCGTCTGTTATATCGCGCGAGAATGGGAGCTTTTAGTCCGTTATGGCAAACGCGCGCAACGCAACGTAAAGCCACGCAACTTTGCTCCGTCTCTTTGACAGGCTTGTTTGGCCGAGCTTCGTTTACGTACGCACACATACATATAATTGTTGATTTCGAAATGCTTCGTTAAACACGATCGAGGATATAACTCGACGAGGTGAACGCATGACTAGTCCTCCGTCGGTGGCGCGCTAATTGCTACGATACACGGTAGTCGAGCCAAAAAAGCCTCGTCCTCGTGGGCAACAACGCAAGCACACAACGAGCCAGCATGTTTATGCAATTATCGCATTTTTTTCTTCTACGAAGCTCGATACTCGATATGCCGAAAAATAAACTCACGTGTAGCTACACGGCAGCTCTGACTTTCGCGCCCGAGCTTGCGGGGCTCTTAACCTACTTACAATGCATAGTACCACGCGTTAATTATTTATAATGAACAAGTGAGAGGGTAGGAGTGCGGCAGCGAGCTTCGATTACCGCGCGCGAATAATATGGAACGCACAACTACTCGGAGACTCGATAAAATCCCACGATTTGCTCGGGCGCCAGCGTGAAAAATGGCGAAGAATCGCGCGGAGCTTTTGAAAATCAGAAAAGTTTCGAGTAACGTTCGTTACGCGCGGCAAAAAAATATGGGAATCAAGCGCGCCATAAATTCGTCCGAAGTGTTACGGCTTGATAAGAGCTGGCGCGCAGTCACTGCTCCGCGCGAGCGTGAAAAAGAAACGAGAAGAAAAAAGAATAACGCCGCAGCACAGAATTGAAAGAATTCGAGTCGGAAAAACAATGAAGGGATTGCATGAATTTTGAAAGGGGGACGAAAAGAAGATTGAACGCGCGAGATACGGCATTGAATAGATAACGAGCCTAAGGAAACGGGTGTGGGTGCGCGTGTGTTTGTCTGTCAGTCTGACTAGACGCGGATCTCGACTACTTTGGCATATAAGCGCGCGCGAAAGCTCGAAAGCGATCGATATTCCGATGTTGGCGAGGGCAGATTGGAGCGCGAAGAGCAACCGATAAGCGCGTATACACACAAACAAGTACACGTTATACATCGCACATATCCAAGAGAGGCGTCAAAAAGAAAAACAAAACGCAAAAAACGAGAAATGCAAAACACTGCTGTGCTGGTTGCACGAGCCATTAATGCAAGCACTGCTACTCGATTTCGCTTGGCGCAATTAAACTCAACCCCCAACGCATTTGCATGCTCCTCATGAATATTCTTGCATTTCGGACGATGATTCTTGTACAGTATATATGATAGACGACTCGTTTGTGCCTCGGGTGGCTGCTCATTGCAGAGAGACCAGTGGCCCTGCAGGAGGCGGCGAATCGGCTGAATCGCAGCAACGGCGCCCGCAAGAATCTCCGCTGGGAGGGCCGAAGCAACAGGCAGCCGTCCTACCTGCGGGGTACCTTCAAGTTCTTCTGCTGCGCGGGAAGGCCCAATTACCTTTGATCCTTGAGTCGCAGTGGTCGTCGTCGTGGCCCGGCGCGTCGACGTCGTCGCCATCATCATCATCATCATCATCATCGTCGTCGTCGTCATCGGTATCAGCGGAGAAGGATCTGCGCCCACACTCGATCAAAAGGCAGCAGCGTCGACTGCTCTACGGTACATGTAGCGTCGATTTGGCTCCATCGTGCTGCAACTTTTTCGCGACTGCTCTCGATTGCCCAATCATATTCGCACGATGATCAATTGCATCCAAGTCAATAATTGGACTCGCTGCGACGAGTAATAATAATGTATGCGCGTACGTGTCGCGGAGCCAATAGCCGGGCTTCAGCCGTTGGCAGTTGGCACAGCGACGTTTATATCGAGCTTACGGTCGCACTCGATTGGCCCAACGTCACGATTCTCTCGCGTTCGCGAAAATAACCATATGTAAACAAAGCTCGTGAACGCGTAGCTATATAAAATAATCTCGATTCTTTCAACTGCCGCGAAGAAGACGAGGAGCGACGTGTGCACGACATTGAGCGCACGAGCCAGAGGTAAGCGAAATAGCGACCATAGCGATCGATGAACGGCTATGTCATATTATATGCGCGCGTGCGAAAGCGATTATTAAAATGTCTATACATTGCATATGTACGATAATTGTATGTGTGTGTGCGAGTATGTGCTGGTTGCGTAACGCCACGTGTAACTAACTGATAATTAACTGGAACTAATAGGACAGGCGCTCCGGCACGACACGCGGACACGTGCCCTGCGTGTATAATTGACGCCCGAGCCTGCACACGCGACAAACGCACGAGCATAGGCGTCGAGGCGCGCGCGAAACCTGTGCGGAATGTACATCGATGCCTACACAATACTCAGCTGGTCCGTCTCACTATCTGTCTGTGTCTGTCCGTGCGAGTGTGACTGTATGTATGTATGTGTGTGTGTGTGTGTGTGTGTGTGTGTGTGTGTGTGTGTGTGTGTGTGTGTGTGTATGGGCATAACGTCAGGTACGTAACGATAATAATAATAGTAAATTTCGAAACGCAAAGGGCTTTCCGAGTGTCGAGTTTGCGGCTGTATCTCGGTATGCAAAACTTTTCAACTCGAGGCTGCCTCTCCCTCGCTCTCTCTCACACATTCACTCCCTGTGTATATATCGCTATACATACGAGGATGCCAAGCCACGCAAACCACGCGCATATGTATAGCCGTGTGCACATATGTGAGTAAAGCTCAGAGCTACTTTGACCACTCGACGGAACAAGCCCGATGCGCGCTCTGAGTGAGTTGTTGTTTTCCACCCGCAACCAGCTCGCTCCACGACACCTTCGTAAAAGAGAGCGAGAGGGTGAGATAGTGTTATGCAGCCGCAATTCTCACAAGCTACTGTTATATATTAAGGTGTACGCGTTCGATCGGTCAAGCGAGCGAATCTCTATACTCCGAGCATGAATCTGTGCTGATCATTCAAGGATAATGACACATTATTAATAAATTCACATGGGAAAATGGGTCCAAGCGACTTGGCTCTGGTGCTGCGAATCTGTTCATATCAATTTATTACGCATATTATATGTATAACGAAGAATCGCCGTTCAATGATAGCAATAAGCCAAACGTAACATCATTAGCCAAGTGAAACCTTAAGTCATATTATGACGATATAGCACATAACGTATAGAACTCGGTACATCTTTTTTCCTCGGTTTCTATACGCGTAGATTAGTCTGTGTAGCTTGGCTGTCAATTTTAAAGTCAATAGTCGACGAGAGAGAGAAGTGCGCCCCTGCGAAGATTACGAGCTTTCCTCACAAATCCCGCGCACGAAGTACACTTTTCCGTATTGGTAATTTCGTAGAGCTCTACAACGTTCCAGTTTTTTCACTCTTTTTCCTTCTCTCTCTTCCCCTCTTTCTCTCGGCGCTGCGTCACATATTATCGAGGAAAAATATAGAGGCTGTGAAGTGACACGAATTCGAGTCCCCCTCGGGTGCTTAACAAAAAAAAAAAAAAAAAAAAAAAAAGAAAAAACCGCTTCGTGTTAATCATTCGACGTGTACGCTACTGAGAAAATTTGATTCTCTCTCTCGCGCGCGCGCGTATAATTTCCTCCAATTTTTGGTGCAACAAAAAGCGGTAGTCCAAAAAAAAAAACAAAAATGAATTGTTAGCTTGCAAAAAGTCATTGCACAGCCCAGCCAAAACCGTCAGATCAAGCGTAACGCGAGCCGAGTTTTAATATAGACGTCATCGTCATCTCGATACAGCTATCCATTGTTCTCTATTGCAGTTGGAGAAAAAAGAGAGGAGAAAGAAGAAGTAGAATGCAGGGCCAAAATAATATTTCTATATAAGACAGCTCGCGAGACGTCGGAAGAAAGGAATACGACCAAGTATACAAGTAGTGCAGTTAAGAAAGCTCCTCGCTCGCTTAGCTCTATATCGCATATATATATGAATTGCATTTTCCATTGTTGCACTTACGTTTCGCGAGCGCGCGTGTGTGTGCACGCCTCTCCGTGCTATACATATTTACGTGTTTTCTGCTTTTTTTTGTTCCATTAAGAACGAGCTGTTTTCTAGATATATACGTACACGGGCGTCTACTTTTTTTTAATATTTAATCTTGATTTTTTCACTGGAAAGCGATCTAAAACACGTGATACGCGCCTACAACGACGACCATTGCGTAAAGCGAAAAATATTATGCTCACAGTTCAGAGTTCTCTTCTGTCCCTTTTTATATATTATAATTATTTGTTGTTTTTTCTTACCATGCACCGTAAGTTCATTATCGAAACTTTAAATTGAATCGGATAAAATTTTGCAACTCAATTTTGCTCGAGACACAGTCGGGCGCGGGTGTAGCCTGCATTGCGGCGCGCTTATATTGTATAATAATATCGAGAATTAGCCGCATGGCAGTGGTTATATATATAACGTGATTATGCACGAAATAACTGCGTCTGACGGCTACAGTTGAAAAATACGTTATATACGATTATACCAGCACACACTTAATTCACTAGAGCCATTATGTTGGTACGATTCAACGACAAAGTGTAGATAGTCTGTGTAGATAGAGCCTTATCGCACTATTTTCTTAAAAACAGGGATTATGTAAAAAATGACGAAGAGAAAAGGACGATTATAAAAAAAAGAAGATGTTGACTTCAAATTCAAAACGGCTCTCTCTCTTTCTGTGATACGACAAAACAAAACCGAATATTAATCAAACATTGACCATACGGGATATTATCAAATAATATTTTGTTCTCGAGTAACTGTAATTGTGCTGTGCTTTACGAGTAATTCATTTTAGTTGGTAAGAGACAATCAGTTATATGTGAGGACTTTTGCGTATGTATATTTGTTCACTCTTCGGTCACATTAATAACTGACGCACATTGAGCTCGAGGAAAATACATCAAAGCTAGAAAGGTAATTTTAATAATTGATATAATATATACCTACATAAACGAGTGTGTTCGTAGCCTGAGTGAGTGAGAAAATGTGTCGCGCGGGTCGCGAGGGGCACGTCAGTCACCCCCGTTCATATTACTACTATTACTACGGCTACTATACCACTACTATATCCAATACGAAATATGAATTTTTCAGACGTATACTGTCGAAGCGTCTCGTCGATCTACGCAGGTAAAATAATATATCCTTTAAATAATATATTATATGTGTATGCGCATGTATGTCGTTCAAATAATAAACATTATATTTTTAACTCGTATATTTCGAAGCAGCACCTTAAACCAAAAAAAAAAGTACTCACTCGCATGGGGCAACACGAGGTGTAATCCAAAAAGTCAATACTTTATAAAAAATAGTGATCGTAGTACTGTCAAATATAAATTATGTGTGCCTAGTGAAGAAAAAATAAAATATGAATTATCAAAAAGCGATCTTACATGTAAAAAAAACTCTCAGTGGCGAAACGAAGCATGAACAGCATTACACGCAAGAGGAAATTACGCGGAGCTCGATCGTGCACTCGCAGCGCGAACAAGCACAGTATAACAATGCCAAATTATCGATATTCTGATATAAAAACTTTACCAAGTATTAATGGACGTGGACCAAATCTATTATCCGGTGCACTAAATAATTAAACAATTACGATATTGTATTTAAAAGCTCTAAAGCTGTAATTATATTACATTATACATATGAAGCGTAGACATGCCGTTTCTTAAAAACGACAATTTCTTACACAATATTTATATTACGTACGTAGACACGTTCACGGAAGGGAAAAATTTCACGTTACATTAAACATGCACGCGCATGTATATTGCGTACTATAAAAGAAGAAAATAAAAACTTTTCAAGTTCGTACGGCAATTCGTTCTATGTGTGCACGCGAGTTGCGACATGTGTGACTTTTTGACTTTTCGTTGTGTGCGTGCGTCAGTATGAGAATGTGTGTGTGTGTGTGTGTGTGTGTGCGGGTGTAACGAGCAAATCGAGTTTGGCGAAAATTACATTTCACCGAGTAACGTGCAAAGAGTCACGCAGGGCGAAGAAGAGTCTTTTGTATAGTCCTATTTTCGAGTGGATTAAATGAATCTATGTCTCTCTCGGTGAGCGAGACGAATCAAAAGAGGAGAGCTTGATTTTTTCAAACGCGCTTAGTTTAACTATATCTGTCTTTCTACTTTTCTCTCTCTGGCTCTCTTTCTCTATCTATCTATCTTTCTCTTTGTACGAAACTTTTTTTTCGTAAGTTTCAATCAAGTATCACACTCGAAAAATTATGAATTATGTATACAATGAATAGGAAATGAGTATCGTGCACAGATACGATCATAATCGAGCAATCAAATAAAAGTGACCTCATCTGTGCTAATTGATCGATAAACATATTATACATGTATACATGCATACATATATTATATATAATATACATATATATTATACGTGACATATTTCGAATTATAAATATTGTAAATAATATAAGTTTTATGGAATAATTATACAGATGACGAAATATATTATAATGATTGAAAAATCAACTTTTTTGCGAGTCTATTATTCTTCATCCATGCTTATATTAGCCCAACATCCCTCGCACGTAGATAAATATATAACAATAGTATTTGCCTCGTGGATCGCAGCATGTGCATATAAATCTAGCCGCTCGCTAGCTGATCCCGAAGCGTGAAACGTAATCCTGGAGGGCTTTATAGCTGGCTCGCGTAAAAATTCATTCATTTTTCTTCCGACTAATCAGCGCCTCGAGCGAATTTTTCATCCTCTGCGCCCCCGACCGTCGCTACTGCTGCAGCTCCGCGCTCACAAACAATAGCGCCTATCAAACGTTACTTTTCCCGAGCTCGTAAGTATAGTTGCGGAAATGAGGCTTTAGCGGGAAGAAAAAAAGTGACCCAGTATTTATAAGAACTCACGACGCTGAAGTGGCGCGAGGCAGACCCGACACATGCACAATTGCATAAGCGCGCCAAAGTATAATGCGCACCGCATGTTGCGAATCGATTTTTGAGAAATGCAAATTACAAGCAATTAAGCCACGCACAGGTGTGCTACGTGGCCTGGTGCACGTGGACTACGTCGCGATTAAAGCTCGTGCCACTGCTAATCGCTTTCTTTCGTTCTCTCGGACAATTAAGTTGACCTTAACTGTAGCAGCAGCAACATCGAGATTCGTGCACCGATGCCCGGGACACACGTGAATTTTCTCAAAGTACCGCGCTACCTAAGAGACGTTTGTCACGCGAATTCGGCTTTTCCGTTCGATCGTGGCGTAGGACGTCGTTAACGGCAGGTTTGAGGCGTGCAGCCAACGAGAAATCTACTTCTACTCGTTTGTGTACTGTAAGTAACAGCTCTACGCTGCATCTTAATTGAAAGCACTAAAGAGCTCGAGCGTACACGAGCTAGTCCTGCGCTTCTTGCAGAGCTAGTTGTAGTACACACGCGCGCGCACGACTACTTCGGCTAAGTGCTTTTTTCCTGACTCGTGTGCATAGCAGAAAGAACGTAATGCTTAACGAAAAAAAAAGAAAAAATAAATAAAACGGAAAAAACTTTTCCGAGCTTTTCTACTTCCGCAATTTAACATTTGTACATGTGCAAGACCCGCAAGATTTGGCGTTTTTCGTGGGAGCTTGCACAGTTTTTCTCCCCGCATCGCGTAGTACGCGCACGGAAGCTGTCAGCAGTACAAATTGCCTCTTGAGTTTCGGTACTTTTAAAATTACCAATATCAATATTAATGAATATCTGCAGTGCACGAACCTATCGACCAAGTTCGCGTTTATCCGTAGTCAGTACGTATTCAAGTCTTATTCACAAGCTGCACTACCTCGAGAGCTTGCGATGCATTCGAGACAGAAGCCCGCCTGGCGATTGATAACCCAGTGCCCTGCGCGCTCTTGTTTACTGCTGCAGAATAGTTTGTGTAGATACCGACTCGCTGTGTTTATCGACGCAGATAAACACCCGCCGACTGACAGGACATCCTTTTTCTTATGTTTTACAGCGATTAATTTTATAACTGCCGTAAGATCACGTTTGGTTCGTAGTGCGACGTATTGACTTTCTTCCTAAAGCCCTTGGAATCCATAAGCACAGAAATGGGTAAGTCTTGCCAAAACTACCGGGCATCCACCATAACCTCTTCGAAGCCGGCTTCTATATTGCGTATTTTCGCAAATCGAATCATTTTTGACATTTCATCATTTTTTCTGCAGCGGTTGACACTAAAGTTTCACTCGTCTTATCAAGCATCGTGACATTGTTGCTCTTCTCTGGAATGCAAATATATAAACCTTGGCTCATATCTACAAAACTGCATGTTGTTATAGCAGGATATATTGGGTCAATGGTGTTTTTGTTTTCACTCACTGCTTTAGGAAATTTAGAAACGATCCTGTTTGGAAGATCATTCCAAGTAAAATTTATCCCTGAAGGTAAGCCAAAAAGAATTTTTCTGGTTTAGTAATTTTCATCAATTTTCATATAATAATTTATATATTTTTCAGTTTTCACTGCACTGGTTTTTGCTTTAATATCAGCTGGGCTAGTGCATCGTGTTGCAACTACAGTCTGTTTCTTTTTCTCAATGATGACTCTATATTTTCTCAATAGAATTTCTCAAGAAACATATTCATCGACTGCACATCCACCAACTGCTAATATTCAAATGAAGAAAAAGAAATAAACCTGTGATTTAAGTATAATTGATAAATGTAATAAGGAGAATAAATTTTTTACCATAATTTTTTTTAAATCATATTTTCATATATTAATGTAGTAACATTCAATGTGCTTAACCATTTTCCAAAAATTTATCACCTATCATTTGTAAAATATAAAACTGTCTTAGAACTTTATGTGGAAGTATCATAACAAGGTCTTACGTTGGTTTAGGCATACTTTTGCTTTTATTCTTTTTTTTGTAATCTTCAGCTTCGTCTTTGTCACTGAAGTATTCATAACTATCATCTGAAGCTTCTGCATTTTGTGACCGATTCGAGTCCCAAGATTCTACTTCCTGGCTAGTACTGTCTTGTAATTGTTGTGCTCCAACTTGAGGTGAAACATGCTTGTAAATGGACATTGCCTAAAAGTTGCAAAATCTCCAATATAATTACTGGTTATAATTAATAAATAAAAAAATTAATAATAAATATTACTTGTGCTACAAAGCTACTGATATCCCCAACATTTTTAGGAATAATAATAGTATTATTTGTTTTTGCCAGTTTATCAAATGCATGGATGTATTGCTCTGCAACAGCCAAAGAAGCTGCATTTTTTCCTTCTGAAACTCCCAAAGCTGATGCAACCATTTGTAATCCTTTTGATCGAGCTGATGCTACTGCCAACATAGCTTCTGCTTCACCATTAGCCTTATTAATCTGTTCTTGCTTTTCAGCCTCTAATAATAAAGAGTACAATTGTTATAATAAATTTTGAAGTATTTTTTAAATTAAATTTCAGATAAATTAAAAAATTGAAGTACCTGATCCTAGAATTCTAGCTATTCTTTTACCCTCTGCTATGTTAATGTCAGCTTCTCTTATACCTTCGGATTCAAGAATGGCAGCACGCTTCTTTCTTTCAGCTTCTACTTGCATTTGCATAGCTTCGTGAACTCTTTCAGGTAATCTAATATCACCTGAAATTTATTTTTTGTTTTCTAAGTTTAAAAGGAAACTATGAACAGAAATATAGTGAAACAGTTAGCTTACGAATTTCATAACGAAGACAAGATATACCCCAAGCTTCACTAGCCTTGTTAATACTTTCTACAATACTAACGTTAAGACCTACTCTCTCTTGGAATACTTTATCTAAAGATATTTTTCCTAGTTCTGATCTCATAGTGGTTTGGGCTAACTGAATAATGGCAAATTCAGGATCTTCCACTCCATAAGATGCAAGGTATGGATTATTAATCTTCAAGTACAGTACTCCATCAATATTTAATGTTACATTATCTAGAAATCAATTGGTATGCATTCGATAATTAAATTATGTCTTCATTTACATGGTAAACATATCTGTACATCATAATAAATTGAAGTATGCATAAATATATTACCTGCTGTTATGGCACTTTGTTTGGGAACATCAATTGCTATTTCTTTGAGACTCTGAACATATTTAACTGAATCAATAATAGGAATAAGTACATTTAGTCCAGGATCTAATATTCTGTGAAACTTTCCCATTCTTTCTACAACCCACGCCTACAATGAAAATATATTGTAATTTTTGGAAAACTAAAAATTATTTTCACCGTTATAAGCACAAAATTACCTCTTGCTGTGGTACAAACATCAAAACTGTGTTCATTGGCGTGGTGCCCTTTTCCCTGACTTGCACTGCAGAAAATCCATTATTTCCTAATTCTGAATTTGCAGCGAGGCAATGCTACAAAACAATAAACATTATAGATAATTTTACCTAAAAAATGGCATATACCGGCAAGTTTGAAAAATCGCTTACTCTCAAAACGCCGACGTTGCGCAATAATCTCGTTTTACTCAGCATCGTGTCTGTTTTTGGATTTCGAATTCAGACAATGATATATTAAGAGATTCTCTTCAAAACTAAATTTTTTTTCTCAAAACGTCAACCGTAAGGACTCAATCAATGTGAATATCGTCATACGCGCGAAGGAGGAATATTTTGCACGTGTGCATCTATTACAATACACTGAAGACTACCACGTTCATATATAGATCGCTGCGGCTCTTCAGGTTTCATTACAACTGATTCTGCAATAACGCGTCAAATCAGTATAGCAGTCACATAACAAAAAGAAACTAAGGATGGTTATTATAATTGGTCCAAATGATAATTTTATAAGTCAAAGTATATGCTATGTGATTTTTTTGAACCCATTTAATGCAATATTTTTATAAATTTCAAGTAAATTTTCAAAAAGTCAAGTTTTCAATTCAAGTTCGAAATCGATTTTTTTTATAGGAAATGTAAAATTTGAATCGACGCGATGATTCGCTCTAAAAAAAAGAAAATCAATAAACGATTGGACAATTATGTCACAAAAAAATGATAAGCAAATAAGGGAAAATTTTCCTATTGGTACTAAACTGCATATGTATATTTATATTTAATGAAGGTTGTTTCCTTGGAAATTAATAAGTACTAATAAGTTATAATTAACAGTAAGCAAGAATGTGAAAAAAGCTGTCTTGCATTGTTAACTAAATTCGGATAGACATCTTTTGTTCGTGCGATGTAATAATTGACAACTTATATTATAAAAAAATTTGAGTTATTGTAATTTAAAAAATGTTAAGAAAAATAAAAATTTCGAATAATAACTTTAAACATAAATTTAAAATTCCAACTGTAATCGTACAGTTTTATATTGAATAAGTATAAGATACTTAGGTAAATGTGTTTCACTACTTTAAATTTAAGCTTAAATGTGAAGTAAATTTTAGGAACGTTTCTAAGAATATTTTGGGTAAGGAGAGATAATTATAATGTTGAAAACAAAAAACGCATTTGAAAGTTATTCATAACTTTTTTGTAGGATATAGTTACATTGAAACTATCATGAAACTTCGCTTGAATAAAAACTCCACAGTCGTATTAAATAATTCTTTTTTCGAAATAAAGCAAAGTTGTGCCCTGTATAAACACGTATCGAAGCATTACTACAAAAAACTAAAAAAAATCCAAGGTCAATAAAAAAATGAATAAATGTCAAGTATGAGATCCGACTCGCCAACAAAATAATCACGATGTTCTGTAGCGATTTTTTTACTCTTCAAACATCTCTGCAGCACAACGACGATATTTACAAGGATACACATGGTGGCTTGAGAACTAAGAATTAAATGTGTCGGTTCCATCCGTGTCACACATTGAACGATTCGTGTTTAGCGTAAATTGATCGTTAAACAACATTTTTTAATGAACATAATATTAATAATAATGATAATAATAATGATAGTAATAAGAATGATAGTAGTAATAATGATAATATAAATAATAATAGTAATAATGATAATGATAATTATAAATCAACATCCAGAACCAATCACAGCTTATTACGTTTATGTACGTATAAATATTAAGAAATAAGAGGAGAGGGGTGCACATTTTTGAAAACGAACGACAAAAGTACTTAACGTCCTTGACATTAATGATAAAAAATAAAACATGATGCACATTCAATTTTTATACATGTTTTGTGTTGAGTTATCTACTGCGTGGTCTTGGATGGAACTTCAACAGTCTCGTACGTCATCGAAATATAAACCGCTCTCCACTTTATAACATTTTTAGGCAATAATTAGTCTAAAGTTGTATGCATCAAGTAAACTAAACAAATTACGTTTTCCTTTTTTTATGTACATAAATTAAGTAAATATTTTAATGATAATGATATTGACAATTATAGTAATTACATTTTGATACATTGTTCCAGTTATCATTGAAATAAATTGCTTAAAGTTTCATGCCCCGACATCGAATAATTTATTAATTTTAGCTCAAATTAAGTATGTACAAAATAAGTGTAACGGCGAATTTTCACGATTCTTATCGGTACAATTCACAAGAGATTAATTTTTGTACATGATTTCATTTTTCGCTTAATTTTTTCTATAATCATGTCAAATGCATCACGTAGGTATATAATCTGATTAATGTTTGGAGAAACCGTAGTTGTTTTAATGTGGACTTGGTTTAGAAAGAGATATCTATAAAAGGCAATTTATTACAATAGGTACTTTGGCCCTAAAAAGATGTTTCTCCATTATGTGTAGGTGTTTTTAATACGCTCGTGACATGTTGAACGATTATTATTTTTTATACAAATAACACTTATTTTTAGAGTGTATATAACCAGTCATACATACTCTTAAAATTTTTAATGCAAAATTTTTTTTCATAATGATTGAGGTATTTTTATATATCAAGGCAGTACAATAATTGTTTTAGTAAAATGATGTTCTCTTTTTTTTTAAAAAAGCCATCTACACAATTGTACAAAATGATATTAGACTTTCTTTTTTCTTTTGAGTCAAAAGCGTTAACAAAGCGTGATGCTTATTACAGTATCGATTTAATAAAATGATCAAAAAGTTTCTGGACGAGAAACTATTATTTAAATATTTTTATTTTTCATTCGTTCAATTGATTTTTTAAAAGGCAAAATTTGTTTGCATCAAATGTTTTATTCTTATCTACATTTATAATATTTATAATAATACGCAAATATTAACAGTAAATTGTAGTCAATGGTATTCAAGTGTTCTTTGAAGACGGCAAAAGAATCATTTAAATTGAGTCCATATATGGTGTTATCACATTTTAAAACGCAATATTAAATATTTTCAATATTTTTGCAGTATTTCAAACACTTTTTCCCTCCTTGTTTGCTTTTGTATACTTGCAAATTGAAATTATGCATTTTTGCTTCGAAAAAGTTTAGAAAGGCAAAAATTCTACTTTGAACAAAAATTAGACTACCTAGCACTTGATGCAGTTACACGTGTTAATTTTTGTTTTGCACATTTCACTCGTTACTTGTATTAATTTGCCTTTTTATAAACTTAAATACAAGTCAAATCAACAAATTTTAAATACGTGAAATCGAAAAATTAGTTTTCGCCTTCATTTTCATTGAAACTTTTTATTCAATTCCTTAAACAAAATTATTCGCACACACCATTCTAGCAAACTTGCAATCAATTCTCTCGCTCTAGCTTTCTCTTATTCGTTTATATCTCATTTTTTTTCTTTTTCACATTCGACCTTTGAACAAGCGTCATTCACTCGACAAAAAATTTATAATAAATCAAAACGATTTAACCGCACATTTTCCTAACTTTCGTATGTATATTATATTTGTAATGGATACTTTCTATTTATTTCGAGAAGCGCAGGATATAAATTTCTTTTCGGAGTTATGTACGATAATGGCACGCTTTTTCGGCGCACAGACAGAACAATAACTCTTCCGTTCACGATTTAATTAAAATTCATGCCTAGTCTCTATATCGATGATTGAACAATGATATTAAATAATAGGGCCATGTGCTCTGCTGCAGTGTCTATCAGCGATGACAGTCGATAACGAACACAGAGATGATCTTTGTACAAACAAAGGAATTCAAATTTTCATCTCACATATATTGGTATACATTACAAAGGAGGTTGTCATACACTCAATTTTAATAGTAATTAATTATTGTTACGTTAAAATAATATAAGAATGCCGTAATAGTAAATAATAATCATAGACGTATAGGTAATGATATTAAAAATAACAAAGACGTATAGTTAATGAATATGCTCATCATTGCATCGCAGAGCAACGAAATTCTTGCGTGCTAGCCGTTGTTTCTCATTTGCTTTTAAACCTCAGCCGTGGATTTTTCGTTAATTTTTATTAAAAAAAAAAAAGACGTCGCTTAGACTGAGCTCTGTGCGCCCACCCGACTTTAAAGCACTTTAACTCGTAATGGATACTGCTTGAAAAATGCATAAGTTTAGATAGAAATATCTTTTCTACCCGCAAAAAGAATATAACACGTCGTATGCATGGATTAAAATGAAAATAGCACTACAAAAACACGAAATAACGATGCACAACTACTATGAAAAATAATAGAAAGGTATAATAATAGTATTCAAACAGTCTGAATTTAAATGGCGAAGATAAATGGTGAAGAACACTGCGTTTGTCTGGTCTGGGCTTAGCCGTGATTCTCTGGGTCGCTCTCTATACATCTGGTTCCTACACGTGTATATGAACATAAATGCACTAATATGTAAGTTGTATATAGTTTTGCTCGGACAGAGTTCATCAAACCCATCGCTCAGCCGAAGCGACCTCTCGGCCTTGGTCGGCGGCACCACCGTCAACAATGGTGCACGACGACGACGACAATAACAACAACGAACGACGACATCGCGAGGGATTCGTACTTATTACCGAATCTCAATTGGACAAAGGCGGTGGTGTTGGTGTGAGGGTAACGGTGGTGTGCAGCACAGAGTCACGTGACGCTGAGTGACTACTGGCCCGCAACAGTGTCACGGCCTCTCGTTCCAGGTCGCTGCTGCCGCGACCACCTAGCAAGCCTCGTTTGACAGCTAGGCGTTCAACTCCTGCGTGTAGGTGGCCGCCGCTTGTACCATGCTGAGATGCATCACCACCGCCTCCGGTTGCTATGCCACCCAGAGCACCGGAGTTATGTACCGCGGTCCCTGTGTTGTTGATGGCCGCGTTGCCTCCTGCTTGCTGACCGCTGTTTGCTCCAACCCCGACACTCAGTCATTTCTGACGGCCACTTTTCTTCTTCTTACGCTTGAAAAAGCAACAGCATCTGGAAAGGAAGCAAATACTAATACGGAAGCTTAGATGATGAGATATTATAAGCCAACTATGTCACACAAATCTTGACACTACTGTGTTTCCTTGGATTAACTATAGTGCAAATGTAACACAACATAAGCTTGATGATTGAACTGACAGTGATAATGTCTTACACAGATATGGAGAGGGTTTAAAGCTAAGATGAAAAAGCGTGAAATAGGAGTTAGAAAGTAGTATTATTCAAAATGTTTGTTTGCGTAGAATTGTTATACAAGATACACAAAAAATTAATTTAACATGTACAAATATTTAAATGAAATAAGAGATATTCGATTTTTCACAAAAACAAGGTATTATCGATGTTTTAAGAGTTTTTTTATGATAAGCAGTAGCAGTAAGTTCTAAAATTTAAGTTTATCACTAAACATAATTGTAAAGTACTTCGAAAATAAAATAAAAAAAGTCAAAAAATCAGAAAAACTTATTAGATGATTTTATATTCAAACAGGTAACACTTAAATTGTTTCAACGCGATATTTTTTATTGATATTAACAATTATCAATAAGGTGAAAATCGGCCGTTGTTTTTTATATGATTTAATATATTCGACAAGAGAAAATATTGAACAGGCCACGAATAGGTTTTCAAAACTTCTTTATAAGCTTCATGAATTGCTTGTATGTATCCAGGCGATAAATTATGTTTTCGATGATTTCCAATTATTTTACGTGAATTTTGTGATGTTACTTGTCTTGATCTAGAAAACAATAAGTAGAAGTAAAAGGAACGTTTATTAGTTTTGCAAAATAATAAGAGTCCCGCTACAAAAGCAAAAGTGCGGTGAGGAAATTTTATGAATAAAATGAAAATAAACATAATTACATACGATTAACATGCTCAGCTGACAAACCAAATCACATGACACACTTACTTGGTTTCGTCTATCATCTCTACTTCTGGGGGTGCAGTGATTGGAGTATTCGAGTGGCCAGCTGTAGGATCATCGTTCGCCAGTTCTCCATTGGTAGAAGACACAACCTAAGGAATGAATTTGTACATTAATTTTATGTAAAATTTCAATACACCTCTTGGAATATCCAGTTATAGATACATATTTTGTAAATAAAATTGACCATTTAGTCATAAAAATCTAAAGCTAAAAATAAAGGTATAAATAAATCTTAAATATATCACGATTTTTATACTAATATAAGTTACTAAAGCAATTAGTAATTATAATACAAAGCAAGTTAAATATAATAAAACTACGTAAAATATTAGAGCTTGAAGAATAAAAAAAAAGTTAGTCTTACATGCTGAAATTAATCAAAAAGCTTAAAATTAACACATAAATAACTGTCTATTTTATATAAAAAATTGTCGATAGACCACGCACTAATAAGCAAGTGATTAAACGTTGGTGAGATTATTAATTGGATTAAATATGAAAACTTACAAATAAAAGAATGTTCTTATTAGCCTATAATTAAAATCTATTTTTCGTTTCGAAAATAAACCTGTTTTATATTATTGGTGACATTGCAAGTAAGTTAAGACAAAGCAAATGCTTTAAATTCAATCACTCAAACGTACGCGAGTTGGAAAGTTTCTAACTGCCCCCTTTTCAATTACAGGCAACGGAATGCATCGAACCATCGTATTTAAATTGTGCGCAGTCGCGTTTTTTACCAATAAAAACAAAAATAATCGAACGCAAAAAATAATTTACGATAATGTGCACAAAATACTCAAAAATAAGAGTGCAAAAAGCGACACATAGGAAGGTACACACCGATTTTTTTTCAGTATCACTGAGGTATTACGAACTCACCTGCACGGAACCATGTCTGTCAGCGGGAGTCAGGGTGCCACCGGCTCCCGTTTGCTTGACTGTGTCAGGCCACGTGGCACCGACCCCTTTACCGCCCCCGCCTCCCACCCCGCCAACAGCCGCGTCCTGAAGGAACACATAAGCACGACGCAACGTCGCAATACAAAGGTACAAATTAGTTTCAACAACAACAAAAAAAAATGAGAAAAAAATTGTGATTTGTTCTCAAGACGCGGATACTAGAACGCAAATATATCCTAGCAAGTACTTTCTAATTAGCTGATCGTCGCTTAGGCTAAATGCTGCTCTAGCTTGCCTCTACGCTCTTTTTTATTGCTTTGTCTATACAACTTTTCGGACTAGCGAGCTATTACTTTAAAAGTTCTACGCCCGGCGAAAAAGCGAATTTTTTCACACTTGGGTCTCTTACGTAATTGCCTTGAACTTCCAAGCACCGAACTTGATCCTGCAGTACAAGTATCGGTTCTTCTTCGTCATCATCGTAGTCCTCGTCGCTTTCCTAATTTTTCCGCGAGCGCGTTTAGGTGAATACACAAATGACGAGTGAAAACACAGCAATAATTCGAATGGTGATGCGTATGGTTTGGTTATTAAAATTCGTGAAAAATGCCTCGTTAGAATAAAACTCACGCATTCAAAGCAAATGCATTTTTCAATGCAATGAGAAAGTATCAAACCTTCTTATTGTAATATGCAAATTTTCAAAGTACGATTCAACGAATGCAGGTAATAATACTTCGTGTCAATTGACTTAACGGATTTTTCATGCGGTTATTGTGTAATACAGATCAAAATTGAAGAGAAAAGTTATATCTACAAACTTCATGCTCAGTGTTTAAAGCTCGTTTTTTAAAATCGTAAATGTCTTAAAAGTATATATGCCTGGAGAGTCAAAAATGAATTTTGTCTTTACCTTGTAATTTGTAGGATGCCTATCTCTGTTGGGCGAAACGAGAATTTCGTGACCAGTTTGCAAAGATCCGACTGGCGTCGACTGTAAAAAAATAAAATAAAGATCTTTAGCACAATCTTCACAACAATTTTTTGTCAAATGAGTACATAATTATAGTGAAGATAAATAATACTATAATATAACGATGGCATACTGATGATTTATTATAATTTACTGCTTGAGCTTTGAAATGGCATATACATAACGTACTTGAAGATTTTGGGAACGGGAAGAAGGCGAGTTTGCAACAAGGGATAACGGATAATAATCAAACCTACAAAGCCCAAATGTTGATCAACAACGCACAGACGCTTGCACGCCTGATTCTGACGGGGTCTTGCAAGTATACGAACCTTGTCAGACTTAGTTTTTCCAACCCACGACGGTGCCGCTTGTCTTAACGCTATGAGTTGTTGAAAATTCGGCGGCTAGATAGAGGAAGAGAGATAGGTGCGTGCATGCAAACGTTAAAAATCAAGAGTATTTTTTGATTGGCACATATTTTTCTTTGTTTTCATGCCTCTTACTTTTTTTGGCTCGTTAGTTTTTAATAACGTTTTGGGAGACAGGTGGGAAGAATGTGTGTGATGTATTTCGCAGCTCTCGCTCTGTCTCAATGTATTGTTTTGTCACGATACTTTTTCGATTTAGTTGCGCTTCGGATGATGCTCGTCATGTTTCGCCTTAAAAATTCATCATGCTCATGCTCATCAGAGATATTGTGAGTATAAAATGTGCAGAGTGTTATGTGCATGTTCTATTTTGTTTCGTTTTAAAAACAAAAAATTAAGAAGAAAAAAATTTAGAGAGATCTTATATAGTTAGAAAGACAGATAAATAGATAGATAGATAGATAGATAGATAGATAGACAGATAGATAGAAAGACAGACAGAGCTAGAGAATAGAGAACACAAAAGTTAGATTATCATTAAAACAAAACAGACTTAAGAGGGTTCTAAATCAAGGGTGGCGCACCATTGTTTTTCCCGTCCAGTCGAATTCATTGTCATGGGCAAAGCCTCTTCTGTCGTAGAGATCCTGAAATAGCTTTCTCAGGTACTCGTAATCAGGCGTGTCGAAGAAGTCAAGCCGACGGACGTATCGCAGGTACGTAGCCATCTCTTCGGGATGACCCTCGCAGAGCACCTCGATTGGGGTGGCGCGTTTCGTGTCGCCAATTTTCTGGTAACGCTCCTTCAACGTGTCGGCCTTGAGGCCTTGCCAAGGCAAACTGCCACGCAGGAAGTACATGAACATGTGTCCCAGTGCCTCTAAGTCGTCTCTTCGGCTTTGTTCTAGGATCGAAAGATATAAAATGAAGTTAAAAAATTGAAATTGTAATTGATCAAGCGGAAGATGCAGATGGGTGTAATTACGAACCTTTGCCCTGGTGCGTGTTAATACTCATATACCGTGCCGTACCGGTCAGACTTTTATGTTCTCGGTAAGGTATGTGCTTATTGGTTTCGAGGTCTATGTACTCTTTGGCTAATCCGAAGTCGATGATGTGAATGATCCTTTCCCTATTGGTTGTACTTCGGCCAATTAGGAAATTTTCTGGCTTCACATCCCGGTAAATGAGATGTCGACTGTGTACATACTCTATCCTATGAAGCTGTAATCATAAAACGAACATTTCACTGAATTTTGATGATATCGATTGCAAAAGACGAGGTGAAAGTCACGACAGCAATTTAAAGCAGCAATTTTGATTATTTTGTAAACAAAATTTCTAATTATATTATTCATATTCTGCAACGAGAGCCGCACAGTACACGTCGAATGTATAAGTCGACTCGTTGGTAACTGGGTCGGAACTCGGCTCGTGTATGTCCAATCAAAAGGCGACTTATTATCATCTTTATTCTCATGTAAAATTGAAATGCTTCAACGATTCGATTTCCGGTCAATGAGCAAGACAGTGGGCTAATTTGTACTTACGAGTTGCGTGGCAATGCTGAGGACGGTCTTTAAGGTAAATCTTCTGCCACAGAGATCGAAAAGGTCTTCAAGGCTGGGACCCAGTAGCTCCATGACCAGTGCATTATACTTGCCACACGGACCGAAGTAATAAACTTCCGGTATACCCTCTGTGAAATAAGTTTATCGAATTAGTTAATAGTTTATATAATTGACTTTGTTATCTATTATATTACTCTCAACTCACCATGTGTGCCTAATAATTTGTTGTAATACCTATACTCCAAATGGAGCTGTGGCGCCTTCGACTTCATTGGTTCCTGAAACCGAAGAAAACAGCGATTACTACATTGGCTTTTGACTTTTTCCCGGGTAAAACATTTTTAACAGTCTCTTTGCGCAAGTGCAAAAGTTTATACCTCATATAAGTATTGATAGATAAAATATGGCGCAATTATATGGCATGCCTCAGCTCATGTATTTTTCAAGAAAAGACAAGCCACTTTCGAGCCGATTATTTTAGACTATGCAAAGACGTACGAATTAATAACTAAACTATAATGTCTCGTGATACTCACCATTTTTATAGCTACGTGTTCATTATTGTAGAGGTTTTTTCCTGAAAAATGAAAAATGCATTGGCGTTAATTGAAAATTTGTCGTACGTCAAAATACAGGTGGTACAGCATTGAAATTACTAATGTACAATTATAGGTGAGTTGGCGGGCACATAATTAGGATGAGTAAAATGACCTTTGATTGTAATAATGTTATCTAGATTTGATCTTTGGCAAAAATAAAAAAATTGCCAAGTAGAAGACAAGAGTCATGCGTGTAACTTTGGCTGAAAACAAAGTCTCATTTTTATTCTCTTGTTTACACCAGTAAGCGATAGAAACATAGCGAATATAGTTTTTCAATGGTCTTTGGTGGTCTTTCGGGATAAAAGCAATGGCGATTAGAGAACCTCTGGCTACTCGTGTATGTATGTTTACACGTTTATTTACTTCGACAAAATAACAATCGTTTCTAATCTACGCGTACGTTGGCTTTTCGATGGAGCTATTTTTATGCTCTTTCATCGACAAGATAATGTTTTATTCATAGACTGGTAAAAAGCCGTGTTCGAACAAATCTTATCTCGGTCGTCGTCGTCGCCGTTCACGTTGGTCGAACGAAAAGTACGCGGCCCCAAATGCAACAGTTAGGCTCGTTTCAGTAAACTGAAAACAAGATAAATCCGTATACTGTCGATTTTACATTCAACATCAATGATAATAGACAGATAAAAAGAAAGAGAGAAAGAATAGAGGGTAATCTTTTCGTGAGACCGGCTAATTCTCTCTCTATGGCGACGACTAGTTATTAAATTTGTATAACATTGTTGACACAACGACAACGACGACAACGTTGTTGCTGTTGCACTCGGTTGCACTCTGCACTGGCGGGACGTGACCGTGAAACCTTTTTTTATTATTTTTTTTTTTTTTTTCGTTACATTTGAGTGGCTTCAATATACATGCTTAGACGTGCACACGTACTTTCGTCGTTCATACACATGTATGTATTAAAGCTCGTGGTTCGTTACATGGCTGAGCCGGTTTTTTCTAATACTCTTAATCAAACATCTGGCGCTCTTCATGAGATGAGATTTGCGCCAAGATTTTGAAATCGTTCCCGCGCACGCACGTGGCAAATTTTACCTTCAATTTACCGTACGGTCGATCACGACGCACGCAAAAAGCTCCACTAAAATAGGGTTTGACATCGCCCTTCATCGTGTTTCGTGCAGAGAGTACGAGAGGTAGAGAGAGAAATGAAAGCTCGTTAAAAAAAGTACAAAATTCGCAAGCCGAGTGGAAAATAAGGGTCAATGTCGGGCGCGAGTACATACGTCTCTCACACACAAACTCGTTAACATAAACGAGCGCACTTGAAGCAGCAGCAGCATTGGTTTTTATACCTCCGAGCGCGTGCGGCTCTACAAGACTTCTGTGCTTGCGGCAGTTAGCGAGCGCGGGATTAGAGATTTTTAGCACCAAATTTCCGGCACAAGTGTACTACAAAGCGAAAACAAACAAAAGCTAAGCGACGATGCAAACACACAGGGACATCGTGGCAATATGCTAATTGAAGTTGATGCGCTCGTTCAATTTGACCGATAGAAGCAATCGATAGTATAACGAGCGAGATGCCTACTCATCGATGAATATTTTAGATACAAGCTTGCGGAGTTTATTTAGGCATTCCTGGACGATGCAGCGGATCCTTGATGATCCTGTATAGCCAGCGTCTTGGAGCTTTTTTAGATTATCCCGCTAGTTCTATTCTGGTAGCGCAGCGCGTGGCGTTATTCGATCTCTCGCACATGACTGCACATACGCCATTTCTATATTTATAATGAGACATACTACTAACGTCGGACTGAATCTTTAGTGGAATGTTTGTGCGTTTTTTTTTCAGTGCGGCTGGAATAAGCCTCTTTAGTGGATTATACCAATATAGCACGGCGACGATGCTCTCTTTGACAAGAAGGCACTAAGTCTAAAGCATCGAGTCTTTTATCGGCTGGGAAATAGAGAGTGTGAGTGAGAAACGAGATAGTATCGCGGCGGCGCTCTCGAGCCTTCTCTGCAAGCTGTTTCTCGCTTAAGCTATGATTGAACAGAAGCTCCCTCCCTTGCTGCAAGAGCCGACATTTTTATGATTAAATTCGTGCGCATAAATTGGAGACGACGCGGCGAGGAAAAGTAAATCGCGTTACTTCAATTAAATTCTCCTTTCCGAGTTTGCCAGTTGCTCGCCCACCATGACGTGTAAACTTTTTTTTTAATTTTCAACTCAAACTCAAAAAGCCAATAGATCCATACCGAAGACAAGCGATAAAAAGCAGTTGCTGCAAATTTCGCCAGAATTCCTAGCTTATCCGCGTGAATTCGCGTTTATATACGAAGAGGCGCGCGCTATGTAATTCACGATGCTGCTCCGAAAGTCGTTCCGTTAATTAATTTTTAATTGTAGCAGCGAGTGCTGCACGAGCAGTGCAGTACTGTTCACAGCATCGTGGATATATATACGTGTATATATAGGCCCCCTAATTGCTGAATGCCTGAGCGTCTACTACTGCCTCTGTAATAAAATCATGCGATACGAGCTGCTGTTCGGGTCGCTTATATATGTGTCGCTTGGTATAAACGCGAGAAAAAGAGAGAGAGAGAGAGAGAGAGAGAAACAGGGAAAAGTCAAACGAGTCAAGTGTCATCTTCGAGAGTTTGAAACAAAGTTTGAAACTACTCATGTCTAGTAGTCAATCAAAGCAGAGCGATTGGATGGACTTTCACTGAGGCATAAACAAACAGATTAGGTTGCGTCGTAAACATCATAATCGCGCGTGCGGGAGAGGCAGTGGTGGTGGCGGTGGCGGCGGCAGCGGCAGTGGCAGCGGCGTCGAGAGAAAAAGTGAATCGAGCATCGTTGCCTGTTTGCTCGCCTATATGTATACAAGTATAGGTAGTATATAGAAGTAGAAGTAGTAGCAGCAGCAGTAAAAGCAGCAGCGGCAGCAGCAGCAGAAGAAGAAGAGGCGGCGGCGGAAAAGCGCGCACGCGCCTCTATAAAGAGAGGCGAAAATGTGGGTCAGGGTATCCGAGGCAAAGCGGAGCAGCAGCGGCTGGTTCGCGAGCGAGAGCTACACGATGTATCGTGGTCACGAGAATAAACTAAGCCTATAGCGTATACACACTCATAGACATGCACACGTTTAAAACACACAGCGGCACAATAGGGCCAGATCGGACTCGAGTCTCTTGTGTGCCCACCCGAGAGCCTCGGTGTAAATAAACTTTGGCCGCTGCCCGAGATCATCCTTCCGCCGATGTTGCCGCCTGCTGGGAGTCACGGCTCTGGGAACGCGCTGTAATCGCTATGCGGGGGAGCAAAGCCCGGCTCGATTTTTTGGCGCTAAAGCCGTTTTCATATCATCGGAGAAATAGAATAAAAACGAGATATAAAGGCGATATCGGAGCCAATAGGCAGATAGGTACAAGCATATGTATGTAAAAATAGGCGCAGAGATTTACAGACCAGAAAAAAAGGCCGTTGGCGCGAGTTCGAACAGGTTGCTACTTGCTCAAACCGCGTGACTGACCGTTCGAGCAGGATTCCTTCTTACCGAACTTCCGCAATAATTACCCGTACGCTCTCTTGTCGCCTTTATCAACGACAACAACAACAACGGCGCCAGCAACAGCAACAACAACAGCATCGAGAAAGATGGATCCTAAGAGCTTTAAAGCTATTATTATCGGAGACAAACGCGTATAATATCCGATAATGCGCGCGAAGGAATAATACAACAACAACAATGCCGCACGCGCTTGATATTACGATAGCCTATACGAGTAGCTCTGCGGCAGGCGCGGTCTAATCACGCTAATTACACTCAAGGCTTGACTAAAATTTCAATATTTTTTTTTTTTTTTTTATAAATAGTTATCGCTCGCTCGTGTACGGAGCATGTCGCATGACGTATCGATTTATCTTGTGCTGCTCGCGCGCGCGGGGCTCGACCGTGTGCGGCCTATGGGTCAACGCACAGCAGCCGCACACCGCCGTGATTCCGAGAGAAGACGAAATTATATATGAAAATTGTCAACTATAAGCTCGACCGCGTGGCATAGGATAATAGAATATTCGGCGGTGGTGGCGGCGGCTTCCGTATAGCCGCCAAATCGCACGATGTATAGGTGTTTGTACGTGCCGTGTGAGCGCGCTTGTAAAAACTACGAGCTGCGAAGCGTCGAGAGATAGCTATAAAAGAGGTCGATATCGATTTCGTCGATACACAGAGAGTGCCGTTTTACATGTATATGTATATTCGCGTACAAGTGTGCATGTGTCTGAGTTTAATAGATATTTCATCGTCGACTATTATAGCCCTCTCGTATCTGACTCTCATTCGCTTGCTCTCCCCCTTTCTCCTTATTTACGTAATATTTCGATTGGATTGTCATGTTTGAAGGATAAGGTTCTTCATTTATATACACACATAGACATTCAAGCAAGCAGGCTCAGCTGTATATAGCAATATATAGCGATATTTACTCGCGCGAGAACGTCCCAAGTATCGAATGAATAAATTAACGAACCTCTATGTATGTATATATGTATCTATATCCGATCGCGCGCGCGCGCGCATACATACGTTATATACGCTACACGGGAATCAATGGCATTATTAGAAAAGAGCGAGCGGCCGGCAAACGCCCGTATAGAGAGGGACATACGGCGCGACAATATCCTGTTACCTTATTACTCTTTGCCCCGTGTATAACACGTCTATACGGTAACGACGACTCGCCCCCGCGCCTCGCCTTCCTTTCCTCTTTCTTCTGTCGAGCGATTCTTCGTTATGAAAAGCGAGCAATTATCCGACTGCAGCTCTGCATATTGCTTCTCTTTCGCAGCAATAACCGATCGACCGGAGTCTTTTTTCTGCCGCGTCCCAAAAATAATCGGACCTGATTCTACTCGTTCGTCGGTAAGATCGCGTGCATCGACTTGTACATACTCACTCGCGCTTTCGAATGAGCAAAAAAGCTCCCGCGTCGGATTCCGTTGTTGCACACCTCCGTGTGTGTATAGATAGGTTTACGTGCATTTTGATCAATGGAGCGGCTCACCCTCCGATTTTCAAGTACTTCGGAGCTTCGAGTGCTTTAAAACACAACTGTGCGCTCGCGACACGCCATCGACTTTTTTCTTCTTCTCGTCTTCGAGCAATAGCTCATGGAGCGTGTTGAGCGCATAAACACACGCACGCACGAGATAAGTCTTATCATATCGGTATCTCTCTTACTCTTTTTTTCTCTTTCTCTCTCGCTATATACTCGCTCGTTCGAAGGTAAGTTTTCAAATTTTTTTCGCTTACCTCCCTCCAATTCTTCCCTCCCCTCTCTCTCTCTCACTCACTCACTCTCGCACTCCGTCTGTCTGTCTCTGACTCTCTCGCTCTCCGTCTTTACGTTCTTTCTTTCTCACTCACCGACTCTCTTTCTCTCGACAATGACGCGTGCAATATATAAGTTACCGCCATGAATGTGCAGGACTCGTTCCTAAACAACCTCTCGCAGCATAAAGATCATGTTTCTGTACACTGCTGTGTATGACAGTTCTGCTTGGCTTGTTGCTTTTTTCTTATCCTTTCTATCGTTAAAGCCCATCGATTCGCGTGCGTTTTTTTCACTCTTTAAAACCGAACACCCCGAGTATCGTTCGATTACCCACGCAATCGGTCAAATACGTCAAGGTAACTTTTAGATTTTATTGCCGAGGAAACTCTACGATACGCAACAGCTGATGAATTAAAGATGAAAATCGACTTATCCATTTTTTACGAATCCATAGATGTTAATTTTCCTAAGACTATGCTGACAGAATATCAATAATTGTACTACATGTTTACAAAAATGTTATCTTAATTTCAGAGCTTGTTATCTCCTTGCCAGTATAATCTATGAATCTATTTAGCTGATGCAGTATATACTGAATGCTCTAACCATCTATAATGTAACATACTTGTAAAGTAATAAAATAATTTTTAAGGTAATAATCATACTTTAGTATTCAATGCTGTACAGACTGTATGGAAAATTTTCAAGTAAAAATTTGTTGGTTTAATTAAATAGAGCTGTAACGATTACTCACCAAGTCTAAGTTCTCCAAAGTTACCACAACCAATTTTCTTGCCAACTCTGAAGTTGGGTCCAACCATGAGTACATTGGAAGTGGAAGTTGCACTGTGTCGAGAAGTAACAATGTTGGGTCTGTTGGTGTTACTAGATCTAAAGTTTCGTTTGGTGGGATCCTGCTCTCGGTCCCTATCGTTGCCTCGCTGCATCTCCTTATCCCCTCTGGGATCTCTTCCATCCCTTTTCTGCATGATGATGCTGTAAGTATTATTCTGCTCTCCTCTGCAGAAAAAGAGACAATCAGCTCTTGGGAAAGCAGCTCCTGGCTATTTGTCAGTGCTGTTGAGTTTTCAGTCTGCAAGACTTCATATCAGCGGCTTGGTCGACAGCCAGCTTGGAGCAGCAGCAGTCAGGTTTTGACGATGCAGTTCTTTGGTAACATTAACAGCATTTGCATATGAAGATTTCCACTATAATAGCACCTACACAGAGCAACAGCACAGATTGATAAAAATCAGGAGAAAGTGGGAAAAACTTCACTGGTACGTACACATGCACCACTGGCACTGTGAATCACTCACTTTTAGGTAGCCATACAGCCAAGTGTGTAAAGGTGGAGAGTTGCGTGAGTATATACGTTTTTTAGGTGTATATACACGCAAGTTATTCACTGCAACAAGAAGGACACTGGCGAAATTGTCGAGTGTCGAGACAACGAAGGCATGCTTTCTCTCTCTCTCTCTCTCTCTCTCGCTCGCTCTTTCTTCTGAGTCAGAGCCCACTTGCACTCGACACGATGTACATAAAGGTGTATTATATCTATGTATCTATACTCGATCTCGTAGGAGGTTAAGTTGGCATTTCACGGCTCCAGGTACACAGACTGTCGGGAGGCTCGCGCACTGCTCAAGCGAGGCCTCGGACGGAGCGACGACTGGTTCCGTCCAACGCACACGTACACACGTACACATACACTCACATACATACACACACAGCACGCACGATAGCAGAGTCAGAAAAGTCTGACGCGATTACGTTGAACCCGGGATATAGATGTGCTTCGGGGCGCGCGTACGACTCGATAACTGCGCCTGGAAAGGCAAGCCAAAGAAAAACGGATCGCACGAATGGACTCGCACACTACACGCACTTAGTCACTGAGTCTGCCGAGCGCAACTGCGAGAGAGCAAGCGAGAGAAAAGGATAGTCTGACTCTCTCTCACTCTCGGGCCGAGCGTTTGTGTGCGTGCGCGCCTGTATTTATATGTGTTGTATATACACTGGCTGCGCTGCAGGCCCCGAGCGAAAGAGCGAGATAGGCTGCTACGAGTCAGTAACAGCGATATTTGTGTGTACGTATAATAGCATGGCAGCAGCAGCAACAGCAGGCAGCACTGCAAACTTGCCAACGCACACTGCACGACTTGCGAACGAGAGAGAGACTTGGCCGTGCCTCGAGACTCGAGTTGCGAGCAGCAGCAGCAGCAGCGGCGAGTCGATGAGACGGCGATGATGGACGACAATTCGACGTTATAATAGGTGCACCGTAGTATATCGAAGCTGCAGCCGCTTCGTCCGGTCGGTAATGCTCGTTACTTTTTTCTTCTTATCGGGCGTGCACGCGAGAAAGTGCTGCCGTTAACGAGGAATATATATGGGTCAAAATAATACTTTTTTACAAAACCGTGCGCACGTATGTCACCGATCTTGACGCGCTTTTGGTATGTTATAGTACATGGTAAAAAGGTCCCAAAAAAAAATTTTTAGACCCCCTCCCCCCTCCTACCCCCCACTTCCGGTATAAACGTCCATTTTCGATCTATATTTTTTCTGAGGACATGAAGCAAGTAAAAAATCTGAAAAAATTCATAAAAATACTTTTCCACAATCCAAACAACCTTGAATTTTTTCAGATTTTTTGAGTGCTTCAGGCCTTCAGATAAAATCATTGAAAATTTCAAAAATCGAGATACGGCGGTATGAGCCGATGTAGTACTCGGAAATTTTTTCAGTTATTTTTCGCATTAAAAAACATAACCTCAATTTTTTTCAGATTTTTTCAGATTACCTAACGCACCTTTTGAAGCCAAAAACCGATTTTTTTGACGAAAATAATTTTTTTAGGACAGTACGGAGCCTCGAAAAATCTGAAAAAAATTTTTTCTTGTTTTTTTCATCAAAATACGTAATCTCAAATTTTTTCAGATTTTTTAATTGAAGGCGATAGCTTCTAGGGCCGAAAAATGCTATTTTTAACAAAAAATGGTTCCTAGAACCCGATGGTTCCGGTGAAAAAATTTGAAAATATTTTTTTTGAATTCCTTGTCAAATTTTAATAAATTTTGACCGTTTCAAAAGTTCGATTGAAGCTTCCTAGCTCATTTTAGAGCAGGACAAAGATTAGTGCAAAATATCTGAAGACGTTTCTGAAGACATTAAGGAATGATAAAACTCGTTTGATGCTCTAAAATGAGCTAGGAAGCTTCAATCGAACTTTTGAAACGGTCAAAATTTATTAAAATTTGACAAGGAATTCAAAAAAAATATTTTCAAATTTTTTCACCGGAACCATCGGGTTCTAGGAACCATTTTTTGTTAAAAATAGCATTTTTCGGCCCTAGAAGCTATCGCCTTCAATTAAAAAATCTGAAAAAATTTGAGATTACGTATTTTGATGAAAAAAACAAGAAAAAATTTTTTTCAGATTTTTCGAGGCTCCGTACTGTCCTAAAAAAATTATTTTCGTCAAAAAAATCGGTTTTTGGCTTCAAAAGGTGCGTTAGGTAATCTGAAAAAATCTGAAAAAAATTGAGGTTATGTTTTTTAATGCGAAAAATAACTGAAAAAATTTCCGAGTACTACATCGGCTCATACCGCCGTATCTCGATTTTTGAAATTTTCAATGATTTTATCTGAAGGCCTGAAGCACTCAAAAAATCTGAAAAAATTCAAGGTTGTTTGGATTGTGGAAAAGTATTTTTATGAATTTTTTCAGATTTTTTACTTGCTTCATGTCCTCAGAAAAAATATAGATCGAAAATGGACGTTTATACCGGAAGTGGGGGGTAGGAGGGGGGAGGGGGTCTAAAAATTTTTTTTTGGGACCTTTTTACCATGTACTATAACATACCAAAAGCGCGTCAAGATCGGTGACATACGTGCGCACGGTTTTGTAAAAAAGTATTATTTTGACCCATATATACAGGCGATCCTGACAGGGCGATGGCTGAGTAGCGAGTATAGTCGCTGCTGGCCCGCAACGATTTTGGAATCGCTGTCTGCGATCACGTTGCGCCGCGGTGGCCGAGACCACGTCGCTCGTGGCAGGACGGGCCTGAGCAGTAGTAGTCGAGCTGCTCACGACACACACTGCCCGACGACGACGACGACGACGACTGTGCGCTTCGCGCAGCCGAGTGCAGCACTCCGTGGTCGTTGTGTCCGCTCTCTGTAAACATGCACACACGATGCATTAAAGAGGATGATGTGTAAAAATCGCCAGCGACGAGAGAGAGCTTACGGCTTGAGGAGGCGAGCAGATGCAACTTGCGAGAGAAAGACGGAGAGTGAGGTTCTGCGCGCGCGTGGCTGGTTGGCCGCTGCTGCTCGAGTCACTCCGTCAGTACTCGAGTCGCTCGACGACGTGACTTTGGAGTATATTTCGCGGCTCCTCCTCGTGCGCCTAGTCAAAGTCGCTATCTACACCCGCTCCACGGCTCTGACAGCTTCAACCCAGCTGCAGCTCTTTTATTACGAATGAATAATGACTTCTTCGATCGTTGCTCGGAGTGCGGTCGATGACACTAAACGATAGAACATAAATATAGCAATTTTTTAGTCAACTGCAGCTGCTGCGACGTCGAGTCCTGCTAATCCTCTTTCCGTGGCATGCTTACTCTGTCAGCATTGCATTCCGCTCGCAAGTCGTATGCGGCTATGTACAAACGACTCGGCGAAGAAAACAATGACGACGGTTAAGTGGAACTTTTTTTTAGACCCGACCACCCCGCACCCGTCGTGTAGTCGATGATCGACGACCGGATCTCAAGGGAAAACAGGATTACCAACTCTTTTGATTGATTACAAATGTAATTCTACATATCTGCCCTTGGAAGTCGATTTTTCACAATTTTTTTTTCTTTCTTGCTGTCTCTATGCTATGTGCATTTCAGTAACTAATTTAAATCAACGTGTTTACTAGAATTTTTCGACGTTTACTTATTCCAATAGATTTTGATGTTTAGTGAATTAATTTTTATACCTAACTTGACATTTTTATCAGATATTCTTATGATATTCTAAAAAGTATGAACAATTTATTCAATGTAAAAATTTAAATAGAAAATTAACGAAACAAATGCTGATTACTCTACACGGTACAGTATGTCCATGACAGTTTTAAGAAATCATTTACACTTTATAATTTATTGTTATCAAACAAGTCCTTAAACTTAAAGAAATTTCCGGTCATCATAAAACTCTTAATGTGGCATGTTTACACATGAACCATCGATAAATACTAAATGACAACTTCACATTGCCTCAAATTTTTCTGTTCCAGTTTAATTGGAAACTTGGTTAAAATTTTGACAACAATGAGAAATTATATTACATAATGAAATATTTTAAATGTGTTGCATTCATATTTCACAGTAAAAAAAATCAATCACATTATAAAATCGATGAATAAGAATATCAATTGCACCACGATAAAGACTATTGAGTTGGTATTGAATTTGAAATGCCCGCTTTTTTCTGGCAACGCGAAGCTAGCCACGAGCAAAACCGCGCGCGAAATGATGTTATGATTACTGTTGGCGGCGTGTCGTCAACACCATGAGCCATGGCATCTGTGCGAATGTTCATTACTGTCATTCAAATTCAATAATGTAAACAATAACGTTGTGTTCCAAGTGTTTTCAGTGTTTATTTTTCAAGGATAAGCCGGTGCAAAAAGTTTATGGTTGCATTGCAATCTGTGATGTTAGTCCTACCTGTACTTACAACTATTCTTTGTTTTACACTTCATGAAAAATGCAAGGCAACCGATTTACCTCCGATGAAGAGTCAGGACCTCGTTGCACGTCCAAACAAGCATCACAATTCCACGTAAGATTTTAGAATTTCAGAGGCTGTTCCTTTACTCCAACTTGTTTTTATAAATTTTCACCATTGCAGATTGTGCCTCCAACGCCGACAGTTCCCGAAGTATCTCTTATTTTAGAAAAACCACGTCCACCCTTGCCTTCTGTCAATGACACTTTATCTCGTTCAGTACCTGAGGCCAAGGCAAATATTGCAAATTTTTCTAGCATTAGAGGAAGTGAATCATATGCAGCCTGGAGAGAAAAGCAATTTCCTCAGCAATTTAATAGAACTTCACCAAATGGATATAATAGAGTATTTTCCTCGACTCAAAATAGTACTCATTTACAGAATTCTCATTCTCCTACTCATCATCAACATATTAAAAATAATTCAGAAGTTTTGCATGAACATAATTTTAAGCAGCCAAGTCCAAATTCTCATAAGCGGTTGAGTGAATCTGAAAAGGCCAAGAAAATAGATAGTATTATTAATAAATACTCAGCCAAAAATAATCAACAAGACCATTTAGTTCATAATAATCACTTGCATGATAATAATGATGAATATAGACGTAAAGTTCATTATGCAGATGAAAATATTCCAAATGGCAGAGAGCCTCCAGCACATTCACAGACAATTGATGCTTGTGATGTTGGGTATCGATACAATATTCAAAGATCTCATCAGAACCCCCATATTGATACATATCATCATAGATCAATGCCAGTTGGACATGATGGTTATCTAACTCAAAGCAGATCATTGCAACCAGTTCATTACAATACAGAGTGTCACCAACGTTCATGTAATTGCTGCAATTCTCATAACTCTCACAATAACTCTAGTGGAGAAACAGACACTGTGAAACATTTATTGACAATTATAACAAGCCAAAATGAACAAATTAAAAGCTTACAAAAACAAGTGGAAAGATTGTTAAAATTACACGAACAAAGCTTGAAAACAATGAAGCACTGTACATGTCAACCTAATGGAATTTTTTATCAAAATCATACTTATGATCAATCAAAAGCGACTAATTTTATAAAAAGTAACGAACAAGTCTTTTCAGATTTGAAATTGAAAGAAAATGATAAAACTAAACAACAAGCTATTTTAGAACAAAAAGTTTCGATTGGAGTTATGACAAGTTTTGAGCTAAAAGTTCAAAATAACCAAGCCATAAATAAGGATAAAGACACAAAACAGAAAATTGCTTATGAAAATGCACTACCCAATGTTCCCCAAACATCAGAGATAATTAAAAATCTAGTTAATGATACTGGAGAAATGATCAAGAAAAAATCTCAAACATTCAACCCCTACGCCTTGGATAACATCAGTGAGGCTTCGGAAAGTCATTTATCGTCATTCCGCCAAAACCACTCGTCTGCAGATCAACGTCAATTCGAGGAGAATCACGAGTCTTTGGAAGTTCAAACAGGTCAAGCGTATGAAGAAACAACTCGCGATTGTGAATTAAAAAATTCAGATTCTAGATTTAACGTAAAAGAAGTCACGAATAAAAACGATGACCGGCTTACAAAGGAGCAATACGCAATGGATAAAACACGCGAGAAACTTAAAGCCCAAGAAAGAGAAAGGCAGTATAATGCACAATACGAAAATCGACGTTTCGAGCCAATTCGCGCCGATGGACGTGCTTCACCTTTCGAGGAAAGACGTGCCTCGCCCTATGGCAAACCAATTTCTCCCCACGAGGATCGAAGAAATTACGAAGATCATCGAGCTTCGCCATACGAAGAGCACAGAACTTCACCTTACGAAGAACAGCAGCATCAGTACCGCGCCCAGAAACAACCAGTTTTCGAAGAAAAACCTCGCGATGACAATTTCACGACTCCTTATGAGAATAGGCGCGCGAGGCACCCACCACGTTCCAGTGCGAAACGTGCTCCATTCTACGATAACAAGCCCGTGAACGCAATCGAGAGGCCAATGCCAACGGATTTCAGAAAAATGAAAAACAACAGAGCAGATCACGTAGCCGAAGAGTGCCTTAGCTTGAGCAGCAGTGAGCTAGACGTAGAGGAACCAAGTCCACCTAGCCCAGAACCAAGCATACACGTAGACATGCAGGAGTTTTCGAGCGAAGGTGGAAGCTTGCCACCACAACGAAGCTCTAAACCAGGCTGCACCCTCTACGATAACGTGCTGTACCAAGTCAATCAAATTCTACAGAATTCAAAGCCATTAAATGACGACGACGACGATGACGATGACGATCAATCCGACGACATGGATAACAATTTACCTAAGGGTAATGTCATCATGGACACCGTTAAAGCAGCAACAATGGAACAGCTTGCCAAGCTAGGAATAAGTTTTTGTGAAAACGTTGATCAGCGCGATCCAAACTTCAACAAACAGTAAAATATTTTCGAATTTAATGAAACGGCTAGTATATGTATGTGAATTTACATTTCTTAATATTCTTGCAGAGTCTTGTTCGATGCTGCTTATTACGCGAGCCAAGGACACGACGCTCATATGGCAGCCACGAGCATCGAAACCAATACGAGTATGCACATGAAAGCTCTGGCCATGAAGTACTTGAACGAAGAGCAACTAGTCGACATGCAGAAGCAGCGCGTTAACGTCATGAAGCAGGCACCGGCAAGCATTCAAAATTCCAATATGTCCTTCGCGACGATGCACTACTTGCAGCGCTATCAATTGCTACCCGGTGGGAAAGGTAAAAATTGAATATTTTTTAACCACTCATCACGTCTGAACATAATTTCGTTTTTTATGTTTAGAACCTCCAAAGGATCATTATAAAACACCACGAAAAAATGTCCATGAAAGAGTGACGAACGCGAGAAGAAGAGCCCCAAGTCCTCAGAGATATCCACAGGCATATGCAGCTAATCCAAAGGTCAGTTTTCCAAGCAAAATTTTAGACATGTCAACTTTAAAGCAACAGTCGAAACTTTTGTAAAGTAGTATTATTCAACATGTATGTTAATTCACGTCAAACGTGACTTATCGAACTGAATTGTTAATAGTTTTATACATACTTTTTTAATTTTATACTGATGAATTGTAAAAAAGAGTATTACATGTAATAAAAAATTATTTTTTAAGAAATGTTGAAAATTTCTTTCGACCAAGTCACTATAATCATAATTGAGAAAATCAACAGAGATACATTAATTGAATTTTATTATACTTTAATTGATACATACACAGATCGATAATGTTTTTGTCCTACTCGGCTAACAATAATAGTTATATAATTTTTCATATACACTATGTTTATGTATAGAATAATTTGTTTTTCGCGTTGCACACGCATATTCTCGCCATTAGCCTATTTATGATATAGATACGCTCACTATCGCGTACCATATAACATACTAATTTTCTGCTCGTAAAAGAATCAAGCGAGAAACTATTATTTCGCTTAAATAATTTATTATATAATAAAATGTCAATTTCATTTCGTGGTATAAACGTTAATTTTGTTAATTAACAAGACGAAAAAAGTGTCACACATCGATCATACTCTAAAAACTAGGGAAATAATATTGCTTTTATAAAATGAATTAATTTGTATAAATCATCATTTATAGTTGTATCTTAAATTAATACTTATGTAGGCAGATTCGTCGTTCGATAAATTACGTATCGTACACGTTCATCTATATTATCAACAAAGCACAAAGATTCATACCGCACATATTATAATAAAGAGTGTTTTTTTTTAATTTTCTTGCCTTTCGATAGGCAACAACAAAAAGTGTAGAGCCAACAGTAAAGTTCATGATTATTTTCCCAACAAAAATAATTTCGAAAAATAGGTTTCCGCAAAGTTTTCTACAAATAGTTAGTGAATTCTATTACAATGTTTGTTAAATGTCTGACATTGACTAGATTGATTGATGTATTGGCTGTATTTTGTTTGGTTTGGTTCGGTCAAAGAAAAAGTTTATTCAAAAACAAACAACCGATCGCTCTAGCTTTTATGCTTTCATCTGATTTTCAATAGTAAAGTTCGTTGTGTGCTTGTAAACTGTTTTGTCAGTAAATTAATTGTACATATCACACGACGTTATCTCATCATATCTCATAATTACATATAATTGTTTGCAACAACGTTATGTGAAGTATATATAGTAAATATGTATAATATATGTATAATAATATATAATAATTTTTATTATTTTTGGCATCAATGGAAGACAAGAAGTTTCAGTGGTTTTTGTTAGTCTGTGCCCAATCTTACTCTCACTCTTTCGCACTCTCAATCTTTGCTCCCGCGTTTACAATAATATATCAATCGATCGATCAAAATATACTTTATTTTCCAACACGTTTTCAATCCTCCGTGGCAATGACACATATTCCTCAATATATTTTTGATTAATATTTTATACCTATATAATATTTATAATATGTATATTGTATGCGCTTGCATAAATACTGGAAGAGTCGTGTGTTTATTGCAATGATAAAGCATCCTTTGTAGAACAGTGATATGATGATCCCCCTTTTTTCAAAATATCATTGAGTATAGGTTTCTTAATGGCTACGATTCAACGTCGCGCATATATATCTATATACGTGATAATAATCGATATATACACGTCTTTTTTAAAATTGTTTCAGTTTAACGTCTTTCAATAATACCATAGTGAAAATTTCGCGTCCCAAAGATAAATTTGTTGATTTATTTTTGTTTATGAGATTATTCTAAAAAACTGTTTATTTTTGTACATTTTTCGTCATGCGCGACAATATAATATATCTGTAAATTAATTTAATCGACAAAAATATTTCAAATGGTACAACAACGAATCAACAAGATGCGCGGGGTAAGTGTAAAACTTACGTATAATATAGAGTATATAATCACACAATTGTATGTATATAATATATAATATAATATATAATGTATACACATCATTTTCTTTTTGTTGATATATCTGAATCGAACTATAGAAATGGTCATCGTCTTCAAGAATTTTGTAGACAAATATTTTCACTAAAGTAATAAATTAAAATTTTTTACGTTTCGTATTTTGATAATTTTGACTTATAAATAATGCGCATTTTTGTTTCAACTTGGATCTACAAGTTTTTTTCTCTACAATATAATTTATCCGTCCGATTTTATATATTTTTTAATATATATATTTTAATATCAACAATTAAATTTTGATATAATATCTCTGGTCATGTTCCTTTTCTAGTCATCATTCGCTTATAAGTGTTTGGAATCTTTTATTTGTATATCTGGAATATATATAATATTTATAATAATATATGTATAAGGACTAAGTCGAATCATCTTGGAAGGCCCTATATGAAGATGATACATTTTCTTTGGCTATGTTTTGAACACCTTTGTATTTTGAGCTAAAGTATAAATATACTAGTCATCTAAGGCTAGTAGGCGCGCTTTACTGACGCGAGACGCAATGCAAATTATTTTTCAACTACTCCTATCGAATATAATATATTTTTCATTTTATTGTCATTGTGCAAATAACATCTTTTCATATTTACTATAATGATTTTAGTGTTATGCTGCCTCTGACAAATAGTCTCATTACCCGATCTATGTTTCGAACCAAAAAATTGGTCCGACATTTCACAGGTTTTTGTCGTTTTGTCGCACGCATTTTTGTACCTTTTCTTTTGAATTCGAAGGTTTTTGTCTTTCATCCTTCGAGAGTCATCTAAGCATTGAACAAACAACGATTACAGTTTTGTAGATATAGTTTTTTAATATTAATTATCGGTATCGTTATTTGATACACAAACAACTGTGGCGTTATAACGCGTGCTTGGTGTTTAATTTTTTTTCTCTCTGAGAATATTTCCTTCCCAATGTATGATATAAATCACCGTAAATTGATTGCAAAGAGCATAATAGCACGGTTAGAATTTCTTTTGTTAAAAAGTACCGATATCTATAGTAACATGTTTAAATATAGTTTATGTATATCATGTAAATGGAAGACAGTGATTCGCCCCAACCTGCATTTGTATTATGTTTCAACATTAGTGTAGACATATAATTTTTTATCATTTTTGTGGTCGTATAGTTTTTTTTTTCTTGATTATATAATTTTTTTGTTCGATTGGATTTAGTGTACTTATAGTTTTTAACAATAATCATTTGTATAGGCAAGACATAAGTCTGCTACTCTTAATTAAATTACTCTGCCAGTCGCGAAACACAACTCGAGATATGTATAGTCGAACAAACATAAAATTAAGACGTTTTTGATGAACTCAAAAAAATTCTCGTATTCTACAATATCAATTTTTTGTAATCGTCTATAATATGTGTTGCGTTTCATCCAAGGATCATTGAAAAATCATTCAAAAATTTCTCTCATTGTAAATATTGTCTCTTTAGAAATATATAAAATTTTTTAGTGTTACTATAGTCCGAAGAGAGTCTAGACACTTTTCGAAGGAAGCTATTTTGTGAAATTGATGTGCTTGTTATGCGTCTTTTTTTTTTTTAATCACTCGATATGTTGATAATGCAAGTCGCGTAAAATCAATTTGTCCGAATTGTATCGGAAAATCGTTTCATTTCTACAGTCGGAAAACTAATTCAATACCATAAATCGATCGAATGCGTATATAATATATGTTTCTTCTCACCCGAGAGGGTACATGAGCGACAATTCGATGTTCCTCGTATTAATGAGTTTTCTTGATATGACGCAGTTAATCGAAAGATTCAATTTCTCATGCGATTTTTCTAGCGAGCGCAACGTGTCTTCGACATACTTTTGCATTAGAGTTCTATGTAACGGGTTTTAACAGTATATTGACTGCGCGTATAGTTGGCGATTTTCCTCGAAAAGTAAAAACGAAAAAATTAGCAGCAGCTCCGATTTCCTTCTCTTTTGTTGTTATTGTTGTTGTTGTTGCTGTTGTTGTGTGAGTGTGTGAATATTTTTGTATAATTTTCTCAATCGTTTTTCTCTCTACGTATTGTATTTCTTTAACGGGAGACGGACTACAGAGGCGTTAGCTCGACGGCCGAGTGACCCATTTTTGCGCGCAGCGTGGATACATCGTCCTCTATCCGGATTAATTGTTTGATTTTCTGTAGAGGAGAAAAAAAAACAAAAAGGAGATGATAATTCAGATGTCGAAGTAATGAAAAGCCAATGATGCGGCTAATACGAGCTCAATGATTATACTTACAGTCTGTCTGTCGCCAGGAGTTGTGACCCAGGCGTAAATCATGTAACCGGGTATGCAGAGCATCGATGACAGAGCCGTCAGCCAGCCGAGAACGTGCGACCACCAGGGGTACTCGTAGTCCAGGTACTTGATAGGTGTCCATTGCACCAGATTAAAGAAGAAGACTCCCTGAAAGGAAAAGGTCGCATTGATCGAAAAGCTGGATCAGCGCAGGGGCGGATATCATTTATTGGAAAACTTACAATGCAGATGACCGGCGTAGCGAAAACCCAGCAAAACTTCCACCAGATCATGGGATAGTAGCCGATCATCTCCTTGATACCGTCGTAGAAGCGATTGACGCCGAAGAACCAGCTGATGGCTACGCACTCGAAGAAGATGAGGAAGAGCAGACAGAAGCCCGAGACGGCGTACGAGTCAAGGATTTGGAAGATGTACATTCCGCCCTCGGAGATGCAGGAAAGACCGACGATGTAAGATAGGAAGCACACGATGGCGATGAAGATTTCCTTTCGGCGTCGCAGAAGTTTCGGCCACTCGTCGACCTGCGCGGGAGTATCATTGTAATGCATTCTTCAGTCACTGCCAAACGTAAACTCACCATTGCCGTGATGAAGCCTTCCATGGTGCAGAACTGCGAGTCGAGACCAATGAGCAACAGCATGAAGAAGAAGAGACAGGACCAGAGCGGCGCCCCGGGCAGTTGCAGCACGGCCGAGGGATAGGCCAAAAAGGCCAGACCTGGACCGGACGCAGCGACCTCGGCCACGGGTTTCTGCTGCTCGTGGGCCATGTAGCCGACCACGGAGAATATGACAAAGCCGGCGAACATGGACGTCGACGAGTTGACCGTGCAGACGATGAGGGCGTCCTTGTAGACGTTGTTGGTGAACTTGTTGTAGCTTCCGAGGGCCACCAGGGTGCCCAGGCCCAGGCCGTACGAGAAGAAGATCTGCGTGACGGCGTCGATCCAGACCTCGGACTCGCGCAGCTTCGAGAGATTCGGGCTCACGTAGAAGCGGATGCCCTCGAAGGCGCCGGGCAGCGTGATGCCGCGGATCAGCAGGACAGTCAGCAGCACGTAGGGGAAGAGCGACGTGAAGTAGACGACTTTGCCGGTCCACTTGACACCCTTCCAGATGCAGAAGTAGCACATGATCCAGACGAGCAGCAGAGTGCCGGCCAGCTCCCACCTGATGTTGCCGATGTGCTCGATTCCCGGGCTGATTTGCAGGGCTCGTCGTCTGTAGCACATTGCGTTACGTTACGCACGTTCAAAGGGTAAACGCGCGAAATAGTGATACTCACTCCCAGAACTCTTTGACGGGATCCGTGAGATCGGAAGCCGATACGTTGATGTGATTGAAAGTGCAAACCTTGACAAGGGAGTGGTTCTTGGTTATTTGCTGGAAGCACAGCAGATTCTTTCTGTCGAACGGGTTGACACAGTTCTTCGTGTTCCAGTAATTATTGCAGCTGCCCCAGGGTAGCTCTGCAAGCCCACACATACACACGCGTGCTCGCTCTCAAAACTCGTGTACATTTTTTATACGTATAGAGGCGCGCTCGCGATGATGAGCGACAAAAAAGAGCCGTACAAACGCGCACGGATCAAAGAGGGCCAGAGAGAGTGATTAAAACTAAAAATAAAAATATCGACCTTGCTGCTACTCTCTCTCTCGCCCACACACCGCGAGCGAGGCCTGCAGTGCATCGGATTCTTGCGACATGTACTCACCGCTGCGCATCGACATGAAGAAGTAGAATATGGCCCAGGCCAGGATGACGATGTAGTAGACGTTCATCCAGCAGGACATGACGGCGGCCGCGTAGCCGATGCCCTTGAAGAGCGGAGCAATCTTGAAGATGCCAAGGCCACCGATCGTCATCATCTGGCCCAGCGCCAGCTCCATGAAGAACATCGGAATGCCGGCGAGAATCAGCGTGAGGAAGTACGGGATGAGGAAGGCGCCGCCTCCGTTTTTGTAGCACAGGTAAGGAAACCGCCAGACGTTGCCGAGACCGATCGCCAGACCCACCTTACATACGAAAAATTATCGCGTTTTTTTATTTTGTTGACGCAAAGTTACGAGACTTTTGAGCCGAATAATAAAGACGTTTGGTCTCAAAAATTCCTACATCGTTTAACTTTTTGTTACTCGTTATTTTTTATAACGCGTACATACATGCGTGTGCAGCTTCTATAGCACATAATTTATGTGTAGCGTCCGAAGCTGTGCCGTATATATCGATTACGAACGATTTAACGAGGCTCTCGATATATACGGCGACTCGTTGTCCCTATTCATAAATATTACACTTCCCCTCGAGTCTTGTCATCGTATATATCAATTCGCCGTCTATGAAGTAAGCGCGAGCTCTGCACAGATTAGTCAGCTTGGAAAGTGGAATTTTTCGCAGCATATGACATAATAAGTCTGGCTATGCGCGCACAAAAGCCCTTAAAGTCTGTATCGTACATGGATTTTATTACATTTTCTCTTCTTCGATTCCGTTTCAACGAGTCTCGCAGGAAGCTGCGAGAGCTTCGATGCTCTCGAAATGCGTCGAAATGAGATTTTCAAAAGAAACGAAAAAGAAAAGAAAAAGAAAGGTACTCACCACGCTGAGAATAAAGTCGAGCTTGGAGCTCCATGTGCCTCGCTCGGGTAAATCCTTTTTGTTGCTTTTGCTCGTGATGACGCTGGACGAGCCTGCTCGTGTCGCGTCGGCGCCCGCCTCCGGGTCGTGCACGTCTGTCTCTCTCCCGCTCGTTTCCGTCATTTTGCTAAATTATATTTTCTATGTACCTCGTGCCTCTCGAGTCTGCGGGATTTACATGTTATGCGCGTGAATCACTAATTTCTGCCTTTATTCGTGTCATGGTACAATGCGCGTGTGTGTCTTACAATTTACTCGACAGCTGCTGCTCCGCTGCTATGTGCTGCTCCTTGTCGTCGACGTTTGCTCTCGCGTCTTTGCTCCTTCGATCGTCGCTACGTATAGACACTCTAGTTGTCGTCTCAGTTCTGTGCTCTCGGACTCGTGCACTTACGGTCCATAATGAAGCATTACTGCTGGTGCACCTGAAACACGAGGATAACATGCACAATAAACGACGGATGAAAAATTCCATTTTTACGAGTCGCTATTGGTTAATGAACGCGCTACGTTGTCTCTATCGAGTTGCGGCGAGCAGCAAATCGATGCCGAGCTGCCTGTGCCGGGGAACTATCGGATATTTATTGAAAAACGATTTGGCTCATTCTCTCACTCGGATTTATGTAGTATATCGTGCGCATCGCCTGCCAACTCTCCAACTTTTGACGGAAGAATATATACTTTACTTCCAGTTCAAGTAATTAGATCAATCATTTTATCAATTTATTTTACCTTTTGATTCTCTATTACTCATGAATCATCGGCATACTTTTCATCAAAAACTAAGTCAATTTTTCAATTTCAAAAGTGATGCTTAGTCAAGTCAATTGTAGAAATTTATGTTAACGATACAATAATTATGCAAATATGTGACAACACTAATTGTTATTTTTAAATGTTTTAACTTAAACCGTTGGACTATAAATCACAACTATTCGTTATTTTCATTTTCATGTTTTGTTAAAAAATGAATAGTAGTTTTACAAATATAATACTAAAAAATAAATACTTTGAAAAATGCTGGTAAACTGCACTTGACAGAACTTCATAAATTGTGACATTTTTGTACAAGACTCAGATAAATCAACCACTCGAAATAATATATTAATTCAAAAATATCATTTTCAAAAGCACAATTCAAAGTAATGAGTAATTCAAGTTTTTAAAAATATGTTCATTGTCTGATTAAAATTAATTTTTGTTAAACTTCTCAATTTACATTCGAAACTGTAACATAAGTTATTTGCACATAACAATTCCGTCAGTAGAGCATTGTATACTAGAGATTCATTGTATACTAGAGCTTGCTGATATAATTTGGTACTTGACATACATATAAACTCTCTTGGAGTGCGTATGCATACAGTCAAAAACAACATTTTATCTTTACTTGAAACTGGAAAGCAAAATATGCGAATTTGGCCTATTATATTTCGTGTATGAATATACTTGTGATGAACGTAAATACATCGATTTATCGTCCACGTTACTTCATTACAAGATGTCAATCGTCGAAGCTAGTGTAGACAGACGGTCGATGCATCTAGCCTGCATATTACACGATAGCTGAGAATTAATCAGTGCCAGTAGTCCTATCGGAAATATTTCAAGGCGGAATCCACTAGATTTGGATACGTATACATGCAGTGCCGTATAAATTTATAATGTACAGTCGCACAGCTAGATTCCAGAGATGAATATTTTCCATGTCAAACCTCATCTCGTAATAATAATAGTAATAACGCGTGCAAATGATTCTGATCGAGCATTTAGAATATTTCGAAATTTTCGCAGCGTTTTGACCAAGACTAACATTTTTGATGTTTTTGTTCGAGCTTTTGTCAGGCGCATAAAGAAAGGAGAGGATAAGCTCGTTCATCCTGGAGTACGCGTCGATAGGATAGGGCAAGTCGCGAGCTTGAGATGAAAATCTGCGGAAACCGATCGTCCCAGGCATCGTCGTCGGTCCACTTTTCAGGAATACAAAGAAAATGAATGTGTGTATAGCCTCTGGGCTCTCGAGAGGATGGGTAGACACTGAGAGAAAGAGAGAGAGAGAGAGAGAGAGAGCGAACTTTCTGGGGCGTCATAATCGATCTAGAGCGCAGCAGCAGTGGCAGTAGCAGCGAACTTCTAACCCCCTCGTCTCGTATATACTATATAGCATAGGCGAGAGAGAGAGAAGCTGCGAATTCGTGCATGTGAGTAGATGGGTTATATAGTGCTATATAGTCGGACGACTCCCTCTCTCTCTTCCCCCTCTTAATTGGAACGGGCATTCGCCAATCGACTGGCCGCGTTGCGACCTCTTTTCCACTGTCGACACACTGCCCGCCGTCCGACGATCTTTCCCAATCTACCATCCCATTACCCATTCGTATCATCAGAGAGAAGAGCGAGAGAGAGAGAGAGAGAGCGCAAACGTCGATCTCCGATGCCGATACACGTTCAAAGTTACATCGATACGAAATTGCCCGCATGTCGTGTCGCGTTCGTGTCGTTACGACTCGAGACCATCATCCGCCCTGAGTACCTCTTTTCTTGGACCGAAGCTACTCTTCGAGGATGTCTTTGACTTTGATGTATATTGACAGGACTTTGGGCAGAACTTCGGGGGTAAAAATCAAATGACACATTTTAAATTACTCGGAAAAAGCTCTAAAACTGTAATAACGAGCTTTTTATTTTTAAAAGACCCAAAAAAAACTATTATTGCTGTAATTAAAAGTCATGAGCGAAATGAATGGCAGACAATGTAAAATACGTACGCTCATTCGAGCTGTCCTATAAAATCATTCTCGATTTATGGCAAAAATGTGGCGTATAAAGGAAAAAGAGTTATGTATAGAAACGTGTGACACAGCTATACATTTACGTGCGAGCTTTTTCCTTCCTCGCTGCAGCTGAGCAACCCCCCGACCCACCATCAGCTACTTTTTTCCCACTCCCCCCACCCATACGCGTCAAAGTTTCAAGAAAGTCGTAAAGCGCGCGAGTAGCAACTTTTTTTGCGTCGAAACGTCGAGTGCTTCCGTCTTATCGAGCCGTATAATGAAGAATATATATACGCGCCAGGAAATGGAATCCATTATTGAACATAATTAAGGGCGTTTATAGAGCGCGCAGACAATTGGAAATTGCATCCCTCTGGCTTTTAAGATCCGAGAGGCGGCGAGAAGAACAAATAGATCCTTCCAAGCGACTTGGTGCGACCCACATTGTGTGTTGTGTACATATATAGACAAGTATAAAATGTGGCTGCAAGCAAGCAAGCAGTCAGCCAGGCAACAGGGCGACTTCGACATCCGATTCCAGCATACCAGTGGACGATAAAGGGGTAGCTTTTAAGACGTATTGTTGGAAGGAGAGAAGGCAAGCCGAGCAACATCCCCGAGCACCAATAAGTCAGTCAATTTACGATAATATATAAATCCTATGGTGAGGTCCCATTTCGATTTTTGTATACACGCAGTCCAATAATCATTGTTTACCCTTAAGCTTGTTTATTTTTGGTTTAAAGTTTTTCTAGACATCTTTGGAATATAAATGCCATTAATTCATGAAGATATATCCACCCGCTTATTCGGATTTATTCAAATTTATTCTGGGCTGTTCAAAATTTTTCATTATTCATTCTGCACTGTTCAACGTTGATTCTTTTGAAAAGCGAGTGTAGCACATTCCAGTGCACGTATTCTGCAGTCAAGCCACTTTCACAAATAATTTTTTTTTTTTGCGCGGTATAGAATTTACGAAGCATACTCTCTTGCATATACGCTTGGATTCATCGCAGTAGCAGAAACAGCAGCAGCAGCAGCAGCGGGAACTTTTTTTCATTATAATACAACCAACTCTTCAGTATATCGATGATTCCGATTCGAGCCACGTTTTTAATATACATAAATATAGTATGCGCACACATATACACAGGTTGCTAGAGATTATCTAAAATCGTTGGTACATTGTACGCGTGATACAAGTAGTATCAAGCTGTTGTTCTTTTGTCGAAAAAGAAGAGCCAACGAAGATGAGTAGGAGGACTGGAGGGCAAGGGGAGGAAGTAGGATGAAAAAAAAACGAGAGAAGAAGCAAAAAGACTCGACAACGGCGAGATTACAAGTAAGAGAGAAAGTCGTGTGATACAGAGATTGCAGTGTGTCGCTTATCCGCGAGATGATGATGTTCATATTCTCTCCCTCTCTCTCTTTAACTTTTTTTCTCTCTATCCTTGGAGTGAAGCCAGTTTTTTCGGCGTATAAAGAAAAAAACTTTTGTTATTTTTCTCTTTTTCATTGGGCGAACTGCTGTTACTACTACAACTGCTACTACATACTAGTACTACCACTACTACTATCACTACCACCAGTACTACTATCAAGACTACTACCACTGATGCAGTTCCGCCGTCCATTTCGCTGTCTTTTCTGTCTTGACGGAGTTTGTACCTTCTCATGTGCGTATACACTAGCAAGTATGAGTTATACTACTGCTGTTGGCACTCTTCTCTCCGGGTGCCAGAGTATATTAACACGTATACAGTCGCAGGTTTCCTTTGTTTTCAATCGCGTACTTTGACTTTTCTTGTGATGGGCCACTCTTTGCACCATTTGTCTTTTTGCATTATGTACGATATAAAGTCGAAGCTTACGAGCGACACTCGAACTCGTCGATTATGCCAGCAGAAAAGTGCCGTAGAGCTTTCTTTCATCTTTCTATAAATTGCAGTGCAAGAAGTTATTTTTGTCGCTCTTTGTCGGTGACTGCTGCTCTTGTTTATACTCTTTTCTACGTCTTTTCTCTCTTTTTTCTTTCTTTCGAGAGATTCGCAAAAAGTTCTAAGTAGGCCTTGTCAACGCCGAACGAAGCAAAAAGGAATCAATGAAGAATGCGCGAATATATTTGTTGTATGCAGGTTGTGGTGGCTCACTATAATGCAATGGAATGCAAGGAAACGCGCGTCTGGTATTTACGCGCAGGGTGGCTGTTCGCAAGATCCCAGATCCTCAGGAAGGAGAGAGAGAAAGAGAGAGAGAGAGAATGTATGCAAGTAGGGCCTAAGGCGGGGCGAAGGAGGGCGTTGCACGCCGTTATAAGTAAATACATAAGATTAAACTCAGCGGTAAGAACACTAATTATGTTATGACTAGAAAAGACGAGCTTTATACGCCGCAGAACATTTAATTGGAAATTTTCAAAATTTAACTTGATTAGCATTAGGAATGCGAATTTGAAATTGATGTGGTCATTAACACGGTTAGTATGCAATAATGTTTGAAGGCTAGAAGGAGAGAGTGAGTAAGAGAGCGCTAGAGAGAGAGAGAGAGAAAGAGAGGGAATAGGTGCGCATTAATATGCATGTCCGGCGGATGAGGGCATCCCCCTTTTCAAACTAACTTGGTGAAGCTGATACAGAGAGAAGTACGCAGGCAAGCACGACGATGGAAAAACATCACATCATCTTGAAAGCTTGCGCGTCTCGTAAAAAATTAGTCACTCATAGAAGAAAGGATATGCGGGCGCTTGTGTATAGGATGCCGTGGGAGCGCCGAAAAGTGGCCTAGTCCTGCAGGCGCTGCGAAGATGCATCGATGTCAGGTCCGGGAGTAAGTTAACGAACTTGAAGCTGTGGTCCGTGTGCGTGTGTGCATGTGTGTGCGTGAGCGAATAGTGCGTCGTTCGAGCGGGGTTTTAGTAAGTGAAAGCTCCAAGAGTGGAGCTTTTAGTATATTTACATTACCTGTGAAAAGCTCGGCTGGAGTGCTTAAAGGAAAGACGACTAGGATCGGGCAGGCCAGAGCAGTAGCACACACAATAGCCCCGTTGTACGGCAGCAGCACTGCTCTAGCTATTGGCGCTGCAACAACTGGATGCCACTGCTTCTCGTGTATGTTGTTCTCGTTGTTCGCTTGGCTGGCTGGATGGCTGCAGCGCGTTGCGCGCGCGCTCGTTCACCTCCCACCTCCTCCTCCTCCTCCTCCTTCTCGGATGCACTCCTGGACGCGCGAGCTTTCAGCCTGCACGCACACTCGCACTCGCTCGTAGAACTTGCGAACGTTGAACGTCCTTTTCCTTCCTGCTGCTGCGGCCGATGCAGAGCTCGATGTAGATGCGTGTCGGTGCAAGTCTATGCGTGTATGTATATGCAGCGAGGTGCAGGCACCCTCAGGCAGTTCTCGTACCAAGCTGGAGTCGCTGCACTCACACTCTCTTTCACGCCGACAGTGGGCCACTGTTTCGCGCGCAAGCACCCCTTCGCTCGAAAGCTCGGTCCCGAGTAGAGCGGTGCAGTTCGGGGCAGTCGTTCCGCAAGCTCTCGTCGCAGCTCCTCGACGCGTGGCGCACTCGCTAAATTATTTACTCGCTCGACGATTTAAGGCACTCGTTTGTGTATCGGGTACAAATTGGAAGATCGCGAGTTGGCGACGCAAAGATCGGAACGATAATGAAGCACGCGCACGACGCGACGAGAGGCAAAGCTCGCGGCCAACTGCGTTTCTCGACTCCTGCACTTGTTTGCTGCACTGCACTGCCTGCGCTCGCCAGCAGCAATTGGATCTATGTCTCGCTCGCTCTCCTCCGCGTCCCTCTCTAGCTCTCTCTCTCTCCTCTTCGGTGTAGGCCGACTGACCGAGTGCGCGACTGTAGCGCGTTTAACTAGTGCTGCTGCTGCTGGCTGGACTCGCTACCCCAGTCACCCCGTCGGTCGGTCGTTTGGTCGCGCGCAGCCGATGCATTGCATATCTCGTGGGAGACGGAGCGAGATGTGTCACACGCACACTTAGCTAACGCGTTGAGCGCAATAAGCCACGCATTATGCATTATATATGTTGCCTACGGTATGTGTGTATACGTGTCGCGCGCGTATATCGCCGATATATGTACCGAATCGGGTATATATCATAATCAGCGCGCTTGCCTTGTCGCCGGTGCAGGCCATCGTCGTCGCCTCAACCGCCGCCGCAGCCACGCGATTATGTATAAAAGTATCAGCATCGAACTGCCAGCAAGTGGCTGCGATACAGCTACATCTCGTATTATATCGATGCTCATACGTGACTCATTCGAATAATTTCGACGCGATATTCAAATACGTATGTATTCGGTGACGACGTGATGCACGCAGTGCACCATATAATCCGTTTACATGTATTATATATGTATGTGTCGATGTATATCGTACTGTGTATCAGTAGCAGCGATACTCGATGCTGTATAGGTGCGACGCGGCTATGATCAGCGACCAAGACGACTATGTAGGAAGTTCCTATATCCGGAGGGGCCACATGTATGCAGCAGCAACGTGACACCGATACGCTCATATATTCCTGCCACATCCGTCCCTCTTGCTACTGATGCTGCTGCTGCTACTGCTATTGCCACTGATATCACACTGCATCATCTGTACCTAAGTAATATTATTGATGATCTGTGTGTGTGTGTGTGTATACAGAGCAGCTATTTGCATGTGTATATCGTCGCATTACACATCTTTCTCTTATACCAGCGCACGAATTATCTTCTAACTCTGAAGCTTAGGATCTAGGCAAAGCCAATGTTCATGACAGTGAGATGCTTTTTCATAAAAAGCTTTTCATTGGCACATTTTTAAAATTTTCCTATCTTAAGTTTCCCTTGATGTTTTCAGAGTATAATTTAATCTAACCACCTTTTATCAGAAGAAAATGGAAAAAGTTAAAAAAGCAATTGCAAGTTATAATCGACGAGCTTTCAGTAATAAAAAATTGATTGATCCTACAGTAGCCGCAATTAATCGACAAAGTCTATCGAATAGCCGCACCAGAATAATAATTTCAATTCCCGACAAAGAAAAAAATTTACAGAAATTTACTCATAGATATTTCCTACGAATTCGTCAAAGGATTATATTGCTAGAAAAGACGGCAATACGCGTGTCTGTAGTAGCATCCCGTCGACTTGCGCCAAAAAGCGAGTACAAGTCATAGTCGCTCGTAGAATCGCAAGTGGCAAGAAGGAGACGTACAAGATTCTCACTGTTATGGGTTGCTGTATATATAACGCGGGCGTTCGCGCGCGCCCGGACAATCGCGGCTCATCCTCTCTTTCAGTCGACACTTGCCTCGCTTTCGCAACTCAATTATTCAGCGCGACGCCAAGCGCAACAGTCTCGCGCACGATTTTTCCTCTTCGATATAATACTTGGCAGCCGAGAGGCAAGTTCGCATAGCTGCGAGAGTCGAGAAGCCGAGCTTTTCGCGAGGCATTGTGCGCGAGAGATCTCGTTACAATGGAATATCCGCAAAAGCTCCTCTTCGGGCAGCGCCGACTTTAACTCACTGCTACTGACAACTTGACCGAATGCTCCTTTAGCGTCGAGTTCGCACGAGTATACCGAATAGCAGCAACCGCAGTCCATTTGCATTCCCAACTGCAATAGCTGCGAGCTCCTTACTGACCGAAAAAAGCACGAAAGAGCGATCAACTATAGGAAAAAAATCCTGGCCTCTACATATCGTTGTAAGAAAAATGGCACGAGCTGGTAAAAACGTTGCTCGGTTGGCATCTGCTCGTCCGCGCCGAAAGACGATGTAGGATAATAAATTTATAAGCTCTTTAATTAATATAAGTAGACGAATAAAGTTTGTTGCGCAACGAGCACTAGAATCAGCAGTCGCAGTGGACGCTTATAGTGCGTCTAATCAGTGTCGATTATACATGCGCACGCATACGTACATGGATCGAGCGACGAGTACTCGTGTGCGCGCTTACATATATACGTACGCTTACGGCATTATATACGCACGAGACCATAATGCATATGCGAGAGGGGAAGTTTCGAACGTGTATAATTAAAGCAATACTTAGTGCAGAATGAAATGATATATAACACTTGGCGGTGCCGAGCGTAGCGTGTCACCGGCAATATCATGAATATATATTTAACAAAAGACGAGACGGAGCAGCTCGAGGCCCTTACCTTGCGAACGAGAGAAAAAAAAAGCTACGAGGCTCTTCCTCGTCGTTTCGTGGCCTGGATATATATTATATATATATGTATATGTAGCCGTCGCGTGCGCTCGCCTACTTACATCTCTTTAATCGAGTCAAATTGAGCCTGCAGCCACCGCGCCGCAGCCGCGGCTTACATAGGTAAGACGTCGTCGTGTACGAGCTCTCGGAGCCTCGGAAACAACACATTACACCCAATGATGTGGCTTTTATTACGTCGTACACGGCTCGATCTCGAATGAACGTATAATGCGCGTACGACGTAGCTCGAGTCTAGCGGAGCTTTTCATCAATGTTGCCCGCAAGTTCTCCGCGGAAAAGTCGTGCCGCGGATTTTTTGCTCGTTAACTGCGCCGCCGTCTCGTTGTCGATGCGGATCGGGCGGTGTTGGCTGGAGCTCTCGCGAGCCAATTCAGCACGTAACACGATTTTAATCGCGGTATCCGCGCGCGCCTTCCAAACTTTGCCGTTTAATATACGAGCGTCAATGTCAACTTGGCAGCCGAGAGCAAAAAGTGCGCGAAATTAAAAGGATCGCATAGCTTCTTCGGGCAATATCGCTTGCTCTTAATGGGCACACGAGAGTCGCAGGTCTAACTCTCTCGAGCGCGTATCGTGTCTATAACTAAGTCCCCAAACACATATGCACGTGCTAATAATAACGCATTGCCGCCAAGCCGTCAATCATGGCACGGCAGCTATTTTAAAAGCTTTGTACTACTTCTCACGAGTAGCAACGGCGGCATCAAGGGGATGTGTGCTCGGCCTCCATCCTCCCGCGGCTCTACATCCTCGGATCGTCACTGCTGCGGCTCTTATTACGAGTACTAAACTTATCGTTTTGCGGCGCGATACGTCCTATGCATGCGATGTTTTGCGCGCGCCAAATGCTCTGGAGTCCCTAGGCCTCGTGCTGCGGGATCCCTATTCCCCTCGTGACCGCCTCCCACCAGCTGCACAGCACAGTGGCCGAGTCTCGCAGTCAGTTTGCACCCAATCTGCGCGCGCAATCCGTCAAAACTGCGCAGGTGACGACTGTACCGGCGTTATTCCACACTTGCAAATGTTGCACCGATATCAGCGTCTGCAAGTGTGTATGTGCCTACTGCTCTGCGCTAAGTGCAATGAGCCTTCGAAATGTCATGTACTATTCGAACTTGCGCTGCTCGTGATTGATTTCCTGCACACGATTGCGAAATGCCGTCTCTTATTCGTGATTTACCCGTAAGTTATCGCGCGTCGTGTACATCGTTTCGTCTACTTTTCGTGAATTGTTATTAATCGAAGCGCTGCTTGTTTTTAGGTTATCGATTGTTTAAACAGCTGATTTGGAGCACAAAGTCTAGTGATTCCCATATAAAAAAGTTACAAAGAAAATTTTAACAAAATGAGATTTGGAGGAGGAATGTTCGATAGACACGAGTTTGGCAAACGTGTCAGGCGTCTATTGGATGGCAATTATTCCTATCGCAAAATACTTGTACTGCTCATCATTTTTGGCAGTTTAATTTTGTATCTTGGCCCATCTATTGCTCAATGGCTATTTTCTACTAGAAGAGAACCCATTGAAGGTTTATACCATTCTTACCTAGTACATAGTTCTAATTATCAAATCACTTAATCAAATAACTTATATGTTTAGCTTACAACGATCATTGTATCAATGAAAAACTTGCTGGATATTACTTTGATGCGCTAGATTACAATGTTAATATCTTGTCAAATCCACCTAAAAAAGATGAAAATAAGTACCTACCGTATGTGGGAAATGGTATTTTTGGAATTCCAATACAAAATGAAGCATGGATATATGTAAAAAGTGGTAGGACTTTGTCTTTGCCAGTGAAATGGCAACCATTGATCGTTTATCAGATTCCGCAAGATGCTATTTACAGAGAAGCATCTGTAACAGATTATACCAAAGGTATAGTGTTCAAGTACCAATGCTTCCGAGATGGTTATCAAATCAGTTATCAATATTATGCTCACAGACTACACGAAGGAATTTTTGTTCAAGAAATTAAATTTTCTAATCCATTGTCTGTCTCTCATGAATTTCCTCTAAGATCTCAAGTAACTAATTACTGGACAGACTCACACTTAGAAACCATATAGTTAGTAAACTGTTAAGTATTAATCATGCTTATGAAAAAATAAATACTAATTTGATTCTTTTTGCAGTATGTACGTCAAGGGTACTAAACAAGAATTCAACTTAGCTTCTGGATATATTACAGTGCCCAATTCAAATAAAGTTATTGCAGTAGCTATTGTATATCAGTCTATTTCAAAATTTATTGAAGTAAAAGCTAGAGATTCATTTAAAATTGAATATTTTACAAGTATTAATTATAGTGAGCCCGTAATTATGGATCAATTTTCCAAAGAAAGAGATAGTGTTAAAAATAGGGCTGTTGCTGTAAGTTGACTTTTAAGTATAAGTGCCTTCCATTATTTGTATTTTCTAATTATTGATTATTTCAGGCTATGCAAAAAATTTTAGATGATCGTATTCATAAAAAGAATTTGAAGCAAGATCACATAAAGACATGGCAGCAGTACTGGAATTCTGGGTTTAGAATAAGCGATTCAAAAGCAAAAGATGCCATTAATGGTTATAAAATTAACTCAACAATTTATTATATATTGAGTCAAACTTCTAAAGGAATGCCAGATATAGAGAAAAATGTTAAAAATAATGAGGGTTGTTATAGAGGACATCATACTTTGTATGTATTTATTTTTTGAAATTATAAACAAAATTTAGTAATTTCTTATAAATTGTTTTTATATCTTATAGAGATGCACCTCGCTTATGGACAGATACTTCTACTATAGATACAATAAATGAATTGGTAAACTCATGGTTTATAACTATTGAAAAACAAGGATGTGAAAAACTTTTAAAAGGTGGTCCATCTGCAGTTTTACAAGCAATTGTTCTAAGTCTTGGAGGTTTGAGATTTAGCAGTCAGCATTTGGAATTCAATGTTGAACCTTCAAATTTGCACAGAGACTTTTTATTTAGGTAGTATGATAAAATCTTGTATCATTAAAATTATTATATTGTAACTGATCAATTTTAATAATTTCTCATCAAATATTTACAATCCAGGAGAATCAGTTATGGGAATGTCACGCATCTAAATATTTCTGTAACTGTTAACGAAGAAAATCGCGCAGTTTTAGCTGTAGCTTTGGATCGAAGTGATAGTATTTATTATGGATGTGATGCTGGTTGTCTAGATCCACCAGTGCCACTTGGCCAGTCGTACATTAAATTTCCTGTCAAACTTACTAAACCACTGACAGCAATTTTATACATAACTTCAGATTATCAACACATGCAAGAATTACAAAGTGCCTTACATCTCCGTTCTATTGATGAAGGTAACGTTTTATATGAATAATATACATTTAAATTGGTTCTAATTAATATAAAAAAATTACTTTATTTTCAGCTCCTGCGCACACTCATGATATTATGGCAATACACAAACATGGACATCAGTTAGGAGGTTTACCAACTTTCTTCTGGGTTAGCATATGTTTCTTAATAGTTATTTTTCATCTATTCCTATGTAAATTAATAGTTTCTGAGTATTGGGATACTAAGGGTCGTGGAAAAGTGCGTTACAATAAGTTATAATTTGTATAATTAAAATTTTATTATGATCTTGTTATGCCTTGAGTAAATATATAGTATATTTTTACAAAGTTATCATCTATCAATGAGAGAGATTTCCAGGCTGTAATATGTCGCGAAAAAAGTGCATGAATGAATTTTATTGTTTGTGTTATTGAATTTTCTGAGAATGAATGTTTGTAAGAAGATTTAAAACTGTTTTGCTCTTGAAAGTGAAAGTAAGATAATAATCATATTTTCAAAATAAAATTTGAATATAGTATTTGGATTTATTTTGGTTTTTAATAATTCAAGTGGATCTTATAATCGTATTTTTGGCAGTATTTATTTATATAAACTTGACTGAAACTCGTACATATAAATTTTTATAAATATGTAAATTTGGACAAGAGATGATAAAATACTGATACCATTGAAATATGTGCAATTGAAAAAAATAACTCATTTATTAAAAAAAAGTATTTTTAAATTAAAAATACAGAATTTCATTTTTTAATAGATGCCAATGTTTTATATTCATTTATATGCCATTATTAACTCATGCAAGCAGCCTAATTCATTATAAATACTTTTTTGCACCAATAATACTGATTGTTATATAGTTGTTTTTTTAACTTGCAATTACTCTTTTATATTTTGTCGGTACTAACTATATAATAAATCTTGTTCAAAATCAAAACAAAATAATTCAGTCACACGATTGTATATTTTCGATAAATATTGGAAAGGAAAACATTTCAAAAATCTAAGAACTGTCACAAAAATAGTTAGTCTATTTCAATTTATAATAATGTACATAGTGTGTCACTAATGAGAATTAACAGAACTATAATATCAAATTGAAAATTGGTGTACAACTGAAATCTGAATTTATGAAAACTTCAATTTATGATTTCAAAACAAATTAAAAATTATTCGAAATATTTCATGTATTTACAAGTATGAAATGTATTTAATGAAAAATGACAAATTTAAATTTTAATTATTTTCGCAATTTTACTGTTTTATTTCGATAGTGTTACTTGCTATAGCTTTATATACCATTAGTGTATGTAACATGCCAATAACATTCTGGCATATATTAGAAAGAAAAGTAATATATTCAGCCAATTAAAAAAGGACATTTTTTTTCGCAAGCGCTTTTTTTTGGTTTCGTGTTATTAATTAATATTATCCGCTGTACGATTTTGGTATAAGCATGTATTTTTGATTATTTTGTCTCTATGCTAAACGACAGCTATCATGTAATATTATATTTTTTTGGAAATTCACATAAGTAGTACATTTCGTTTCGTCTATAATTTATATTTACATGCTATACATTCAATCTCTAAAAGAGTACGATCATACATAAGCCGATGAATCAACAACGACATACTGTATAGTATATAATATACTTATGTTCATATTTAACTTCATACCATTTTTTGCGCAAAGTATACATGTATCTATGTATATATAATAAGTTGTACGATTCATTTTGTTAGTTTTTTAACGATTATACAACGAACGTGTGTGTGTGCGTCAAGTGCGACATAAATAAATAGCGCGGAGATTTATCCGCGATACGAGTTTCATATTTCATATATTTATAATGATCATTTAATGAATAACCGTATACTTGCTATATGTAACATATATTTATTTTAATTTAAAATTTTCGAGAAACGATTCACATTGCATCGCTGTATTATTTTTTTATTAAAAAATGTTCCAACGATACCGGCGTTTTCATATTTTTCAAAATTTTAATAGTTTCATTCCTTATAGTTTGAGATTTTTGCAGAAGATATTTTGGTTCAAAGTATCATTCTCTTTTTATTTTTAATTATTTACAATCGATACGTAAATGTAAAATAAAATCTTGTATATGCTCACTTTACATATATAAAAAACAGTATTGCTCGACGCATATATAGATAAACTGTACATCTTATATTTGATTGAATAAATTAAAAAAGGTACCTTTAACTATTTGTACAAATTTTTTTTATTTACAAAAAGGTACCCTGCTAAAAATTCGTCCAAGTAATATCGTGCATTGCGTTATTTGTTTTAGGAAACGCGTTGGAAAGACTTGACATACATGTGAGAATTCATCCGATTAAATTTGATTTGAAAATTTTTTCAACCGAAATATTGTTAAATTTCTGCATCGGTTCGAATGGTTCACTTTTGAGTTCTCATTAAGTTATATGGAACATAATTTGATGGAGTACTCTATGTAAATGAATAAACAGCACCAAAACATCAAAACGCTCTTTATATAGCAATCGCATTTCTATGCAACAACATAGCGTCAATTTATCATTCATATCTTAATCATTCAATATGATTATTTCAATTTTCTAATGTCAGGCACGACACAAAATCTTTATCATGACTTCCATCCACTCGTAACGCTTAATATATAATATTCTATGCGTCGGTTGCTCGATATCAAGCATTAAGCTCTCAGGCTATGTTAGCTTGTTGATCTTTATTTAGAATATCGCATGAATATATATTCTACTACTACTTTGACAATATCACCAAGAGTCTTTCGTATTTTTTATTTTACGTATTAATATCCTTAGGCTTACGATATATTCGCAGCTTTTTATACATAATGAAATTTAGGATGCAGGCATGACATCGTTCATTATTTACAGTAGTCAATGACAGATTTCAAGGTATGAAATATTTTTTATGATTATTTGTACAGATATTCTTGTTCTGCGTTAATTCGTAAAGACTATTCAATACAATTCATAAATATTTACAATTTATCAGCTAATAACATTTTTTGGTATTATTTTTGATTTTCGTTCAATCGTTTCGCTATCATCTACTCTAACAATTCTGATATTCTGATCGTGCAGGTATGCAAACACACCAAGGCTACGAACAACTTTAGACGCACGATATAAATAGACGATGAAATTTGTTTATAAGCGTTTATTTCTTTGGTAATGGAGAACTACAACGTTTCGTTGAATTTCCAAAATATATTATAAATTAAGCGGACTTAACAAAGACGAGTCATTAAAACGGCTACCGAAATTTAAAGCCGTATGAAATTAATTTGTGTTTTTGCACATGCACGCTGGAAAATGACAAAATACCCTGGCGTAGGCAGACGGGGGCGGCGTTCGCCCTATTTTGCATTCGCAGCACGCGCATTGATGCGACTGAATAAATAAACTTTAATGACGAGGCCTACATTATTCTCCCTTTCGCGTTCTCTGTAAACGGGAAACTCCGGGATCCAGTTGTGCTGTCTCAAAATTGTTTTTCCAACGAAAAGTCGAGATCCGAGAGAGAAGATAAAACGTTGGTTCACTTCTTCGGTTGATTGTTCGAAAATCCATATCTTAACTAACAATTCTTTTTTGTGCCTATGCAAGTTTTTTTCGACTAATATACTTTAACACTTGTACATTATTTCTATATCGTAAGTCAAAGTTACATAATTTAGTATATTTATGTACATATGCCCGCAGAATATCTTGTTGCCGATAATTATATACAATACAACATTGCATTATTTATTCTTTGGTTTATATTATTTTGATTTGAAATAATGAAAAATTCAAAAATTGTTTGTATTGGTGCAAGTGATTTGTAAAAATCTTGTATTTTTAGTCAAAACTATAAATACGACTGTATAAAAATTGTAGTCTGCAATAGCACGTGGAATGGGCAGTTTCATTTTGCATAAACAAAATTTTCACAGTAAAATCAAACTCTAAGCTTATTCAAAAATCTATAAGAGGCTTAATACAAAGCGAATAACACGACATAAAATATATCCTTATATATTTGTAATAGAGGGACAATTAACAAACGTTGTCAACCATATCATGTTTAAAAGAAACGAGAAGGTGAAGTGCGGCTGGTGACATAATAAGACGAATTGTCAACATCAGCCTACATGTACCGCTATTCAACAGATTTTATAATACATATAATATAATATCAGACAACTTTGGCTCTTTTTAGGACAGTATAATTATTTTTCCAGGACATGAGACGAATGTACAATCTCATTATCACACATCGCGTGCTGTGCTCCTTTCCGAATCTATATAATTAACTAGTTCCATTCTTCCATGATACGCGTTGCACATTTTCTCATTTGTTCAGAAAACACAGCTCAGCACAAGGGCAGGTGATTTTTTCGTGCGCCAAAAATATTGGATTTTTTTTTATAAATTACATTTATACTGATCCATGTTATATAGTCTGAAGCCTCCACATGTACACGCTATATACGAGCAGTAGCGCCTATTTTCACACACACATATATTGAGGACATCGATGATGCTGTTAGACGCGAGAATCGGCTTATATATATATGATATAGCTCCCCTGCAGCATCCTAAGTTCCTTGCTGATTCAAGATATATCTATACGCGTGTGTTTGCAGCTATCACGAAGCCTCGACACGTTGATGGCAGCTGCAGTGTCAAGAACTTTTTATTTCTTAGTTTTCTTCGCTTCCTTTTCTTTCGCGTCGCGAACAAAATGTTTTCTGCGTCCTGGCACCCAAAAGTAATTTATGTAGACTCGTATAACTTTTGCGTTTTCTCTACTGCCTCAGTGAAAATTCAATGAGGCCTGTAAGTATTTATCAGTAGAATAGAGTGCTTATTATGTATTTTTTTTAATGTTATTTACATATCAGTAAGTGGAAGACTTTTAATCAGGGCAGCTGCCATTTTTATTTAGGCTCTCTTACACTACTTCATATAACCGTGTGCTATTCTTCAGAGCGCGATTTATTTTGTCTCTCGCAGTAATATGCAGTTCATCATTTAATATTCAAAGTATACATTTATATGTTGGTTTGTAATGGTCGATTGTCGGACATGATGCTCAAGAGCGAGTTTTTATATTACTATAGGATTTGTCTTGGTCGTCTGTGTTTTTTTGATTTCGCAGTTTCTTTATATACAATAATAAGATGTCGCAAGAGGCTTTCGTTCAACGTAAGATTTTTTTTCCATCTCCTCACATGGCCGCATTAAACGCTTCTGGATAAATGAATCGCAGAGAAAAACGACTTTATAAAGAGTTAAATGGACCAAATACATGTATTGCTAAGCGTAGAGAAAAAGTTCTCGTTTTCTTTTCGCAATACGTTAAAATTTATCGATTGTATGTGTGTGCGCGCGAGTGCGCTGCATTTTACACGTTCTGCACCATACACCCGCTGTCGATTAACGCGAACATCTTCCTCGCCAGATATGCGAAAGAAAAATTATGAATAGTACTTTTGCTGAATCAGAAGTATTATTCGCTGGAGATTTAAAAAAATATTCGTTTCAGAAGAATAATTGGATTGATAAAAAAGAAAGCAAAACACTTTTCTCGGTTCAGTAGCTCTATCCCGAATAAAAACAATACTTCTCCTCGCCACTCCCTGTACAAATTGATTGACCTATAAAATATTTGCTTCGTCGGTTTCCAAACATAAAAAATAAGATGACTTAACCGCATTCAAAACTTGGGAAATTCGAGAGAATTTAAGTTTGAACAGGTGAGTATAATGCAAAGAGTAAACGTCTTGTGCAAAGAAAGAGAAAGTAAGCAAACGGGAGGGATAACAAAACAGGGCGCAATCGCTAGGAAGAGTACATCGTTTTAGGTAGTTAAAGCTGCATAAAGTCATCGACTGTCGGACGAATACATAAAAGGGAGAGGTCGGCACTTAAAAGTTGTTGCCCTGCTGTATAGCCGAAAGCTCCTTAAAGGCCCATTCTGCTGATTCGTGCAAATCTTTTACGATACTTTTTGAACTGCCGCTCGCGCGCGTGTTATGTTCGACAGGGGGTGATTTAGCGCCCGTCGCAACTATGTGTTTACATTCGTAGAGTGTAAAGAGTACTTTAATGTTTATTTTTCAACAACGAGTTCCATTGTTCGTGGACGTCTGCTTCGTTTCCAAATTGATTCGCAGGCACGCGCACGAACGAATACATAATCGCGCGCATCGACGCCAAGTCCCGTTGTTGTTCGATTCGAATCATACAGCATGTATTTTTCAATTACAAAAGCTGCTGAAGCACGCGCGCGTGAATCATTGTAGTGTTTTATCACAATAGCCAGCCTGATTAAAGAAAATATTAAAATTTTATCTTTAGAAAATTTAGACAATGACGCCAGCTTCTTTTTTCTCGTATTTTTCTTTTATCAATAGTCAGTCTATCGGTACAACAGATGTAATCGCAAAAAAAAAGAATGTTGTATGTGCACTACAGCTGCATTAAATCGTTTCAAATCTCAATAGCAAAGCTCGAAAATAATAATGATGATAATAGTAGTAATGATAATTATAAAAGTAATAAAAATTATAATTTTAATAATCGTGATCATAATAATAATAATTTATCGCCGCGAGTCAACAAAGTGGCAAGTCTAAATAACAAAATAAGTTTCAGCCAGCACAAGAGCAGGAGAAAAATTTACTAGGTTCATCCTTTTAAAGCCGTTTGAGTAAGCGCATATTAAATGCGGACTCGCGCAAAGCTTCATTTAATAAAGCTCGAAGACGCATTTGATGATAAAAGTACTCGCGCAGCGTAAATACATATCCGTGCGCGACATTAACTATAACTTGTCAAGCGAGAGCGCCGTAACGAGTTTCATTTTTCAGACGGAGCTCATTGAAAAAAGCTCACTGACATGTGTCGTCGACGAGTGCTTTGACGTGTTTGTGTAAAAACGCCCTCGGGGCCATTATCGTCGTCATCGTATCTTTCTCTCTCTCTCTTCGAAAAAGCAGTCGCGCAATACATTAAAAGGCAAATAGCCCGCGGCGATCCGCCGTACGTAATCAGACTGACAAGAAGTTCGTCGTCTTCTGGCCAGTCTGACACGCTCAATGCAACAAGTTGCGCTTTTTTTCCGCTCCCTTTTTTTCCACTTCAGACGCTGGTTTCGTTGCAACAGGGGCGAGAGGCATCCGACGAAGACGACGATAAGGACGCGTTGGGCTCGGGCGTTGCTCAGGAGGAGTCTCGAGGCGGCGCTGGGCTTCGTCTTTTGCGTCGTCTCGGTCTGGACCGATGCTACGTCGTCGTCGTTTCGCTGCAGTTTTCGGTCGTCTGGAGCGCGTCAAGCGGCACCTGCTGCTCAGCCTGCTTCGCGGCTTCCGAGTGCAGGTGCACTAGTGCTACCTAGCTGCGCTGGATTTCCTCACTGCTGACTGCTTGGTTGTCGATGATCGGTGTCTGAGATGGGGTCTGCTTCTGATCCTGTAGTTGTGTCACCGGCTTCTGTACAACAAAAATTATCTTTAACCTTTTTAACTGGCTAAATTTTATTTTCGTAAAATTGCGTAAAATTGCATTCGACTGACATATTGCGTGAAATTGCCTAAAATTTAATGGAGATGATGATCGCAAAAATAATTATCTGATAATAGAAATATGTAATTATTTTCACATATCAATTAATCATGCTCGTTAATAATAATTTTTCATCAACTCGGAACGCGGCAAATATACACATACATGCATGGAAGCGCGCGTACCGCAAAATCGAGAGCTCAATTTTCAAGCTGGAGGCAGCGTGCCTTTTAATTATTGCAGGATACAGAATGCACTCGATCGTTCATTTATTGAATTGACGAGTCAAGTCCAGGCGAGCACGTCAAATGAAATCACCAAAATCACTCGAAGCGTATAAAAGTATCGGACCAGCCAGTCACGCAAATTGTTTCTACGAGTCAATCGCGAAAGTGTTTAAAAGCGACGAGAAACCAAAAATGTATCAATGGAGCATCGTAGCATGCACGCATGCATGGTTTTACGAGGGGGAAATTGATAATTGTTGCAGCGCGTGACGCCGCTACACTGCGCGCGGTCTTGTTATTATCGATAAAGCTCCCATGAAAATCAAAACGATAACGACGCTTGGAAGTTTGGAACGTGTACGTAGTGTGCGCTCACGGAATATGTGTGTGTGTTTAACGCTATCGAAGTTGGAAGCTTTGCAATAATGCACTGGATAAACTTGAGCGCGCGTCGGGTTGGCGCGCCGAGAGCAGGATGATTTTTTTAATTAAAAGGGACAAACATGCGTGTGCTCGACACACCGAGTACGCCGATAAATAAGCTCCTGCATGCTCCACATAAGCAAATTGATTAACTATATGTGAACCTGATTACGCTGTTGAGGCTCGCCGTTGGTCGTGGCGTGTTTCGACCTGACGGGAGGCGCCGGCAGACTCTGACTGGCACCGGACGATGTCGCAGCCGTGGTCGTGGGTCCGGCGCTCGGCGGCGGCGAGCTCCGCGAGCCAGAGGTGACGCTCTGCATCGTCTGGCTGCGAGCCGCCGAGAACCTCATGCTGTAGCCCTGCTTGTAGCCGGCCGTTGACTGACCTCCGCTCTGTTTATTTTATCATTCGGTCGTATTGACACATTGAATTCGATGCGATCGCATTTATCGATAAGTAGTAATATCGAGTCGGGCTCGGGCTTGATTAAAACGCTATAGTTGACGCGAGAGAGATGATTTTTACCGCGATCGACAATCACCCGTTGCTACGCCCATATTCCAGCTACTTACAAAAGTCCAACCACAGCTGAAGCGCAGTCCGTTTTTACGGCATCGCGAGAGTAGTTCAACTTTTTATTTCATCCAGCTTATAGAGTACACGCCGCGTACCGCGAAAAGAAACATCCTGAAGGTTTTTAAACAAGAAAACTCCTCGAGGCTGTGACGAGAAGAGCTTCTTGTAGTAGCAACTCCTTATGTAAATTTTTTCTCGTAAACCGTTAAAAGTTAGTGTTATGTTAGGGAGCTACGCGCAAGTGGCACACCTTTTCTTAACGCTTCCTTCGTCCCCTCTAACGGCATGTGGTAAATTCACCCGAATCTTATACCGGAGGACTCGTTTACTCCTTTTCATAGCGGAATATATGTAGCTCTCTCTCTCTCTCTCTCTCTCTCTTCTCTAAGTTATGCAAACAGAAGGCAGAAGAAGCGCGCGGCAAGAGCGGCAAAATGAAACGCAATTTAACGTTATCCACGTTCGCTCGCTTTTTTCTATAATAGATGTACATTTCTGCGCGGAAGTAAAAATCAAGCTCCTTCAGAGGAAGAGTGGAAGGAAATGTTGTTTTTCGTTGGAGTGGCGTAGAATCACGCATAGCCTATACGCCTTCGCAAAAGAGAGAGAGTTAAGCCGCCGCCTGAGCGCAATTGTACATGTACGTTATAGCGGTGGATCAGAAAAGAAAGTTTTTCAAACTCGTAACAACGTACATGTTTTATGCCAACAAGCAGCAGTAGCAGTCAATGTAAATAAAAAAAAAGAGGACTGTAGCTACTTCTCTCTTTCTCTCTAGCGCTGCTGACGTTCTTTTTAAAGCACAGAGATATCTAATATACGAGCTTTGCGGCGCGGCAAAGCTCTAGCATCCTGACCCATACACGCATAATATATAATATTTACTGTTTATCTTGGGAAATTGCTCGAGTCAGCTGTGTGGCTCATACAACTACTTCTGCACACTTTGCGCGCCACAGCCGCACGTTTGAAAAGTTATGGAAAAATATTCCCTCGTATTATTTTTAGCCCCCGCGCTCGCTCGAGCCCTATTGTTGATCTCGCATTTTTCGGTGTAATAAAAACTTTGCGTTAGTTTTAGTCGCGCGCGGGCACGCGCACGAAAGAGAGAAAGGAGAGTCGACAAACATAACACTAACTTACGCCGCAAAACGACGAAGCGGCCCGGATACCATCGAGCTCAGTGCACATACGTGTATAAGATAGGAAAAACTTGGTCTCCCTCTTTTACTCTTTTTTTTTCTAAGAGATGAATGTAAGTTGCTGAATATCAGTCGTTTATACGCACGGTCAAACGCAGCTATTGCCACGCGCGAGTTATTGTCTTCAGGTCCACTTTATATGTATGGTATACGAATGTTCACTTACGTTCATTCCTCGGATGTTTTTGTACGGTTGGAACAGGACGATATAGACTTTAGGCGTAAAGAGGCAGCCCAGCGCCACTGTGGCCGAGATGTTGATGCACATGCACATACTGGCTATTTGAATCTGAAACACGCAAACACAAGAAGCCAGAAATAAGTCAATAGTTTCAAAAGTTTTTACATACAAGAGTCATCAAGGGCGGGAAAGCTCTCGCTCGAGTAGCTCCGAGTTCCATTTGGGAATTTGTGCATGTGTGTAGGCGTTTGCGTCATCGATGCTCAGTGCGACTCGAGTAAATGCGTGTATACGCGCATCAAAGATATCCCAGCTCAAGCCTTGCACGTGTTCACGGCGGGAGAATTCGCATAACGTATAAATTATACACACACGTAAATGCATATTCACTTGTACAGTCGAAGCGCGAGTACCTTGCCTGCTCTTCGTATAACGCACGAGTAAAGTTCGGTGCGGAAAATTAGTCAAGTTCATGACATGTACAAGGCAAGTGTTGTGCTGCCGCTGCTGCCACTAAAGTTCGCAGGGCAAAATTTTTTTTTCCCTTCTCCTAGTTTTTTTTTCGAACAATTTGTAATTAGGCCAGCAGAGTCTGGCGCGCGCCGTGAGAAAGTTTGATATAAAATTAAATAGCTCACGCTCGGCCAGACTTGGCGATAAAAACAAAGAAGATCAAAGTTTTAGCGCTCGGCTGCGTGTCATATAATATAGCCCAGGTTGGGGAAGATGTATTATGGTTTTTGCGCGGTTTCATTATTCCTTGTCTCTACCACTGCGAAGCGGCTATATAGCTTTTTTTGTTTAAAATATATCTATATGAGTACACGTACGAGCGCGTAAGCGAGAGAGAAAGAAAGAAAAGTTGAAGCTGCGAAAAACTTGCGCACGGCGGAAATTAGCGATAAGACGCCGAAGAAAAATCAAGCGCAGAAGCTCAAACGTTGCGGCCTTAAGCTGAAGTTTTGAATGATGTTTCAAAACGTCTTGCGCTCGCGTTCATTAATATTCAACTCACCAAGTGTTAACAAAGAGCCGTGCGATCTAATGGTTTGTTGCCGCGCGCGCTCAAGTACCGAGTTAATAAGTATCTTCGTTAAAGCGCTACAATTTTTTTCCTCTCTTTTTCGTTCTCGTCAAGTAGGGTTTTGCGAGATGAGAGACCGGAGAATGAAAGAGGGAGAGAGAGAGGGAAAGATGTATGCCAATGCGCTGCGCAGCACGAGTTTCGCAGCTGTATATCGCCCGAAAGATAAGCAAACGATACCGCTCCGATAGGTGTGCCAGAGCGAGAATGAAGATACAGAGGGTCGCTCGCGTGGATTTGCATGCGACAGACTGATTCGATCTTTTTCAGTCTTATATACTCGGCTCGCGTACTATCCATCTTACTCGAAGGCACAAATGAAGATAAAAAGGTCGCACATTTTGCCTAGAATTTCCAAAGTGCGCAGATAGCGTTAGGTGTATAGAGGCAAGGAACGACGTGGTATCTCTTTCTCCCTTCTGCCTATGCGCCGCGCGCGCGACCTCAAATGAGACCAAATCGGAGCATCAATTTTCCACGCTCGTACAGTCAAAGGCAACTTCACTCGCTCGTGTACGCGTGGCTTTCATCATACATTTACACTCGTGTGTGCGTAGGTGGCGAGGAGAAGGAGCTCAGAGAGCCAGGTGGGGGAGGAAAGAGAGTACCATTACCCCCGTCGCTTTAGTTATTTCTCTCGTAAAATAGCTCGAGAAATTGACGCCTTCGAAACGTGTTTTCTACCCTTTTTGCACTTTGGCTTCGTATCACGTTACCTTGTAATCGTTGTTCGTGCCGAAGTAAATGGGTATGAAGGCCAGCCAGACGATGCAGGTCGAGTACATGGTGAAGCCGATGTACTTGGCCTCGTTGAAGTTCTCTGGTATCTTGCGGGTCTTGAAGGCATAGAGGGTGCACATGAGAATGAGCAGCATATTGTAGACGAGTGACATCATGAGGGCGAACGTCGACACGCGACAGGTCAGCACGGCTGTCAGTGGGTACGGATAGATCTCGCTTATGTCGGGCGGCTCGATGATCAGCCAGATTATCGCACCGACCAATTGCACCGAAGTAATGCCTGTGAACAAAGGAGACAGAGAAAACAAGGTTCAATAGTCAGAATTGCCAAGATTGTACGTGCAATATCCGGAATTTTTGTGCGATTTAGTTTAGTTGACGCTCTGGAAGTGCGCTGAAAGATTACTTTCCTCTCAACGTTCCCCAGTGGGTAAATTTGAAGTAACATTTGTTGGCGAGCACTCACGGACAAAACAGCTGCCGATACTCGCAGAAACAGCCTCTCGAAATGACCGCTCGCACGAACGCGGTGACAGTTACGTTACACAGTTCTGAATGCCAAATAGCGAAGTTTGCATTTTTTTTCAAACTCTCCACATCGACGCGCATTATTGACGTTTTTCGCTCGCTGTACACTATTATACGATGCGTTTGACCTCACTATTATGTATTTTTTTCCATTTTTTGTTCCAAAGGAAATTTATGTATAAATTTCATCCGCAGCCGGTCGCACGCACATTGTAAATTACGCGGGCACGCGCGCACGAGCGTGCTGTACGTAACGTTGCCAACGCGCACGCCGAGCGTAATAAGTTACTCCAAAACAGTTCGCGGGAACGTCCGGTTATTTGTCCTCCCTCTATGCATATACGTATATAATTTCGCTTCATTGTTACAGTTTTATCGCGAAGCAGATTTTGCCAAGGGCAGGAACAAATATTGCGCGTGCCAGTTTTCTTCCCTCTCGAGCTCCCCGTATTTATTATTGCGCGTGAGACCGATAAATGCGTGATTCCCCCCGGGAACGCATTTAAAAAGTTCAATCGAAAGTTAATGAAAAATTTCGTGTAGTTGGCGAACGATATATATTACGCTTCGCTTTCGACAAAGTTACAGAGATACCGAGTCGAGATTTATAGATATAAAAACAAACATTTGATTTCACGTTGTCAGGTGAAAATAGCTTTTCTCAGCTCCATTGAAAAGCCAAGTTCTATAGAGTCGAGTGAAGAAAAGACGCGGAGGGTCGTCGAAACGACGTTACAGCTGCATCTGTATACAGCTCGGACTTACGTAGAGTCGCAGATAATAGAGAAAAGATACGAACCTACTGAAATGGCGACTTGACTTTTTGGCGAGGTGTAGGACGGCCGCTTGATGCTCTTCCTGCCCTGATTGAAAATTCTCGAAATACGATTGGTCTTGGTGAGTATGGCGCTGTAGCAGAGGCTCAGGCAGAGTCCCAGCCCTATTCTCAGGATCGTGCAGTTCCATTTCGTTGGCTCGGACAGTATGACGAAGCTCATGCCGTAGCAAGTGAATATGCCGACGAGCAGTACGTAGCAGAGCTCACGACCCGAGGCCATTATTATCGGAGTGCCGTTGAACCTGCGCATACAACGTGACATACATATTCGTTATAATGGCTGACCAGTAATAAGTTTACACTATACCAACTGCGATAGTACTTTGGGGAGGAGAATTCAGCTCGTTTATAATTGTAGATATTTCGCGGGCCAGCTGTAATAATGTATAACAGAAGGCGCTTGTGCACGCGTATAATAATCGCATTGGCAAACTCGACCTGTTGGGCGTTATTAATCGCTTACCTCGCATAAAGAGTACACGCGAATAAACAGGCCAACGGCGCTAGGACGCGCGTGCCAAACTTCACGAGAGCAGCAGCTGCTTTACATACACTCACGCGCGCGCGAGCTCGTGATCTCGATATGCAAATGTTTTACCTTAACGAAAACTTTTGCCTTCTACAGCAGCACCGGCACCAGCACCAACACCATGAGCGTCTGGACTTATAAATATAAGCACAACGTAACTGAAGCCGGACTAAATTACGCGACGTTTTACATTGAGATGAAGCGATAAGTTAGTGGTAATATCAGCCTCTGGTCAGCCGCAAAGTAGTTTTTCATTTTTCGCGTAACAAATCTCGAAGTAGGTTCGATTAATGTTACGAGGCACGTGAGACGCCTTATTATAAATAATCGTTCGAGTTGCAGCCCGTTGCCTAGGTTAGGCATTGTGGCGTATACGGCGCAGAGGACAAATACGCCACGCGGTTCGATTGTCGTTGAAACAATAGTCGGTCGAACGTTCATTCAGCTTGTCAACGTAGGTACACGAATGTGTGTGTGAGTGTGTGCTCGGCTGATTCTTGCTCACGCGAGCGCGATACCCTCTAGCGAACTTTAATGGCTTGCGATTCAAAGCTCGACGCTCTGTAACAGCAGCGCTAGCTTTACGAATCGACAGAGTGGGAGCAGGAGAGAATGTCGTGGAGCTTTTATAAATAGGTGAGCCATGCCGAAGTTTACGCTAGGTACGAGGTGCGCAGTTGTTTTTGCCACCCGAGGCGCTGCATTGAAGTCTTCTTGTCGAAAATACCGAAACTCGATAGACATGCTCGCAGCACAAGCTGTAATCTAATTGCCACGCGTCGCGTACGTGTAGCTACTACTATACGTATATCGAAGCCGAGGGCCAGCTATCGCGTACACCGGCTGAAAAGGATCAAATTGAATCATTCGATCAGATGGCGGCAGGAGCACGAGCTCTGCAACCGAATTGACTTATCTCAGCCGACTCGCTTTTTAATTAATAGCTTTTCTGCTGGATGCTTTTTCACCTATGTACGTACACGTACGTGTCCGCAGCGATGCGATCGAATCGTCGTGCGTGCTTACCAGATGAAGACAGCCGCGGTGAACAGGGTGCTGAGTATGCCGATGGACGAGTAGACGAGCGGCACAATGGCCCAGGGACTGAGCCAAGATATGACCTCCGCGTCGAGCTTGATGCAGCGGCTCTTGGTTACATCTGGCGCGTATCCAGGCTCGCATCTGCGGCAAGTGTCGTTGAACACGTACGCGTCCTCGCGACAGGCCACGCAGCTCCAGCAGCATGGCTCCTGCAAAAGTACAAAGCACATAAATATAAATACAAAACGGATATACCCGATCGAATGGGAAATAATGGCGCATTCCCACTTCTTCCTGAGGCTGTACCTTAAAGCCGCGATGATAATAACTCACTCACCCGTGAGAGCCGAGAGCTTAAGCGGGCAAAATAAAGAAAATCAAGCTGGTGAAATTGCAAAGCGGAGTAACGAGTACGAACTACCGCTGCTGTCTGCCTGCTCGCCAGCCTGCGTGTACTACTTTTTTAAGCGTCTCGTCGCGGACGCTGCCTGCCTGCAGATCCACCTTGCTGGGGGGATTTTGAAGAATTTATGAGATGGACTGGCGATGTTTTGCTCTTATTTCAACCGCGAGATTTTGAAAAATTTCCTGCTTTCAAAGGACACGCAGAGATGCTTTTGACTACTGTACATTCTTAAACTTGAAACTCATCTTGATCCTGTTTTCCACTAGCAGTTAGCCGTACAGCTTGGTCGAGTTGAAAAAAAAAAAAAAAAAAAAAAATAACGTACCTACCGAAATTGGTACAGAAAGAAATCGACTCACAGAGGTAATTTAAAATTGTCTCCCGTTGCAAGGACAATAAGAAATTACAATGCAAAAAGCCCTCGTATTTCCGCTATCATTATTTTTAATCACCGCGTTCATTGCCGATATATATAATAGAGGGAAAATAAAAGAAGCTGCAGGGAGGACTAGGCGCACACCTTTGGCACTTGCGCTATATGCGGCGGTAGACACTCGCACAGTGTAGCGCAATTATTTCTCACCAAAAAGAAAACGAAGAAGTACACGAGACGAAAAGCAGTGCTAGTTGTAGCAACAACAACAGGGGTATATAGATAACAGTCCGCGAGTGAAGCCATTTTTCCGTAAAGTTCATCTCCGCTAATGGGAAATACTTCAAAGCCCGGGAGAGCCGTTCATCCCGTGTTCCTTCCTCCTCTATCTTCCTCTTTCTCTCTCTTTCTCTCGTACATCTGGAGAAAAAAAAGAAAGAACTAGACGGCAGAAAGGTGTAGTGCAAGTGCAACGCGTGTATCCTTGTGTATCCTACCTGTACACTTATACACACGCGATATTGCGCGAGTGCATTTTAGGCCACCGAAACAATAATAAATTTTATTTTCAGTCATTTCTTTTATCTTGACCAGAGGAGTCGTGCAAAGGTCAAGCCACACACGCACGCAGTAACTTGCATTTTTTCTCCGAAAAAAAGAATAAAGCATAGTCGTGAAGTTTACTCTGGTCGGTGCGCGCACTTTGCGATCTCTTCTCTTATATATCCCACACGCTCTTTTTCTTTTCAAAGCGCTCGACTGACCATTGTTACAAAGCTTTGTATGAAAAGCTCTGCAGCTCGCAGCAAACTGGCCTAGCTAGAGGTCAATTTGTTAGCTCCCGTGGAGGTGTTGGGTAGAGGGGCAATTTGATTCAAGCGCGGAGAACACATCCTCGAGGCAAAGAAAACTCCTGGCGCTTATTTTTCTTGAAAAGCAAATTAATGATGGTCTTCGTCGCGTTCGCGCGAGTCCACATACTCTCGTTCTCGAGATTTACGTCGAATAATCTCGTTATCGAGCTTGCGCGCTTCAATTCATTGTTAAGCTGTGCGTTTTGGTCGTTGGCCAGAAAGAAAAGGACACGACTATACCGAGCTGCAAATGCAGGAAATTTCTAGACTTTTTAATATACCGTCGTCGTTGCGATTATTATAAACGTTTATTACAACGGATTCGGGTTTAATAGATTTCTGCGCGAACTCACAAATTTATATTCTCGAGCTCTTCTTCAATATTATGAAATAACACGATTATGAGATATGGAACGGAATACATTACAAGACTTGCACCACGCCTGAGAGGCTACAATAATAGCGACGCTTCACTTCATCGCCAGTCTATTTAATGTAAAATACAACAACAAAAAAAGAAAGAAAAAGAAAAAGAGAATAAATTCAGAGTAGTTTCTGAGATCTTTATCTGCTTAATTTTCAACCGACTTTTCAAATTAATTCGACGATACAGTGTTTATTTTAAGTTTCTTTCGGCGCCTTACGACGACTCGGTCAATCCTCTTTTACAGTTGTCTTTTACGTAAGGTGAACAAAAACGATTCGCTAAGTATTTCGCGTGTCTCGTTGAATTTATACGAATACTTTATACACAAGTGGGATTCGCTTGGGTGATTAAACTAAGCGAGTCAATCATTGTTACTGCTTGAGACGGACACAAATGGTTTGGGGGAGATTAAACTGGCAGCAGTTGTTGTACAATGTATCAAACTTCATCGATGTAACGCAATGATTTGTTAACCGTTTTGCATGGGGTCAAAATCAAACACGATGGTTATATGTTGTAACATCGATTTTGTTGGCGAACGCTAATTCTTGATGTAAAGAGCCTTGCCTCTATTGGCAATGGGATATTGGAGAAATCGCATATACAGAGTCACTACCGATGCAATAAAAGCTCAATCTCTTAATGCTTTGTACATTTCATTGCGCGCCGCCTTTGCTTGGCTACTAAAAATGCGAGGAAAAAACGTGCAATCGTTAAGTTTTATTGTTCTTATATCGAGAACTATATACCCCATCAAGTTTAATCGCGGATAGATCTTTTACTTGTGTATAAATTTAATCACCACTTAATCAATGGATAAAAAAACCCTTTTGGCGCTCCATACATAAATCGTTCGAGCTTTGCTGACAAAGAAAAAATATGTACTTTCGTTTCGTTCAATAGTCTCATTCATTCCTCGCGAGAGTGAAAGAGAGCCAAATTACACTCGACGTTTTCATCGAGTCAATTGTACGTAGAACGGCTGGTACTTTTTTTTTTGTTTTCATATATATATTGACAATAGATACGGGAAACGACGGGCGATATCGATTGGACAAAATTATTATCCAAACGCACGGCCGTAAAACAAAAATATCTATATTGCTCAAATGTAGCTTTTGTATAGGCGTAGCTAACAAGCATGAAATTCATTGACAATAATGTCAAAGCTTTTTTGCCGCTCAGCCACCATCCAGTAGGCCTGCTGCAACCGATCGAAAAGCTTTTGCTATATACAAAGAAAAAACCAGCCACGTTGGTGGATCATCGCTTCTAATCTCGCGGATTAATGCATTCGTTAAAAATGCTCTCTGGCTCGCAGCAGCGCATAAATGCTATATACACATGGTAATTCTTTATTGAGCACAAATAAAATCTTTTTATATACAAACTATATATAGCAAAAGCGAAATCGCAACTAATCGCGGTCGTTAAAGGCAGAATCATATATATAGTTAAGCGCGCGCATACGACATATCGAATGATGCATCGACTCTACAGTTTTATCCTCGAGATAATAAAAGAAATCGAGTCTCGTTCTCGGTCGTAAAAAACAGAGAGTGAAACTGCGCTCGCCGAAAAGTTCCTCATGCCGATCGAACAGATCCGTCAAATTAAATGAAAAATTCAAAAGTACATATAGCTCGAAGACGGAAGAGAGATAAGTCGCGAGCCGAGAAATGCGATTTGTTATCGCTTTGCTCTGGATTCATAAAATCGACAGGCCAAGATTGACGATAGAGCTGTGTATATGTATATAAGGCAGCGAGCTACAAGACCCAACTAACAATGCCAGCGAGTGATGAAATTCGGGTATTGTGTGTACAAAGCGAGCAAAGCGGCTCCTCGTAAATTCTCCAAGACACTATCTGCTAGCCAGCAGCAACAGCGGCAGTAGCAATAGCACTAGTGAAACTGCCTCGGCAACATCTCAGTATTAATAATCGAGCGAGCGAGGCTCACGATGATGCTCAGCGCTAACTTATATGATGACCATTATTCAAACTCTCGGCTAAAGTGAATTATAATCTGTACATACCTGGAAATTTCGTATTTGACCGAGGGGACAGTCGTCGCTGCAGATGCTCCTCGGTATGTGCTGCTCACCGGCTCCGGTCGCCCACTGCGTCATGTTTATTTCGAGGTCCAACCTGTCGATAAAACGACAAATTGATTGAATGGCAATAATACGCGTAACGAGAGGCTGTGCCACTGTCTCGAATGATCGATAATTTCATAGAGGCTTATCCCTCATTCAAAGTTCGGGCTAATTGTTTGATTGGCAAAGAGGCCCTTTTCGAAATATTCCGCGCGTGCTCGCTCGCAAATAAATTTCGCTTGAAAACATCATCCCAATTAATCGCCGGAATGAAATATAAGCCGCTGCGCGGGCTTTTTCCCATTTTCCACGGATTGCGGATAATTCAAATGGAATTCGGAGTCTCATCAAAAGCATTACTGAGTTTAATGCCCGCGAGCCTCCAGTCTTCCTTCCCCCGCCCGCGGAGTTCATTAAATATATTTTAACGAAGTCGCGCAAATAATAATCGAGGCTTTTCTTGTTTTTCGCATATATATTTATTATATGCCTTTAAGGAAAAAAATGCATAACTTAATAGATGCATTAGACTCACCTCTCCTTCCAATGGCCGATCAGAGTGTAATTGTATCGTCCATCCTCACCCCGTTGGTACTGATAGATGTTGTAGTAACCGTAGGCGTCGCCATCGGCGTTGAATTTAATTTCCGTGCCTTGTCGACCTGCAACAGACGACCAGCTCATATAACGAATCCCCAATACAGTACATGATATCGTATCCACGAAAGGGGTAATTATTTATCGTTACGACACACGCGGCATGTCGAAATTTTCGCTGTCGTTTCGACGAGTCAGCGGACTGAGGTACGTTTGTAAGGAGTGCGAGAACTATTTCTTCTCTCGGCTTCTCGCGCTCTCAACAGAAGAAAGATGTGGACTTTTTCTATTCGGCACTACCCAAAGAGTTGTTTTTTGACGCCGTTTTTCACAAAGGTAATTCAATGTGTCCCAAACACGAGCTTCGTACATTACTCGTATATTACTCGTTCTCAATAGCCCCAGACGCACACGCGCGAAAAAGGAATTCTTTGTATTTTTTTTTTCGACGAAGAAAACTTTTTTAAATCCTCGGTTGTCAAATTAGCTTTTAAAATTGTCTCGTGCTTGCAATCAGCGTTAGCTCTTTTTTAATAAAAATGGCTTAAAGCGGGTGTAATTCGGACAAAGCATGAATTTTATTAATAAACTCGGGTAGTCTATTATTCAACGTCGGAATCGAGCACACCGCGACAGATCATTGAAATTCCAGTTAATGCGATTTGCAGTACTCTTCATGTCCAGTATAGTGTTTCACAAGTCTCGTTTCACTGAAATATATGTATTTAAATTTTAATGCTCGTTTGCGTAGCCCGCAAATTGTGCGCGTCGAAGAAACCGATACTGGACGAGAGAGTAAGGCGCGGTAGTGCAGCCAATCTAGGACAATTTCGAGGCTGCTAAAAAGGCGGCTCGTTACGCTGCAAGCGTTGATGGGAAAAATAATTGAAGCCCGAGGCTCGCCGCAATTGCACAGCTCGTGCCTACGCGAAAGAGCCGCGTGTCTATAATATAATAAAAGATCGGCACTTTGCGGGGTTTGATGGCCTGCACTAGCTTAGGCTTCTTGGCGCTGGCTGTTATTTATATATCACGCCTGCGAAGCTCTTTTGCCGCCTTAGCTAAATCAACTTTCCTTTTAATTTACTCGGACGAACGTCGGCGGGTTTGTTGCGCCAGCTCGTTTTTCGGTCAGCGACAATTTATCCGGCTATATTACTACTTGGAAGTAATATTGCACGAAACTGCTACTTTTGCACGTGTAAATAGCTTCGTGTCTAGTATCAATCCTTTGTCGAAATTTTCATTCCAGCTCGATCGGTTTTTCGCGATTATCTCGTCCCTCTCCCCTCGGCTCGGCCGGTTTACGCGCCACTCGTCAAAGTAACGATTTCACATTAAATATAACGGCCAACCATACACCCCCAATCTCTTCCTTCGCGTGTATACGTATACGTATATACGTTCAACGTGTGTCAATCGATTTTCATTTTTTTCTCTCCCAACGCTGTATCGAATACTTTGCGGTAGATTTGAGCAGCAGCAGCATCGTCGTTGTCAGCTTGGATACTAAAAGCTATTACTTATATACCGGCGCGTCTTTTGACTCTGCACGCGCGCGCGCGCCGCTTATATTTTACTGCGGCGATAGCAGCTTCTTTTTTTTCATCATAAATCACGCGATTCGCTTGATACCAAAAATAGATTGGCGATTACACGGTTATACGGCCGACTCTGTATATCGATTCTGCGTCGGTGCATGTATCGGCTTACCAACGAACGTCAGATTGCGAATGTACTGAAGCAATCGCTGGCCCTGCGGCGCTGGCTCGAGGTTGGCGCACAGGTGGTGCACCTCTCCCACGCAGAAGTCGTCGATGACGTTGTGCACACCGTGTGCCATTGCGTAAATGGCGTCAGCTGTGAACAAAAAATATATTCCGGATTAGAAGAGAGAGAGAGAGAGAGAGAGGATTTCTCACTGAGCCGGAAGTAGAGGGAAATCGGATTATATTTGCTCTACACGCGATAAGCTCATAGCCGGATGTTTTTTTTGTGTAGGGACGATTAAGGCGGTGCAGCCAATTTTTGGCTTTAAATAACCAACAATGGCTTGCTCGTGAGTAATGACGTCGTTCGGTTTGGGCTTCTTTATACTACTTAGCAAATAAATCATTGAGAGAACAACTTTGCATTTTGCAAGAGCTTTGGTGAAAAGTTATGGCTCAAAGCGCAAAGAGAGCATCAGGTAAGATATTCTATTAAATCAACGCGAAAAGGTATATTTCAGATTTTACCTGCGGATTATTTAAGCTCAAGCACAAGGCAAATCTGAGAATCATTTGTTACTTTCATTGAAGATAAATTCGTTCGAATTATTCTTAGCCTTAAATAAAAGTTTGCATCGTAGCGAAAGTGCGACCTTATAAAATGTAATGAAACAAAAGGGCGTAAAAGGTCAATTTCGGCTTAAAAATCGAAGAACAATTCATAATATAACTTGGTCGATTTTGTGTATTATATCGAGAAAAGAGTTGAAAAAGAAACCAAAATTTTCACTTTATATTTACGTCGAGAGGCTTTCCCGATAACCCAAAGTACTTAAACAAACTTTATGAAAGGAAAATGTTGTCGTTCCATCCTATTACCGATTGTTTTCATCTCGCGCTTTGTACGAAAAATATGAGTCTTGGCTTTTATCGCGCAGCAAAAATATCACTCCGAGAAGTTCACTCTGCAGCGATGAAATTCGAATTATCGGAATCCATTGAATGCGCTTTTGTCTGGGACCTCTGTCTCTTCCACTTGGCACCGGGCGCCATTATTTAGGTCGAATGTTAAAATCGATCTCTATATAGCGCAGTCTGTGTCTGTTATATACTCACCGACGAAAGGCACGAGGCCCTCCTGCTTGTAATCGACGAGCTCCTCTTCGCCGGTGCACCTCTTGATGTTAGGATCGAGGTGGAAGCTACACTTGTGATGCTGCTGCCAAAATTCGCGAAACCAGACGTTACGACAATTGACGAACTTATCGGGTCGACTGGCGTGCGGTATGAGGCGGTCGTGCTGGCCCTCGCACTCGCTGCCCATGCGCGGCACGAGGCTCTTGTAATAGTTGTCGAAACCTGTGGAACACATGCACGCGTATATATAGTAGACTAGCGCAATATATGCCTCGGAGTTATGAATGTGCTTTCGTTCGTCGAGCGTCGATGTGTTTCGCACAGTACGCTGAGCTCTGCGTGCTCTATGAATTGTGAAGCGCGCGAGCTAATAGCGCTGCCATCGCGCAACGCGGCAGCGCTGATTTATGGACTCTTTTTAGTTATGCGCCTCCGAGTGCTGATCAAAGATTCATGGCTAAATATCCATCTTCTCGTGGAGAATGTTTTATGCACTGCGTTGCCCTTGCACCGAATAAAAATCAATCAAATAAGGGGCGCACTACGGGGCCGGATGGGAGCTGTGTGCGCGTCCCGGCTTCATGTGTCAATCATCGATCTGGTGTACAGGATTTTTCATATTACCGATGTGCATCGAGTAGTCAAGTTAGCCGTTCAAAAAAATAACATTTCCCAAGTATCTTTGAGCATTATAAGCCACAAGAAAAGCAGTTTCAATTTCCTTTCGTAATCGAATCGTTTTGTAAAGTATAAGTGGCTCGAATATAAGGAAGAAAAAAAATCTTGCGGAGCAGTTATTTAAAGTGTCGGGTCTGAAGAACCGAGTGAAAATTGAAGATGGCCCCGGGCTGCTGCAAGCTTTTAGCAAGCCATAATAAAAAAGTATAATATAATGTCGAGACTCTCGCTCCGTAATGTACAAGGCAGATTGGAGCAGCCTTTGCTCAAAGGCTTCGCGCGCGCTCGATCGATGCGCTATTTTTGAGATACGGAATCTTCGATATAAACACACCGGTACACAATACGTAAGGTACTTGCACGGAGCTACTTGAAACAAACGATAGGCTTCTGGAATAAACTTCGATATTACTTGATCGAGCAAAGACTTGAGCCTCCGCGTCGCGCTATACTCGTTTATCTTCATCTAGTATCTTGGCGGCATGCGAGGCAAAACAATGCGCGCGCGAGCGGCCTCGTTCTATCGCTCGAATCTTCTGCGGGATGGTTCGTTTGTCCCGATACGATTCGCGCACTCGGCAAAAGGACAATCGCTTCGAAATGCGGGCGTCGACGCGTAATTGTTTTTCTCCACCGGGCGAGCTCAAATCGTTTACCTTCGAGTGAATTACGAAAAGGCAGGATAGTGATGGCACCCTCGGCGGCGAACTCCTGCTCGCGAACCGGATGCACCTTGGCACCCCACGAGTCGCTGCCAACCCACATGAAGTGGCCAGTTTTGTTGGCCTTTATAGTCGCTTGCAGTAGTTTTCTGGAAAAAGCAGAGCAAACAAATAGTAGAGTCATTAATTGAAGTAGCCACTGTAATCGGTTTATTGATTCTTTTTTTTTTTTTGCTACAACGTTAACTGATTTTCGAACGTGTTTACTTTGCTTTGTGGTTACTATGAATCAAAGAAAAAAAGCAAACGAACGACTATAGGAATTTTTTATAATTAGCCTTTCTTTGTTTTTAGATGAGCTCAAGCTTTTAGCTAATCTCTTAATTAATCTCAATTCATGAGCGTTACAAAAATGAGCTTATGCCATTATTCTATTACGCTGGTAACTTGTTGGAAATTCATGACGCATTTCACATGAATAATTATTCGTGTTTAAATCCCTCCATTTGTAATAAAAAAAGTTAACTACTTTTACCAAACAGTTTGTATGTAAATCTAATGCTAAACTTGTTTTCAGTTCGATGCCAGAGATACAATCGCGTAACATACGCGTTCTTTGATGCAGCTAGGCAATGCTAATTAGAAAAATCGTTTGAGTGATTACTTGATTGATGACGGGGAGAGCAGAGAAAGGACAAAGCGAGTTCAAGAGAAAAAGAGGGAAAAGTTTTCAAAGAGAATAGAGCAAAAGTATCGGTAAAGTGAAAACATACACACAGCCTGGAGCGTTACACATACGTGTACGTTCTACACACCTAGGAATCGCAACGAAACTCATTTCCAATACAAATTTTCAATCAGCGCCCCTTATTTGATCGGAACTTGAGCCAAGAATTTTTCGATACTTCCGATCTGAAGGGCAAAAGTTTCAAAAAGAAATTTTATGAAATTATTTATCGTCAATCGATGGGCGTTCGACCGAGAAAATGCCGAGCCCTCACTTCTGTGGAAAAATGGATCATAATTTCAATCAAATTTTCTATCATCGCGTGTACATTGTATACCGATGTAATCATCATATGGCAATTAAAGTTAGCTGAATGATGAATTTATTCACGAAAATTTTGAAATATTCAACTATACGCGACTGACCTTTCGTAAATTGAAATTCATTTATACTACCCGTGGTCACGATACTACCATCATATGAGTTTAATGTTTGATAAATTACTTAGACGAGTCATAATTAATGGCTTGAAAATTAAAAGAACGGCGAATATAATAGTAGAAGCAATTTATTTTTCAATTAAATAAATTAACATTTGCACTGCAACTTGAGCTAGGTTAATTGATTTGCTTTTTTGTTGGTTTTGCGTACGAAAAATGATTGTTAAATTGTTACTACATTCATCCTTCATTCATTTAATTACCAAACCACCTGGATATGGAACTGGCGAAATTGAACCGGAAAAAACTAGGCGAGGATATAGATAAAGTCTGTTTAAATAACTCGAGAGACCATCTCGTATATCTTGTACATATATCTCAAATTGGTCGTTGAGGACTCGAGAGCGTACACAAGCAAAGCTCCGTTAAGATATATTACATAAGTGTTCGGCCATTTGTCTTGATAAAACCGACGTGGCGTCGAGTGAATATTTGATGCGAATCCGGGGTCGCAGTTTGCGTTGCTGCTGCAGCTTTGGCAAGTATCGAGAGCTTCCTTAAAGCCTCATAATAACTCGCAAAAGAAGCTAAATCTTGCCGTTGTTCGATGAATTTATCTGTGCAGTTATACAAACTCGCGCAAATAAAGAGTTTGTTAACGAAAAACGCTCAACAATTTGAAAATAAAACGAGCCGCGAGCAGTGCGAGCATAAAAGTACACTCGTTAAAATATCGGGAAAGAGAATTTCTTTGAAGACCCACTTGGGGAAACGAGCGATGCAGGAGCGCGCGGGGACTTTGTTTTGCTCGTTAAATCGAGCTTCGCGCCCGCCCCGCGATGAAATAATCATGGCGGCATAAGCTCGAAAGTCCACAGCTCGGTGCTTCAGGCTGCGTGTATATTTTGACTCTGGTGGCATACTGAATAGCGAAAATGCGAGTACATGCATTCAGTATTTGTTGCGGAGTAGTTGCTTACGAGGCCTTTAGTGTGTACGTGTATGCATATCGCCCTAATAAAGTCGTCTTCTGAAATGAAAATCGATATTTCACGTAGATATATAAGCGCGTGGCAGGTGAGAGAAGTCTGAGCGAGCTAGCGAGTCACTACGCCATTAAGCTCACGCGCGTTGGTTTATATTATAAACTTTGTACGCCATATAAATGGCGATCGATCGCTCACCTACGGCTTATACATACGTGCCAATGGTCTTTTATGCCGCATGCAGCGCGACTTTTACAATAATAAGCGTCGCGCGTGCGAGAGAGAGAGAGAGAGAGAGAGAGAGAGAGAGGAAAGAAAACGCGTCCCCCCGCGATCGTATCTCGCCTCGGCGCTATTATACTGCCGCACGGTGCCTCTATAGCACGTGTACCAGTGGTAAGCATGTATACGAGCGACCTGTGCACTCTTAAAATTGAGAATCCATCTATATAAATGCGCGCCCTGGCTGATCCGTATCTGTGTTTTTTGCAAATTTAACGAGCAGAAATAACTGGACCGAATATACAATTTTACGCGCGCGCATTCCGTCTGCGAGCGAGCGCGGCAAAGAGAGAAAAGCTCGTGCTACCACTGCTGCTACAACTATAGCTATATATATGTTTGGTACCTGGGAAAACTAGACAATGGCTCGATCCCCGTCAGAGTTTGTCGCGTGGATTAAAGCGCGCGCTGCACGTCGAGCGACAAAAAAGCGAGCTGCAGAGGCTAAAGCCTATTGAAAGTCTCGCAGTGTGCTGCTGCTGCTGCTGCTACTACTCCGCGCTCGCTCGCACACTCACAAGCGTACGTGGAAATTGTGATTAAATATTTGCCACTGCTTGGTGTACCTCTAATGGACACTATAAATAAACGCCTCGGACTGCATCGCTATTCAACATGCCCGCCGCCCGTGTAAGTGGCTCCAACCAAAAAAAAAAGTGGAGTCAAAGTTTACCACTGTCGAGGTTTTAAGCCCATTGGCCCCGGAAAATTACTCTCCATTCGACAGTAGCTTTAAGCAACTTTTTTTTATTGTATAAATTACTTCGATTAAATTGAAAACAACACGTTCATTCGAATATAATGCGAGGCAATCAGCGTGCGAAAGACAGCTATTTCAACGTATCCTTAGGCTAATCGTTTGCTCGTTTGCACGCTAAAATAGAATCGTGCGCGCAATGCGTACAGTGGCAGCGCGTTATATAAATAATAAACACATAAAGTCGGTTGCAGAGCGAAATGCAGAATTACACTCGTGCAGTTTGGAACAATTATATATGTATATTAAAATTGAGCATCTGCTCATCCACGAGGATTAGAAACTTTTGACTAATTACTTTTACTCTCGTGCGCAATGAAATGGTTCCCTCATAGCACATATTCTCCCTTATAGCACACACAACCGCTCATATATTTTTGGCATCAGCTTGCATTTGTGAGCACTCAATTCTGTTTATTCGCCATATAGCTCTCCTGGAAAACTGGAACAATTATATGACTATTTTATCGCAGCCAATAAACTTGAATTTCTTGAGAAAATTGAGCACATGTTTCACTCGCGCGCAATATCTGCCAGATCCTCCGCGTATGAAAATACGATCTTGTCGTCGCAGATGATGGAATCGATGCGCGACGCTTTTTTCCTCTAGCGGATGACATAAAGGTGAGAGGCTTCGGATCGTTGCAAAGTTATTTCAAGACTTTTTTTCTTTCATAGGGCGCTTTGTTAAGAAACTTCAACTTTTATTGCGAGTTTTTTGTGTAGCTGATTGTTTCGTTTCCTTTTAAACGATACAAAGCGTGCCACGCACACGTGCTTTCGAATATCGCTCAATGTCAGATTAGCCGTACCGGTGATTTATCGGCAAACTTCTTTCATCCTTTGGTTGTTTTTAACCAGGAGCATCCTTGGTTAAGGTTTTAATTGACAAAAGATGACATTGGTCGCAACGCACTATACACCGATCCTGTATTCCCATGAAAATCTATTTTTTGTTCCTGATAACTTTTTTCATCTACAACACCGGTGCACGAAAACATATTTCATCGATGATACATGAATCGACGTAAAAAATTGTTCGACGAGATATAGCGTTGCCGCGAGGCAAAGGCAACAGCGACGGCATCGACAACATCAGCATCAGCATCAGCAGCTGTTGCTGCACTTTTTATTATTCACATTTGCACGGCGAAATCATGTAAATGCTAAACGCAAGTCGAGAACGAGTGGCTTGTAAGCCGCTCCCACGCCTACTCGTCTCGTCTTTATAAAAGTGTATTCTGTATAAGCTGAAAAGTTGAACAAAGTTAAAATTTTTTAATTAAAAAAATTTTAACGTCGGATTTATCGCTCCTCGCGACCGCGTGTCGTTTCATGACATTTTTTTATGTTACGAACACGCACGCAGCTCGCGAGATGTCGTAAGTTATTTCGTTTTATATGAAACTGTCACATTGAAAAAAGAGCATGATTTTTTTAAAGCCACTCATCGGTCAAAGGGAATCCAATAAAAGGAGGTGCAGCGCGCTGGTACATGGAGTCGCGAGGCACACGTAATGTCATAACCAGGGCGCGCGACTCCGCACATGGTGATGAATCGAAGAAAAGACAGCGTCGCGCTCGTACGAAAAGCTCTTAAGAGTATTGCAACTCGTGCAGGGGAGGATGGAAAACAAACGGGCAGCACTTGCACGAGGCGGGGGCTGAGTTTGTAAATTGCGTACGTTGTAGTTTTTTTCTCTTCAGCTTCCTCCCGACTTTACCAAGAAAATGGAGAAATTTTTTTACAGCTTCGGGATTAGTGTCCTGAGGTCTGTGCCGAGAGATATATGAAGTATTGACGTCACGTAGATCGTTTTCTTTCGTTTCGATCCTTCGCTTTTCCTTACTTCTCTCCCTCCCTCTCTCTCGCTTTCTCTTTCGCCTTCTGTACCTTTTTGCTGCGAGCCCGCATCCTAGACAGCGAGAAGCTATCAATAGCGTATTTGTCGATGAAAAATGTATAAACCAATCGAAGAGCGTAAGCTGCTCGCTTAATGCCACGAGATGGCCAATACGTTGTATATAACACGCTTGTGTGTACATGATTGCGAAGAAGAGGGACGCGTCGCGTTATGCATTTTCTCTCGCTACATCAAAGATACGTGCCATTAATAATCATAGGATATTCCTGCCAGCGAGCCAGCCTCGCTCGAGCTCGATAAAAACTTGCGACTCCAAGCTTTGAGCCTCGAGCAATATAATTAGAAAAAAGAAAATATTTTCGCACGCATTATATATACTGCATCATAGAAGCTGGATGAGAAGAACGAAAAGATTACGTGAGCTGTGAAGATGATCGGCAAGGCTTTAGCTTTTGCGACAGTTTTTTCGAAGCCGATGCTAGCGTATAAGTATAGGGATATATATACCGTAGAGTACACACAGAGAGAGGGAGCGAGTAGCATGCTACATATATATATAGCGGTCCTGCGTTGGACTAGATATCAAAATCGATCGAGCTCTCAATCCAGAGGAGGGCTCACTCTCTGCGGGAATGTAATTTATGAGGCGTCTTGTTCTAAAATCCACCAAATCCGTTTTCCATAAGGCTGATAATCGAGAGAGCGATCGCACGAGCGCTGAATTCTCTTTTCATCTTGCGTCCCGTGCCCGCATTACGTACAGGCGCAAGCTCACACGTATAAATGTTTAAGGAAAGTAGAGAATGCTGCTTTCGTTGTTCGTCGGATATATTTAGCAAGCCTAGATATGTAGGATGATATTCAGTGGCTGGAAGAAGACATTTGGCGGCATTTGGCGCTTCTCTCGAATGCGTGACGCGCGGATCAGTCGAGCGAAATTAGCGCAGCGCCACGCCTAATGAGCTCGGACGTCAATTAACGCACGAGAGAACATTAGCTGCTCCGCCATGTACGGCCGATCGTTTCTGCATTAGCGTAATCAAACGTGTTAAACGACTCGTATACGCGGGGAGCGCTGGCAAACTTGGCGCGTGCGATAACGCATATGCCGGCGCGTTATCCAGCTGAAATCCGACCTCGCGCGAGTTATCGAATTCAAGCTAGTAATGTATTCGCAAGAGGAATAAAATCTCTTTTGCATATCACGCGCGTATGTAGCGATCGCAAAAGGCGACGACGACGTTGTGTGTATAACATTATCACAGGTGCAGTACACGCATGTATGTACTATATACGTGCAGACACAGGATTCGCGGCCCTGATACGTCAATCGCAAGTGTATCGATATATCGTGTGCGCGCTCGACGTTTCCAATACGTATAACTACTAGCCAGCAGCATCAGCAGTAGAGACTCGTATACGCGGCAGCGAGTACGAACCATAGGCTAAACTATACACATACACACAGACACGTGCATACACATAAATCCAGCCTAGTCACGAAATTAAAGTGTATATGGAGAGCCTGGGAGAGTACGAGAGGGATGCGGTTCGCTTCGAGCTTTGAGTGTAGAACGATGTTGCCGCGCGCCGTGCGGAATTGGCTACTCTGCCAGCGGACCAAGTTATATTTGCCGCTTCCTGCTCTGCCCCCATCGTGCCCATATAGTAGCACCGACTGTGTACACGCCGCGCGCGCGCCCCAGCTTATACATACGTACACGTATACGTACATCCATTGTATGTGCATGCCTATACATACGTATAGGCGTGAAGCAAATCCACCTTTGCAAGAATCGATGCTGCTCGATTTACTAACGTCCGAATGCCTAAGTAGGTAGTTCGACGCTCCTACACGACTCTCGAAAGTTTTCATCATATATTTATCGCGCACACGAACTCTTGATGTCTTGCGTATTATAAAAAAATAACGTTCTCAGCTTTTATTCTGGGCCGTTTGTGCGGCAATTTCATTTTTCACCGTGTCTGCCCTCTTTCTCACTCGCTTGCTCCTGAAATTTTATGTTTCATTGTAAAGCAAATATTTGATAAGAATTTACCGTGGAAAGTACCCATTCTGTTTGACTTATGTCGAAGCTATGTACCGACTTCGGTTTTTACTCATGTTAGCCTGGCAAACTTAGTTTCAAAAAATAATCGCGCTCCCATGTTGTTTTCTTCCTCTCAGTTCGAGCTTTTTTTGTCCTCTCTCTCTCTCTCTCTCGTTCTAAAATCCATGCAAACTTTAAGCAATATAATTTTCAGCTCGGCAAACGGAAGATGCACTCAAACACAGGGCAAACCTCTTGACCCGATGTACTTTTTATATGTTTTCTCAGCTCCCCGGGGACTTGTGAAAGGAAAGTGTAAGGAACATTTCGAGAATCTCCGGACACCAGTGCAGAGAGGCAGAGACGGCAAAGATTCAGTCTCGCACAGACGTTTGCGCAGGCAATATATATGTCAAATAAATATTTATGTGTCGTTTACATATACATACACGCAAGCTGCGACTGCTTTATCTTAGCAGTTAGTTCGCCAAGTTGAGCTCAAAGGCAGACGGTTTTTTTTTTCAACCAATTCAAATTAGTTATTATGCATATTCATGCGATTCCGCATATACCTAGAAAAAGGGAGTCTCGAAGCAACAAAAAGCACAGAAACAAAAAAAGCTCATCTCTGTCCTCGGTATGAATTATAAATGTTGCGCGCGTGTACGTGCCGTTTGAAAAAGTCGTCGCCTATATATGCATCGGTATATAATACAGTCGGGGCCGCTGTGCGCGCTGCAGTTGTAAAGGAAAAAGCCAAATGATAAATTCTAAATTCGTGACGAGTGAGATATTATATTACTCGACGCTCGTCCGCGAGTCATGAGTACTATACCTAGAGCTACATTCAATATACTCCCTCGTGCTACATCAAAAAGTACTTGGAATGTAATATCACTTGGCCCGAGCTCTCTTCGTCGAGGCGACCAGCCGTAAATATACGTCGACTTTCTGGCATAAGGTGTGCGTCGCCTACGCGTGCCCCGTGGGCCTGCTGCATATGCAAAGTACTTTGATCGTTTTATTAACGCTTTTTTTTTCTCATATTCCCAGAAATCAGGACGCATGTGCGCAAATTTTGTTTCAATAATTTATCGACTCTCGTGTAGCAGTAGCAGCCGTCGATTTAGTCTATACGGGCCGGAATTGTAAGTTGGCCACGCGCAAGCAGCAGCGAAAATAACCTAAACTTCGGGAAAATATGATCGCACTAAATTCGGGAGGCAAAAAAGTTGCCGCGCGCTGCGAGCGTTCACGGCGCTGCTCGTACAATTTATGTCGGAATAAAAACCAAAGCAAAACATTTTCGCCCATATGTATGAAAGTTTTTTTCGGGGAGGGTGAATCATTCACGGGGGGACTACCTCAGCGATTTTATATTAGAGCTCGCTAGCGAAACATATACAGGCAATCCATTCGGTAAAAAAAGCTCGCAGCCTGCGAAAAGCTATGCAGTCGTTTACCGCAGTTCCATACGATTCTCGCTTTTCGCTTGTCACTCTCTTTCGCCCGCGCTCGCTCTCTTTCGCTCTCTCCCGATAAAGCTACTACCGCGCGCTCGCCGAGTTTCCGCCAAAGAGTCGTTCATCAAAGCTCGCTTTTGCTACTGCTACCGCTGGTGCCACTACTGCCGCTGCTGCTGCTGCTGCTGCCGCCGCTGTTGCCCTCCCTTATATCTTTTTAGCCCTGTGTATTATGTACTCTAGCTCTCCAATGAAAAAGAAAAAACGAGAAAAAGGGGAAAATGTATGTATAAAGCAGTAAATCGATAGCCACGCAGGCCAGCGCAATTCACGGTACTTTTAAATCGATGCACAAGATTCTCGGGCGCGCAGCTGACAAGCAGAGGCAACGTGATTTCCGGCCTATGACTGACTTACGCTTGGCACGGATAGCGCCGGAGAGAGTCAGAAATGTGTGAAATGCCTCGGTCCAGATTTGACCTCGAAAGCTCGATGCTGCTGCTGCTGCGCGCTCTCGCAAACACATATACACATAGCTATAGTTGTGTGTAGGCTTTTTGCGCGTGTGGTGCGCGGCTTTTCATTACGTAAGGGAATCACGTCCACGCGCCGGGGCTGTGTATAGAAAAGCCGCTTTTGCAGCGAGCTCAAAGCTGCTCGAGCGTATATCGTTTAAGGGTCACTGAGAGTGTGTGCGTGCGTGCGTTTGTGAGCTTGATTCCAGCTGCAAAACGAATGCAGCCTAACTTTCCTCTTGGAGAGGATCAGCATCTTGGACCTTAATTTACTTAAGGGCTGTCGCATAAAACAAATTGTTTTTTTAAACGCTTCGCCTTAAGAAATGTCTTTGTATTTAGACGGCAAAAAGAAAAGCTAGCACGTGGAACTTACCTTATATTATCCTCATCTACAAAAAGCACGACGCCGCGGGCGTTGCGTTTTGAGCTTAAGTGTTCGACGATCCTCTCAAAGTCCTCGGGCTTGGCATTGCGCATGATTTTTTCACTGACCGCCACGCAGATGTTGTACTCGGCGGAGAGGGCGACGAAGCTCGCGATTCCCTGTAAAAAATTAAAACGAATTACTTAAGAAATCTCTGGGACTTTCAACGCATCGATCGATTTATCACCACTAATGTAACGAGCGGTGGTTACATTGCTATTTGTCGAGAAATTTTTCATGCACCTACATCACTACAGAGCTTCGATACTTTGTAAAATTGAACGACGAGAGGTATATGTTTCGTGTGCACTACCACTTCTAAATGATGGATGATCCTGTTAAAGGTTCACACAGTGGCGTTTCGATTTTTCCGGGGGAAAGTTTTGTTGACTTTTTTTGCTCCCGATAGCAAAGAGCTTGTAGATAAATGTTTAGCTTTACTATCTTCAAGAGTGGTGCTATTGAACTATAGATTATATGTAAATTATTGAATTTTGAATCGATTACGCCGTTCGCGATAGTATATATTATCTCTGGTAAAACAGGCGGTGTGTAATTTGTCCTGACAAAGCGAGCCTCGTTGCGCTGGTTAATCAAGTATAGATCGATAATGCAATATATTATATGGCGATCAATTAACTCTGAATTAGGCTAATATGCACTGACTGTTGCGGGCAACATATGTTTCTCTACTCAATGTAGTTCAATCAAATCACACCGGTGCTATATGCAAATGTAGCTCGTAGTTTTAATAAAAGAATCAAGAACTTGGTTAAAAATCAAAAATGATAATTTTTTGTTGACTGATACAAACACCTGATTTAAAACAGTCAGCGTGCAGAGCGCATCATCATCATTATCCGGGCCTTGGAGTAGTTTATCTTGGTTTCCCGATACTGCGCGGCAAAAATTGTTTAATTCTCAGTCCAGACTGGGGTAATGATGATCTCCCTGGCGGCCCCCTCGAAGATCTGCGCGCTTTAACGAGGCTCTAACTATATACGCTGTAACTAAGCAGTTGCTGCGGCTCGACGCGCGCGCGAGACACTAATTATCGAACTCTGCAGTTGCTTGACTACGACGACCAATTAGGCCTCCGCCGTGGTTGCTATTGTTGTTGTTGTTGTTGTTGTTGTCGATGCTGCAGCTTGCGTATCACATTTTCGCTTTTCATCTTTTAAGCACTCGTCGCCAGGCATCGTAAAATTGACCTAATCTCTCTCTCTCTCTCTCTCTCTCTCTCGGTGTAGCATAACCATAACTGGCTCACTGTACAGGATCCCCCGTTCTAGCCAACATTATTATTTCGTTGCGGCTTGCCCTTATTAAGTCCGTGACCCGTTACTATCTCGTGGTATATACACACTGTTTCAATTACCGTTTTAGCTCTCTTCCTTGTATACCCACTCGAATGCTTTTTTACGAAGGCAAACGGGGCTTCGTTACACTGCACAAGAAGCTCCGAGTTCATAGAAGCTTGTAAGCAAACATTCTCCGAAAGGATGGCGCGCGCATGGATCATACAATTTTTTTTTATCGGAAAAGATGAATGAAAGTTTGGATGGAAAGGGAATTTCTCCGGTCTGCAATCATCGCAGTTATTACGTTCGCTTCCGGCGACAGATGGAAAGAAAAACGAGAGAGCAAGAGAGAGAGAGAGAGAGAGAGAGAGAGGGGGAGAACTAGAAGTACGCAGACGAGATGAATCGTTGTCTGTAGTGACTGGCGATGTCGCGTCTAATTAAAAAAGTCCAGCTGTTTGTTAATGCGATGCTCAATACGTCCAAAATCGATAGCGTTGAAAAATCGCGGCAGTTGGAGATTTCAGAGTTGCGCGTTGGCAGAGCATTTATCAGACATCATCTTGTGCTGTGGGCCGAAGGAAGTCATTCAAGATGGATAAGTCGATAGAAAAGTCGTGCCAGAATTCAGCCGACATAAGGATCGATCAATCAATCAATCTCGGCACATCTTCCATCGGTGCACGAGCCATATGTAGCGTACGTGTTTCACATGTGAGCCCAGGTGCTAGCTGGCATTGGTGTCGGCTGCACGCGAACATTTCGTGTAATGAGATAATTTAACGTCAACTCTCGAGTAAGATAGACCATTCGTAAATGTTCGCCTCGGCAAAGTGGCCGTGGCAATAATCCCCCGACAAACGAGCTTCTCGCCAGTCGATCGCTGGGAAATTTATACCGGCTCCTCGTATATAGAATGCATCGATAAGGCAATTATGGACTTCTTAGGGGATACTTTGTTTTTATCGACTGGTGGCGGCGCTATCTCCCACCGCGAGCCGCTTTATTTCCCCGAGGATCCACTCGAGCGGTGTTTTGCATTTAATCGTGGCCCGATATCGCGAAACTTGGCTTGCTTGGCTTTTGGATAAATTGAAATCGTGCATGAACATGCACCCTTGCACAGTGCTCCAGTGCTGTGTAACGTCCCTACGTCTTTTTCTTCACACACTGCACACGCGGCCGTGCTTGACCTATTTTTCTTCGTTTACGCTCGAATGGACGTTCCGGAGGTAGATAAAGAGAAGCGAGAGCGGTGCTAGGTCGAGCGCGAGAGGCATAGAGAAATGAGTAAGATGGACCGGACCCGATGTGCTACTCCGTTTTACCTCATAACGATTTTTGCAAGCTGCTTTCAAGCTGCGCGACAGCCGACGCTTTGCGACGTGCTTATACCGCTCGCTCTCCGCGTTACGCGTGGCCGAGTACGCGCGCACGCACGACACGACAGTCAACACGAGCCCGATAATAAACTTTCAACGGAGCTTTACCTGCAAGCTCGTGTACGTGCTTGCGCTCGTCAGGAAAAGTCCGCTAAAAGGCGACTCGAGAGCTATGTAATTATTTTAATTAACCTTGTGCAGCATACGCAACGTTTCTCATTCATCTGGTCCTGAGTAGATCTTCCCTTGTATTATTTTGCTCCGTCCAAGTGCATAGTATACGTCAGCTGCACGAGCTCAGATATTTATCCAAATATACGCGCGCGCACAGAAACAGACATGTCTCGGGAGCTCCTTGCGCTCGCTCTCTCGAATGTCGTAACAACTTGGCGCTAACTTGTCTAGGGCCAAGTCTAGTCCTGTCGGGTCAAAGTTGCAGATCTTGGCCGCGAGAGGAGTTTTCGCTGTGGGGTGGGAAAGTGGATCAACGCACTAGTCAACGGATTGTGATTTTCATCCTCTTCCCAACAACAGCAGGACTATTAACGGACGGCTTTCTAATGGAGTTCCTTGTGCACCTGCGTATTTAAAATCTTTCAGGCATGAACGCAGGCCATCACGAGCTGTGCATCCGAGTTAGATGCGCCTGGGCTGCGATGATTTTTTAAATCGACTTTTTCATTTTAGACGCTCGAAAAATCGCTCGAGCGATTTTACTTTTTTATTGAACTTCTTCTAGCTTCTTTTCTTAAAATTACAATTTATTACAATGGAAAAAAGAGGTACATGGAAAAATCTGCTGACGCGAATTTCTGCCTGACTGTGCGCTGGCCTGTACTACTTGCCAGGGTCGAGTGCTACATGCTATACGCCTGGATTATTCTCGACCATGGTAATGTGATCAACAATTTGATGAAAATCAAAAGTACCTGAAGCACGTGAACAAATAATTGATTTATCGTAATCTTCTAGCTTTGTATTGTACGTACCACGGAACTCGTAAAACGAGTATGATCAATGCGCGATACATCCGCAATTACAATCAATTATTCAATTAATTAAATGTCGGTGACCTACGTGATAGAAATGGAATCACGTACATCAAAGGACAAGAGTGACGTGGAATTAATGTACATTGATAATTATGCTTGCATATAAATATTCCGTTATAAAAATCTGCATAAAAAATTATGAGAATGAAGTTTGCGTTGAGCTTACCTTTTCGCCGTAGTCGCCTTCGACGGCAACGGTTGAGACGTACTTCCAACCGAGCCTGTGTATGACCTCGACCATAGCCTGAGCTTGGAAGTTGTCAGGCGGCACCACTCGACTGAAGTACTCGAAACGACTCTTGTCCGACAGCTCGGTGCTCGTCGAGGCGTAACTTATCTGCGGTATCTGCCGGCCAAAAACACATACATAAGCACGCGCACGAGAATCGGAGATGTACGAGTATGGGTTCGCGCAGGCAACGCGGGCTGCAAGCTCGGAGCGCATAAATAGTCACATAATAACCGACACGGGGACTGGCGACAAAATATCAAGAGCCGCACACTGTTCTGCCGGTGCACACTCGAGCGCGTACATCCTGACGCAGCAGCACTAGCAGCCAGTAGCATGCAACGGTAAGAGCGGGCATACATATGTCTATATAATCCTGTGATGTATATAGCTACGTGAGATTCGAGGATATTGCGAGGATTCCAGGGTGTATCGTCGCACTCGTGTTTGTCTACTCGTTTATACGCTTGTGTGTGTAACGCAAACTGCGCCACTGTTAGTATTTATGGAGCGCGCACCAGCTCCGCAAGCACAAAGGCACGTGTCCAGTGGGTGCGCGACACGCTGCGAATTATATTCCTCGAAAGTTCGGAAAGCCGAGCGCGTAAAGCAACTTTTAATATCGCATTAAATTTCTACCCCGCGTCTCACGGATATACACGAATATTAAGTTGAAATTAACTCAAGCTCGGGCTGGCGCGCGCGCAGACCCAGGAATTTGAGCATTTGTACGAGTATATTACTCAACTTTCCACATGCCGTGTATAGACCGGGAGACTTTTTTATCATCGCGCGTGCACGAGAGCTGCGACTTTTTTTGTTGGCACATTTTTACAAATGTATATATCCGAGCACGGACGAACGAGCTCGCAGTACATGCGTCAGAAGAGATTCGAGAATCCGCACACTTAAAAAAGGGCTTTATCTTCGAGCGAAAAATAGTTTTTTAATTAAAGTTTGCCTTGTTTTTTATTCTTGCTTTCTTTCTTTCAAAGCGAGAGAGATGCGCGTCGGCAATAGCTCTTGTTCGGATTCTTAGACGTAACTAGCGCCATTTCAATTATCCAATCGGAAAGCAGGATTTTCTAAAAGGGAAAAAATTGTTGCGAAACAAAATGAACGACGCTTGGGAAAGTTTTCAGTTACAAACGTACGAGAGCGACGCAGCAGTTGCCCGGGGCAGCTTTCAGCTCTTAAACATTTTCCACGTGTCGCCCTTGCATTTCAAATTTAAATCTCGATTTCCAATGGATGAATGTTTTTTTACTCTTCTCTCTCTCTCTCGTTATTTCTCTCAAACGCCACGGATGAATAAAAAATGAAACTTTGGAAGGGGTCTGGTTCAAACGCCTAATGTAGCAAAAAAGTAAAAATAGACGAGCTAAATGAAAAAAAAAAGGGAAGAATTTTTTGATGAGAAAAGATAATGCATGCACGGGAGGGAAAAGAGAGAGAGAGAGATAGAAATAGAGAGAGAGAAGAGATGGAAGAGAGCCGTGTCGTACGCGCGCATGAGCTTAAAGCCACGCCTATCTTTTCTCGCGTATATGCGCTTTGGAGCGCGAGCGTGCACAAAGCGTATAATATATAGGACACAAGTAAAAGTGCAGCCTCGATCTAGCCTAGGCAGCTCGTAGTCTGTCACCGGAAATGCAAATAACGAAGAGTGCTACGACCGAAAAGAAAAAGAAGACGCTGGAGGTGGTGGGTGAGGAAGAGGAAGAAGTGGAAAAAAGCAAACGAACTACCAAGAGACACGTGTACAGTAGATAAAAGGTCGAAAATGACGAAGAAAAACAAAGTGTATGTATATGTGTGCGCGCGCGTCCCGGAGCGAGAGACAGACAGTTCGTGAGTGAGTGAGCGAGTGAGCAAGAGAGAGAGAGAGAGAGAGAGGGAAGAAAAGCTTATATCTATTTGCACTCGTTGGAGTAAGATCGAGAGCTTGCGACACGCCGAACTGTACACTCCCAGTCGGCGCCGAAATATATTTCCCTTTCGAATATCATACTTTTGCCAGGCAACGAGCCGCGCGCTGATTCTCTGCAAGTATGTACTTAGGCTTTGTATGCGTCGCGCGAGCCTCGCTCTGCAAGTGTGTAAGAGCATCGCTAAAACATACACCCAGCGGCGATGAGATGAATTTTTAATATTCTTCCTCCACGCACGCGCCTCGACCAGCGGCGTTTAATTAACTCGGCGGAGCGTCATTGCCTGGCAGTTGTTTAACGAGAACGGACAGCCGCGCGATATCATTAGGGACTCTCTCTCTCTCTCTCTCTCGATGCACGCTTCGTCACGATTGGCCGAGGTGATAAAAATGAAGCGTGTCAGCGGAAACTGACGCTGTGAGCGCGCCCCGCGATCCGTATAACTCACACAGCCGCTGCCGCGTACGCGAAGCTGCTCCGCAAGGCGGCTGCGGCGGCGATCGCGTTACGCTATAAAAGCTCTTGCGCGTATACGTGCTCGGGACTGCTTGGGCGTTCTATTTACCCACTGCACGAGAGTAATTGTTGCACTTTTTCTCGCGCGAGCACGCGCAACATTGACACTCTTTGCCATATGCGTAGAGGCACGGAGCGTCGAATTTATGTCAATTTAGTTTTAGCCGAGCCACGGCAAATAAAAGTTTATGCGGCGCATGAAAAAAAAGGCAATTAAACCAGAATGGGGAGAAAAAATTAGCAGCGAAGTAATAAAAAATCGGATAAAAACGATATCGAGAAAATAAGAAAAAGTTCAAAGAGAAACAAGGAAGTTTTGCTCGCAAAGCGAGCTTATATGCGCCGAGCTTAAGTGGCTCCATATAGATGTATACGCACGCGGAGAGACGCTCGCATTTAAGACCAAAAGCTCGCTACTCATTCCCACCGTATGAAACTTTAATCGACAATTTCAACTTTCTCTCTTGCCGCCGACTTGTTTCTCTCCCACTCGCTTGTTGTATATATGTGTGCTATACCAACGAACAATATCTCTCTCACTGTGTTACGGTCATTTGACACGAGCTGCTCCAGCCATTTCAGCTGAGAGCAAGAGTGGTAGTAGTAGTAGTAGTAGTAGTACACGGGCAAGTGTTGCTGCATTTACAAGTAGTGCTGCCGCTGCTGGGCACGAGAGTGGCCTGTATGCATGTATATGTATGTAGCGTTGTATATAGCCTCACAAATCACGACTAATGAGGCAAGAAAAATCGCCCGTCAACGCGACTGCTGTGCGAGTATAAGCGTCGAAGAGCTCGAGCCCACTTTCCCTCCGGGGAAATTTCGATGTCACGCTCTGCGCAGCAAGAAATCTCGACGCCGCTCGTTTATATGGCACAGGGTGCTGGGCGATAGGAAGAAAGCGAGAGAGAAAGGGAGATAGAGAGGGAAAGAGAGAGAGAGAGAGCTAGGTTCACTGAAAGAGTGGAAAAACATAACTCCGTGCAGCTACACATATAGCTGAAGACGAACCCGTGGAACAAAAGACAGTTACACGCTTGCTGCTGCTATAACTATGTGTGTGTATGTGTGTGTATGTGTGTGTTGCGGAACAAAAGTCCAGAGAGTAAAAGCTGCTACTGCACTGCCTGCGCACTGCTACTACTGCTTTGCGAGAGAGTACAAGTAGCACATGAACGTCAAAGTGAAGTCGCAAGAAAGAGAGAGAGAGCGGGAACGAGAGATGATGGCGAGGGGACAGAAGCTATGCGCGCGCGACCATTTCTTTTCAGAGGCAAAAGTGCCTCGGATAATTCGTTGGCCCCTTTGAGCGCGAGGAAAAAGTCGAGCAGTTTCCGCGCGCGCCCGGCCGAGCTCTACTTCTTTCCCTACCCCCGTGCAGCGGCGCGCCCCGCTTTTCACTCGTGCAGTTCGCGATTTGGACGACGACGACGACGACGACAGACGTTAAACGTTTCTCCCGAGCGCCGAGCTCTACGACGTCGCGATCGATTTATTGTTTTTTTTTTCTCGCGCGCGCCGCTCTCCTTTCATGCTCTCGTGTGTGTGTATGTGGCAGCGGCTCTCTCGCGGACGCTACTCGACAACTGTAAAAAGCCTGCTCAGCTTTCTTCCCTTTTTTTTTCTTTATTGATTTTACAGCCCGCGTTGTAACTTGAACGTTGAAACAAGAATGACAAGACGACGGTGGAAATTCAACCTACGTATATAACAACCGGACTCTCGAACTATATTTTCCTTCTAATTGGATTAACGTACTTAGCTCTCGGGGTTTTACGCGACTAAATAACAAATTCAATTTAATCTACGCGCAGCAGTCGTTTGCTTTCAATTTAACATGTGCCACGCAAGGCCTCCAGGTCAGTCGTATAATTGAAACGTGCTTGAACGAATTGCGCAGGTCAATGTACCGACGCGCCCGTGCAATAACTACTCGTACATACACCAACGTACACATGACAGCCGACAAAATGTATAGACAAGAGTTTGCAGAGTTTTTAAGCTCGAAATCTCCAGAGTCAGAAAATCGGACCTGTGAATACTGAACTTTCAGCAATTACCAGACCTTTAGATCAACCAGAGATATCGATAACACTCGGAAAAATCGATATTTTTCACCCATTGAACCACTGCACACTCTTCCGAGTACATACGTGTTGAACTTTCTCCAGCTCGAATTGAAAAAATCCACTCTGTATACACTCAACGAGAAAAGAAAAAGTTAATAGAACCCGTGGAACCTTTTGATATTTTTGGTTTCGCCTCAATTTTCCGTAGGATCGGGCTCATAACCATATAGATGCGGATAAATAACGTTTCTACGCAAAACGTGCAGAACAGTACATAAGTATAGTAATCGAAAAAAAAAAGTATTTTACCCAATGTGCATAACAAAGAAGCTGCGTACACGTTTCGGTACATAGAACAGCAGAGCCAAAAAATGATCCACGAGTTTCGCGTTGTAAATCGACCATAGATGAATACATAAGAGAGTGAGCAAGGAAGAGAAAGAGAGAAGAAAGCATTAGCTCGTTCAAAGCTTTTTTCCGAGCCGCGCGCGCAGAGTAGAAAAGGGCGCGCGAGCAAGAGAGGCTGTAATTTCATAATTTTTTCCTCGTGTTCGTTTCGCGCGAGCTTGAGGCTCTGGGTATATGTTCTTTGAAAATAGGGGAAGGAGTGAGTGAGAGAGAAGAAAGAACTCGGCCGTTGAATGGAAAGAGAGAAGAGGCCACTTAGAACTGCTCGGCTCTACGTGTACGTACACACACACATATATAGAGCTATATAGAAGCTGCCGCTTGCAACAACCAAGTGCTTGCTCGACATCTTTTGCTCCCTGCTATATAGAAAGAAGAGAGAGAGAGAGAGAGAGAGAGAGAGAGAGAGAGTGAGATTGCAGCTTGAAAAAAGCTTTTTGCCGTTCTGTATCGAAATGAGCCGCGCATAACACTCGCCAGCAGCAACTCACCATGTGCCGCTCGCGCGCACCAAGCGTATATATTTCTCTCTAACTCTTATTTTTTTTCTCCGGCTTTTCCGGACCAAAGCCGCACGGACGCGCGCGTATTATTTCCCTCTCGACACTCGAGACGCGAGAGATTTTCATTTTCAAGCTCGCCGACAATGCGAAGCAAAGCAGTTCTTGCTAGTGTCTCGAGAGCTGCTACTGTGTGTATTTTCTGAATGTGTGGCCTGGTGGGTGTGGATGTGTATAAGCGAACTGCAACGGGTAGCTGGGCCAGGGGACAAAACGAGGCCTCCGTAAGCCGATACTTTTTCTCTACGAGCGATGATCGCATCTCTCGACTCCAAGATTTGCCAGAAGATTGCCCGAGTTTAATTTACTTCGTGCGGCTTGAGCTTCGATTCCGCAACTCGCTTGGATTAACTTGCCGATGTAAGTTACCTCTATATAGGAGCGGCTTGGCTGCTGATGCTGCCGCTGCAAGCTCGACGAAACTTACCTTGAATAGTCTCAAAATGTTGGCGACCATAATGGAGACGCCGCTAAAGGAGGCGCCGATGACGCCGGTAACGGGCTTGTGCGGTTTGTAGATCGGTGACTTGCCGTTCTCGCACCTGTACTCGGTGATGTCCTGCGAACAACAACGTAACAACAATTAGTCGAGTCCTTATTTTTTGTACGCGAAACTGCGAGCACACGCGTAAAAACATTTCTCTCGCTAGGTATACGTATATAGTAAGTCATGCCACGCGATGGGTAATGAAGGCAGCTGCGCAATTAGAGTCATGCTGCACAAAGTAGCTATGCAGGCTCTGCAGCTTTCGCTTTACTTCTTCTCTCGCTCTTGCTCTCTCGCTCATCGGTCGAGAAACAAAGCGAGCGTAAAACAAACTTTTGCTCGCTGGAAATAATAACAATAGAGGGTAGTAGCTGCCTTCGCAACTAACTATCGCTCATTTACGTCGTATATGCGTAGCACAGTAGTATACGCCCGAGCCCAAGCTCCAGACCAAGCTTTAACTTGGAGACCTGCGCGAGTAAACGTATCAGATCGGTGAGGAGCCTATGATGAGTATTCCAAGTTTTATGCGCGCGCGAAAGACGAGATAGGTAACAAACAAGTTGTTCATTGTGCGCCCCCGAGGCATTGTCTAGCAGCTCTCCTTTCCTCCTGCTAGTTCATACCTCGACTTATTTATGTACATACAAATAAGCATAAAGCCTAATTGCCAGCACAATGGATTATATATTGTAATGTATATATGCTCTAGCTGTATACCCTCATGCTAGGTACTTTACGAGCTATGTTTGGACGCGTTAACAGCCAACAACACACACCCACGGGCAACAGCTCGAAAGTTTACTTTTCCTACGCTCTTTATTTTTATAGCCATGGGAAAACTCATTGATTTCTGCATATCTATCTATGTATATTACTACGCTACACAAAGAGCTGGATCTCTTTCTCTCACTCACTAGGCTCTCGGCGGCTGGAAGTGTGTTTGCTCCGAGTCGCTGGCCTCGAGATTTACATTACAAATTTAAACTTTGAATGAGTTTCTCGCTGATGGGCGTCGTCGTCGTTGTCGCCGTAGCTCGAGGAAAGTGTATAATGTTACCGAACACTGCTGGGCGCGCGAGACGAGAAACAGAGAGAAATTTGCTTTTGGGCGAACCGCGGCGAAGCGAGCAGAGATTCTCTGCGCCCTGCGAAGCGACCAACATAATCGATTGAGATGACGAGTAGTAATGCAGTGGCTCGTCTGTTTAAAGACCGTTAGCCCGTTGTATTACACGCTTGTGCAAGCGCTCTATTGACGCTCGGTATTATCGATATGTGCACAGCTAAATGTGTGAATCCGACCTTTGCTTTGCTTCGAATAATATACAGTTTTTTTTAAATGTTTTTTTCACTCGTGTAGTAATTCCACGAATAGTAGTAGTAGTAATACTCGACGCGGTGCGTGGGAAATCGTAATTAAACTCAGTATTAATTCAGATCTAGAATTAGCATATATTCAATGTTGATATTTGCACGTGACGCGTATATAACATAATCTTGTTTAACTTCGATAGTGTAATTTACCGAATTAAAATGAAGAATACACTCGAGCGTTACATAATCATAAAATAGTAAGCAATTTCCCTACGTAAAATATTCTAGAAAGCCTTACACGGTGGTTAAAAGGTTTTTTGCGTAACTCATAATTTCGGGGCTGCGTAATTTTTCTCACTCAATTCGCAGAGTCTTTACGTAACGAGATGCGCGCGAAACGCACGTCGCTCAAAGCACGAACGCGTGTCATGAAACTCTCTCTCTCTCTCTCTCTCTCTCTCTTTACAGATATATACATTGACGGTGGCCATTTAAGAGTAATACGGGCCGTAACTGGCGTATATTCGCGTGCGATGAGGATGGGATAGAGAGAGAGAGAGAGAGAGAGAGAGAGAGAGAGAGCAAGAGAGAAGGAGAGGGTCTTTTAATGCAAAATCGATCGATCAAAAAGCGCCACGCCAGCATGAGCTTTCAAGGAGAGCAACCCTAGAACAGTCAAGTTCGTACCTAGAACGAGGATAATATTCTCTCTCCAACTGCAACTTGGATTCTTTGACGCGCCAACACAAACTTTCCTAAAGCTTGCTGCGCACAATATATATAGATATATACGTAGTGCACGTTGCTACTGTTCATCTGCCATTTTCCTAAATCCATGAGCATAAAAAAAAACAAAAAAAAAAAAAAACGATCAAGCCAAAGATTCATTGTCCAAGCCATGCCTTGCGAGCGATGGATGCGGCTTTAAAAAGTTCAGAGATACGTATTAATAGAGCATGGCAAAGTGTCCTGCGTCGACCCATATACAAAACGTTTCAATCGACCGACCCCTGCTGCCGCGATGATCGACATAGCTATCTATATATATCGTGCCACGCGATGACGCAATACTTCGCGAAGCTGTATAGGTGTAGAAATACACAGACACGCGTCTCTTCAACCAAATTCGAGCTTTTTTTACTTTTTTTTTTTACTTTTTGAGAAAGACGAGCCGTGTACTATTTTTTTTGCATCTACTTTCATTTCAATTCAATCCATGCCAACGCGCAGAGAAAAAAATTGGTTTGCACTTTTGATGATATTCTTCTTTCTATACAGGACAGATTGCTCTTGTACGAACCACCCGAGTACTGTGGTCCAACGCGCGTGGCGCTCACGACGCGCTCGCTGAATATATATCGGCGCAAACTGAATTTCATGCGCGCGCGTAGCCGTACATACGCAAACTCATAATAGCATTTGTAAGTTTTTTTTTCGGGTTACACAGCCCTTCGTTTTTCAGCTACGTGTGAGTTGGTGATTCAAAATGCAAAATGAAAAAAAATGAATAAAATAAAATTGGTAAAAGAAATCCTGCAGATGAGACAATTAGGAGCGCGATTGAGTTGGAGGAAATCGTTCGAGCTGCTACAGAGCAGTGCCCACGCACAAGCGTGGCAGCAAAGAAACATTATAGAGAGAGAAAGAGAGAGAGAGAGAGAGCAAATATAAAGCCCCCCCGTTGCTCAAGAGGACTGCTCGCTAAGCTCTTCCGGTCGTTTTGCCTCTCCACTAAAAATGAGCGAGCGAGAAAACCTCTTAGTAGTATGGAAGGTTCATTAAAGCGCAAAAGCTCGTCGCGACGGTGCCGAAGTATGAAAAGAGAGTAGTATATTTATGAAAAAAAAGCATAGCTCTCGCACCTGATTCATATACGACCTGACGAACTCCATGCTCTGGTCGAGGGCGTAAGTGTCGCTGCTGCAGGAGTCGAGTATAAGAGCACCCAAGGTCGTGTTGGGCAGCAGCTGTTTGTCGATGTTTATCTGGTCGATGGCGTAGAGCATCGCCTCGAGCCTCTGCACGCCCTTCTCCTCCTTGACCGCGCCACAGGGTATGTGTCCGCTCATTCCTGACACCTGTAAGCACATTCGACATAGCAGCATTATCACCGGGCGTGCGTACTTTCCGCAAATTTGTTTACATCTACGTGTGAATTATGTTTGAAAGTATATGCATGAGTCGTGCACTGGCGAGAGAAGCTTATCGAACTGCAAGGGACGAAGCGATAAACTCCGAGCCCCGAGATAGAAACTCCAAGATATACGTCGGGCAGCAGCAGAGAAGTGCATATACTGCACTCGAATTGATTTTAACCGAGAACTGCTCTTTGGCTCTTTCATGTGCTCGAGGTTATATAGATTTCCCCGGAGAGCCTCGTGATAAAGTCCGAGCGCGACTTTCCAATCAAAGTTGAAATTATGTGTACTCGTGTATGGCCTAGGCTGCCGGAGTCCAGGCTGTTTATTGATATACGTGTATTCCTTTTGCACTAAAGCACGATGCAAAGCTCACGACAACTTCCGACGCACTTGACGTCGCTGAATTTCCCGGAGAGATTGACGGGCCCGCAGCAGCAGCGCACCAAGTGCATTTCAACTCGATTTGCGAGCGCTATTATTATGCTATATATAATCGACGACTCGATTGTCTCGACGCTGCGCACTTGGGGAAGAACAATTAATGCCGCACGCGCGATCGGACGTGAGACTTGAACTCGACTTTCGCGTTCTAAAGTGCCGTGGTCACTCTTGAACTAGTTTCGCCAGCTGCGAGATTTTTCTCACCAACGCTTATATATTCGTTCTATATGTAGTGAACACGTTGCAGCAGGCATTATATTTTCAATTGAATGCGGGAGAGAATACGTATTATGTTCCGGTCATCGCATATTGGATAAGTTTAGCTAATTCTTACGTCAGTTGCATGAATGTGCAGTCACGTGCGCGCGAGTGCGAGACAAGTTTCCGGACTCTTTGAATGGCTTGGCTTGCATCTCTACTTAACTCTCCCGGTCTTTTGCACACACGTGTGGCTGTGCTATATTCGCACTGTGCATATTTAGATACTGGCTCGGCTGTTGTTGCCGTTGCCGCTGTAGCTTTATCAAAGTTTCTTGAATGAAATTAAATTGCTCAGTATTAGCCAAAGATTACTTGTAAAGTTAAACTTTGAGGATGTATCACAAGTCGACGTTGCGGCCAGATAAACAAACTAGACCCGATGTGTATGTGCGTAGGTGTATGTGTGTGTGTGTGTGCGCGCGCGCGTGTAGGGCAAACAACTTGCCACTGCAGCCGAGACTGCATAAGCCAAAAGGTGGTGGTCGACGTTCGTTACCGAAACTATATAAACACAGCAGGAGTATGCATGGGAGTGGAGCCAAGCCAGCGATGTGAATTAAGGATTAACATATCGTTACGGCAATTATATACGCGCTGCGTGGCGCTTGCGTTGTGCTTTATCGGCGTCAAGGCCTAATGCAATAATGGATAATCGATGTTTGTCATGTACTGCCGGGCCTCGTGGGCACCTACCTGCTCGTGCATGGGGAAAATTCCGCCGAAAATGACATCGCCGACGATGCGTATGAGCTTGGAGCCGTCTTCGACGCCGTTGCTACGGTTGATCTGGTAGGCCCCCAGCGGGCCGATCGACACCAGCAACGCCAGTAGAATCTTCGCCGACATCTTCGCTGTTGCGCTGCGCTAATCTCTTCTCGCCTCTCGACGTTGCACGGCCACTGGTGCTCGTCCAGCGCTCTTAATTCATCGTTGGAGAGGCATCGATACGTCGTCTCGGCTTCTTCGCTTTCGTCTGCGTCGTCGCCGCACTGAAAAAAAAAAATAAAACCGTCGTTATAATTATTATACCGTGGGTGATTCAACGAAGCGTTAAATATGCAACCAAAATGTCTACGTATTACTATCTGGGCGAGCAACTTTTCGGTTTATAAGTAAGGGAAATTTGGAGCTAGCGCGACGAAATGCCTTGCTCTGGGTCAAAAGCAGCTCTAAAGCTCTGACTTGCGTGTGCAGCAAAGTTTGTGCCCCTCTGCGTGTAAGCAGTGTTAGCACGAGGTATACATACGTACTCTATATCTGTGTGTATACTCTGAGTGTTCCGCAGGTACACAAGTGTGTGAGTGCAGCGCAGATATTGCCGAACCAACTAGCTTACGGCGCTATCACTTTCTCTCTCTCTCTCTTTCACGGCTCACTATCGTCTTTTTGTCCAATATATAGCGCGCACGAGTGCTTCAGCCAAGCTCTCTTTGTCTTTGCGTATCGTCTTGCGCGCCGCAAAGTCGTTTCCTATTAATAGCAACAGAGACGTTCTCCAAGTGCTATTAGCCCAAGATGCTCACGCGCGCGCCACCGCCTCGATGTTTTTTCCTCGGATTTCTCTCGCGATTCGACGCGCTGTTCGAGTTATTCCCATATAACGAGCGTATCGAATTCTCTCTTTTGTGGTTTTCAAAGGTTTACATTTCGTATTGTTATACACCACGTCCGTCTCGTGCTGCAAGTCGAGTATTTTTTTTCCCTTTTTTTTTCGACTTCCCCGAATAAGGCGTGCGCTTGAATGTATAAGAGGATCTATTTTCAATCACGACCGCGAATATATTTACACGCGTTTCTGTCGCCAGAAAAAAAATAAATAGATTGCGTGAGTCATTGACGATATGCCACCAACGCCACAAAAAGCGACCGTATCTTCTCCGCGTGGCTCTTTGGAGCGCGTAGATACTCAAATTCAAACTGCGCTAACGATACTCGAAAGTACACGTGTACGAAGCTTGAAAAATGTTTCGCTCTACTTTCGGGACGGGCGGGAGCGCGAAAAATTGCGCGCCACTTGCGCCTTCTCGCTCTTTAGTTTTATCAACGCTTTTACAACCCTCCCTCCCTGCCTCCATCTCGAAAGCTTTATTAAACTTCTTTCGGGAGCCGCAGCTGCAATTTCGAAGCTTGACGGATAATTAAGTGCTTAGCCGCGTTATAATATCATCGCGCGTGTACATGCCTACTTCTCGCTCTCTCGCTTCCTTCAATCTATCCTTGCGCCCGTAAGCAGCGAGACTGCGATTTCTAGCGTGCAGCTGACTCGAGTCGGCCTCGAAATTTATATAAACGAGCTGCCAGCGTCTGAACTTATAGCGCAGAGCTTTAAAAGACAGGCGCATGCTTAGAAGCATGCTTAAAGAGGCTATGATAAAATATGAAACATGTACGCGAGCTCACAAAAATATGCGGAAGGACTATTTTTATTTATTGCCCGGATCCTTTTCTTTTCCTTTTTTTTTTAATCCAGACTGCTTCGAATTTTCTTTTTTGTTTCATCCCGCCGTGGCAAAGGAAAATGTATTTTATATGCGCGAGCGTGGATATTGCGAAGTTCTTTATATTCGGCGCTAAAGCGACCGAGCTCAACAAATTCAACATTGTATCAGGGTGAAATAAATTTTGTCGAGTCTTTATTTGAGCATGTGAAATACATCGAATATCTTTGTTTCGATTTTCCTTTTCTCTCTTTACCTCTGTTCCCACGAGCGTATAATGTATACGGGAGTACAGTGTTGGGTGCCAAGGAATTTTTTGCTTTCATCGATATAAGCGTGTACGCGCATACGTGGGATTCGGAGAGCATATGATTTTGCAGCTAACGGGTATAAAGACGAATATTTTTTCATAGATTCTAGATCAACATTTTTATTTAAAAAAACATGGAAGATTGACAAGTTGTGTTCAACTAGAAAATTGCAAGAGAGAAAGAGAGAATTAAAATAGACGAAAATTGTGTTTCTAAGTAAAGGGTCCAGATTCGAGCTCTATATAAAGCCTTTGCAAAATCGAAAGGAGAATAATTCTGCAATCTATTGCCTTATTCGATTAAGGAGTGATACTCACAGGTTGTTTGCAATATCCACTGAATACCTTTGACTTATATTATAAAGTTTGCTTGTATTTCTCGCAACTTCAAACCTCCAAACTTTTTCACAACTTCAAAAGTACACGGCTGGCAAAAAGCAAGTGCACTATTTCTCTTCAAAATTTATGGTTCCATGAGCTTTTCATTCACACTAGCGTACATTTGCACACAGACACATAACCGGAATTCAATCACTCAAGGGTCAAGGAGAAAAAAAGTAAGGAGTAACAACAACTATAAAAAACCGAGATAAATCTGGCCTGGATTTCGGCACCTTGTAGGGGTCTCACGTTTGGACTCGGGGTTACGACCCCCATCTTTGTAATGCGATGCGTCTATCAAAAAGAAAATTCTTCAGAGATCTAAACATCCTTATCCAAAATCAGAAGCTCGAGGGACAAAGGTGGACTAACGTAGTACAGCTCGAAATGTCCAAGATCGAATTTGGAATTACTGACAGATATTTGTTCAGATCAAGCTAGCTGCCTTCATAGACGAATTTTAAAATGAAAAAAAAGATTAATTTCGTTGATGTATAAAGTAATGTACAAGGGGCAAGTTTATGGAAAAGAATACCAAATGTTAGTCTCTTTGAAAAAGAACAAAGTCGAATAATAAAGAAAAGAAGAGGATAGGGTTTAGTCGGTAATAGTATAGAAGCATACGATTGGCCCATACAACATCAGTGCACAAACAACAATACACTACTCGAATTTACGTATCCGTGTGACGTGCTTATCCTGCATGTTGGATTCCTAAATGGACTTACCTCCTTGTTAAAAAGAAAAAAAATACACACTCTTACAAATCTTAATGCATTCGTGAATTATCGCTGGGCGAGGCTACTCTAGTATGCCGACCTGCCAAGCTTGCTTTATCTTTGCTAGTTTTGGCGTCGGATAAAAATTAAAACTTGGAATTTCTTACGATCATTTCTCTGAACCAGTGGGTGCGCGCAAACATTCATTTTCATCTCCATTACGCAGACAAGAGCGTACGATTCTTGAGCGAGCTATACTACTTGTACAACCTACCGAAAGATACTACGACAGCTTACACAACAGTTGTGTAACTTGGCTGCTAAATTTTGCAGCGACTAGTTTTACGAAATTGCAATCTCGAAAGCTGAAATTCCCAAGTAAAGAAGCTAGATCAAAGAATCGATGGACAAGGCAGACTCTACTGGACGCCCATACACACACACACACACACACACACACACACACACACACACACACACACACACAATGAAGCCGAGTATATATTATAACGAGATGAGAAAATGCAGGAGGCCCGCGAGAAACTGGCTGCTATAATGGAACTGACAGCTCTGCGAAGCCGGCAGAGCTTTTTGTGAGCTCTCGCGTCTTTCGCCTGGATTAAACGAAATGTTGCCTTGTATGTTCAGCATATAAGGTAAAGGATGCACGCCGTATATGTGTACATAAGCAAGAAAGGCTTCGTTGCGTTCCTCGTTAAATTTTATAATCCAGCTAACGCCTTTGCTTTTTCGTTTACTTTCATACAAGCTTTTAAACATTTCATACGTGCCACGAAATGCGTTATTTATTTTTTCATTTTTCACTAATTAATTTATCGATACTTTTGGCTGAATATTTATAATAACATAGCAAAGTTACTTTTTCTTCGCGTCGATGGATATATAATATGTACAAGCAATTCGCCGATGATTCTCTGCCGTTCGAGTTTTCTGGCACGCGTTCGACGGATGTAAATTTATGTAGTTTCCTCTTTCGTTCCCGTTGCATGTACATACCCGTGGCTGAATCAACTTATGCATCGAATCATGTGAATTGAATTTTCGTGTGGCCATTAAATAATATCAACTAAAATAACAATTTATATAGAAATAAGAGACTTTGCGCTAATATTAACGACTGGGCAAAAGTGATTCAGTGATAGCGTATGCTCTTGCATGTATTGACGAAATTCAATGCATGAAATACGTGCAAATATTTTGATTAGAATTTGCATCGAGTGTACTAATAGCTTCCATCACAAATTTATCAAATTTGTCTCAAAAATCTCCTTATATCACATAACTGTTTGTTCAAATATCCTTAGAAGTAAAATTCATTCATTTGATAATGAGTGAAAATTCTGCAGCCTAGACGCAAAAAAACAAACAATTGAGTTAAAAATACACTATTATATTCATTTTACATTCTCTAACGTACAGAACATTTCAGAAGAAAAAACGCAGGACAAAGCGCGTGACTAATTGGCTTCTAAAAACTTCTTGTACGGTTACTGGGTCGCGCGCACACACAGTCATCAAACGAAAAATCTAGTGCAAGCGCATGAAAAAAAAGTTCTGGGCGTAGTTTGAAAATAATTTAATGATCCGTTAATACCGGCTCCATGAGATAAATAGAAATATTAATGAATTTTTGGAATATCATTCGTGAGCTTGGGCTTTAACGGAGACATTTTCAACTTGATTAAATTCTGCTCCTCGCGAGAGATAAAAATGACTATAAGCAGTGCATACGGATATAACTTTTCATGGTCGACTAGATTTCCTGTCTTCATGCGCGAAGAAGGTTCAATTTCGCCCCTGACAGAAGCCTTAGTATGAAGCGAACAATACTCTTGACGGGGATAAAGTAAAACCAAGATTGTATTCTCTAAAGTCGGTAATAATTATATGCCACATACGCGCAGCTCTTGAGTTTTATTCTTACCGTATTCCACATCCGTAATATTTTTTACGCCCAACGCACGAAAAACAGTTAGATGTGTGTGTGCGTGTGTGTGTGTGTGTAGGTACAGAGTCAAAAAGAGTCGCTAATAGCACGTAAACGCCCCAAAAGCGGGAGAGAAAGATCAGCTCGCGGGTAACTCTCCAGGTATATATACATAATACGCAGCCGCGCGTGC